CAAATTAAAAGTGATGATGATGATGTTGATGATGACCTATTCTGGAAGTGCAGAGAAACAACCGGCCCATTTTATCATTCATGGTGGCTACAAATGTGTAGCCATACAGCCTCACCTTTTTCCCTCCACGTGACTGTGAAATTATCTGCAGCATAGAGAGTAATCTCTTTGTGGTTGCTAGGCTACAAATATTCTTTTTTAAAAAACATCTAAGTAGGATATGGCCCCTGCTCTTCTGCCTTAGAGCAGCCTAGTATTCTGTTTGCACAGAATATTGAGGAAATCCAGCGCAGTGAAAAGTGGGCACTCATTTCACATACTGCAGTAATTAACTGCAGCAAAGAACCCTAATTGGGCTGGTGCTCTGATCTGAAGTGCATTTAATGTAGCAACTAATCCAGCCCTGCTAAAGACCACCCCATAGAGCCACCCACCCCTCTCTCTCCACTTTCATATTAATCCGTATGAATGACCCACAAGAGAATTGGGTATCTTATGCAAGTCTTGTGCCCGTGTCTGAAAGTCCCAGTGAACTCAACAGGACTTTGTTCTGAGTGGAAATGCCTAGACCTGCGTTGTGAGTCACTATCCAAATTGACGATATTATATAACAGAGAAGAAGATCAAAGGGAAATAACTTGATTTTAAAAGGCAAAAGATTTGTATGATCTGAGGCAAAGCCAGACTTGTATTTAAACCAGGCATTTGAGATGGATTATAAAAATGTATTCCTGAAACCAGCTCTCTTAAGAGGTCTCCAGGTCCTGGATGTCTGATGGGACAATCTTGGGTGAATCGGACACTTCCTTTCCTCCTGAGCTTTTCTACTACAGCATTAGCAAATTTGTAGGCTGCTACAACTGGAAAAGTTCCAGGTCTCCTGTGCCTTTTTAACAGGGGTAGGAAAGAGATTTGTTGACAATGCTGCTTCTACAACTGCAGCCTGCTAGTTGCAATGCTCCCCAAACAAAATTATTTCCTCAACCTGATGTTCTGCAGATGTGGTTGAATGACCACTCCCCATCAGTCCCAGTAAGCATGGCTGGTGGTCAGGGGTGATGGGAGGTGTAATCCAGCAACATCTCAAGTGTGCCAGATTTGGGGAGGCTGCCTTAGCACTCCTCTTCTGTATTTTAAAGGCAAAACTAGAAGTGATGTTAAGTACACAAATGGTCCTTGCATGTTTATTTTTTATTTATTAAATAGTGACTTCAAGGGGGAAGTTCCAGGTTGGGGCTGCAGTATAGAGGAGAAGCAATTCAAATATTTGGCCCACTAGTGTCCCAATTCAGATTGGAGCCCCTACAGCTGCTATTTGCCCAAGGAATAAAGTTCCTAGGGACAAACAGCAGCTGTGGTTGTGAGTTAGAATCATAGAATCGCAGAGCTGGAAGGGACCCAAGGGTCATCTAGTCTAACCCCCTGCAATGCAGGGATCTCATCTAAAGCATCCATGACAGATGTCCACCCAACCTCTGATTTAAAGCCTCCAAGGAAGGAGAGTCCACCATTTCTCGAGGGAGACTGTTCTACTGTCGAACAGCTCATACTGTCAGAAAGTATTTCCCTATGTTTAATTTTTTTTAATTGGTTTTCCATTATACCCCCAATAATAGCCAAATTATAACAATAACAATTAATTCCCAAATTATAGAATTATCAAAATGCCAATCAACATCAAATTAATACATTTTAATTAAAGTGGCTCCCCACATGATGGTTTGGGTGCATTTCCGATCTTATATTACTGCGTTCTTAATTAATGTCAGTTAGATTTCATTTATAATAATAGTCCACAGCTACATAATTAAGAAGAAGAAGAGGAGTTTGGATTTGATATCCCGCTTTATCACTACCCGAAGGAGTCTCAAAGCAGCTAACATTCTCCTTTCCCTTCCTTCCCCACAACAAACACTCTGTGAGGTGAGTGGGGCTGAGAGACTTCAGAGAAGTGTGACTGGCCCAAGGTCACCCAGCAGCTGCATGTGGAGGAGCGGAGACGCGAACCCGGTTCCCCAGATTACGAGACTACTGCTCTTAACCACTACACCACACTTCATGATGTTACAATATATAAATTTATAAAGCTTCAAGTGAGAAACTCAAACTATTTTCTTTATTCTGCCCTGTGTGTGAAAACTGTTCTATCCATGGAGATTCCTTCTGTCCATTTATGGAGAGCTGTTGTTTTCTCCCATCATGGCTTGGGGCGGAACTGAATCTTGAAGTTTCTCAGAGGTCTTATCTCTCTGTCCCTTGCTTCTGTCTCGGAATAGGCAACAGTCTACTAGAAACCATTCTGTGTCTCTAGTAAAACATGTCACAGATTTTCGCCATTTCCCCCTCAGCCTAGGAAAAGGTGGGCAGTTTTCAAATGCACTGAAGATTTAATACTCCTTTCCAACTCCCAGAATCTCTGCAGCGTTCTTATCACAGCCCCAAAATTCTTTTCCTTCCAGCAAGAGATTTATGGCCCAATCAAACTTTATCTTAGATTATATTCTGTCAATAACACACACAAATCTCAGTCTCTTTTTCCTTGTCTGTTGTTTTTAAATGGAGGTGAGGGGAATTACTCTGTCTTCCAACACAGTCATACTTGAGCCTCTCCTCACCCTTTCTTCATTTCAAATCATACACAGTTTCCATTTTTTGCTTGTTAATATTAATGTTACGCCAACGTCCCTTCCTCACTTGTAAATATATTTTTATCTTATATTCCAGAGAGGGTTGCTAAATCTTAAAAGAAGCTTAGAATAAACAAACCATGGGCTTCCCTCTCTCCAACCAACTCTCACACCGAAGAAAATCTTATCTCAGTTCAAACCTTTGATCCATGTAGCTGGTATATTCCGAAGTATGTTGTTGCAGCCATTTCCCAGTACTTTAAACCAATTAAAGATCCAATTAAACAGAGAATCTCTGCTTCTTAAGGGCTGCATAGGAGGGTTTTCGCCAGGTGAAATGCTTTTGCACTCAGCGGCTCCCGGCCTCCCACATTCCATGACTGAGTGAGAGCCAGGTACCAAGACAAACTGTGAGTGATGCCCATTCCCCCCGTCCTTGGAGGGAATTTGCAAGGATGATTTACCTGTCATCCTTGTTTTTTGTTCGCCGATGATCCCTTGCTGTCATGGAGGCTGTTGTGCACAGTCCCTTACCCTCGCGGAGGCTGTCCCCCATCTTATATTTGTGCATCTGGTTCTTACGGCCTAAGTGCAGAACCTTACATTTGTCCCTATTGAAATTCATTTTGTTAGCTTGGGCCCAGTTCTCCAATCTGTTAAGGTCATTTTGAATTCTGATTCTGTATTTTGTGGCATTAGCTACCCCTCCCAGCTTGGTGTCATCTGTAAATTTGATGAGCATCCCCTCAATTCCTTCACCCAAGTCATTTATAAAGATGCTGAACAACAACGGGCCCAGGACAGAACCCTGCGGCACCCCACTTGTCACTTTTTCCCAGGATGACGAGGAATCATTAATGAGTTGTAAGACAAAGATTTAAATCCCCTCTGTCACAACACCGCAGTCCCAGTCCATTGTCTCCTTTCTCTTAGTGGATAGTTAGTACATAGGAACCAAGCCAGTCACAAGCATAATACCACAACTAGGGCTTGTCTACTATGCCCCCAGAGTTCACCATGTGTTTGCAGCTGCCTTGGTTCCTATTTAATGTGTGTAGTGCACATGACATTACCCTCAGACAACACCAATCTCATACAATCATAGAACTGTAGAGTTGGAAGGGACTATTCGCCTGTAAATTAAGGGGATGATCCAAGAAACTGGGCGGGGGGGGGGGCGGACTGGGCTCCAAACCACTGCACTTGGAATCACAGAAGTTGTTTTGGCATTTTGGTGTAGGTGTCTCAGTTGTTACTTTCTGCTATTCTCCTTCCTCAAATACTTATTTATTTTCTCGCCATGTACATAACTGCTTCCAGCACATCTGGGTTTTTTCTTTATCAGATTTGCACAAAACCAAAAAACTGCAGAGGCAAATTTGCAACTCCCCACTGTGTGTTTTTACACACCTCTTGGTCTGCATTTAACAACAAAAAACAAAGGTGTGCGCACATGCCCTATCCCTATGATGCAACTGGCATGTTAGACTCAACATACAACTGGCATGTTAGAATCAACCAATCAGATGGCAGAGGCAAATACGAAAGGGAAGGCCGAGGCCTACCAGTAAGAGGGAAAGACCAAAGTTGCTCCTCATACAATTCAAATCCATGTTGGTGTGGACTACTCTGGTCTAATTCAAATGGAGGAAAGATGGATTAGCAGCTACATACAGCTCAAAGGTAGTTTGGCTCTAAGAAGGATGGTATTGATGTGTCCAGCAATGTATCAGGCAGGTATGTATCAGGAATGTATACGTTGTCATGTATGTCACTATTGCCATTGCAGTTGGAGCAAACACAGCAGAATGCTGTACGCACCAAAAAACACACAAAAAACCCTATGGTTGTAGAGCAGATAATACAATAGCAATCCCACATGCAGTTTATAGCACAAGAGCAATGACTGAAAAATCTGTAGTAGAGCTGGGATTTGTTTGTTTTCAGGTGTCTTGTGGTATGGTCAATTTGTGTCTCAAGCAGCAGGGCTGTTTCAGATTTCAACTGGGAGCTCCCCTGCCTAAATGTTCCTCTGTACAAACACGTACAGATCCCCGCACAATGAAAACTAGCATGTCAAGGGCAAGTTAGAAAACTAGGAATCAGGTAGAAATGTTCTAGTCTATGTGGAGGGATTTGTATATGTGCACAGGATCATTTCAGTATGTGAAACACCAAAATTCTGCCTCTTAGTTCTGTCTCTGCCCCCTGCCAGCTGAAGTACACAAGGTAGGCACCAAGATCTTGCAATATCTTGTACCAAACTGGCCCCATCACGGCTTCCCTTCTGGTAGGCAGCCAAGCAAGGCACTACTTTCTAAACCAGATTCTGATTGTTCATGTTAGAACCATATTTTTTTTTTATTAATTGTTATGCTGTTTTACTGTGAGTTGTAATGATTCTGGGTAATTATTTTACTTTGTGTGTTTTGTTTGCTGCCTTCAATTTTATTTTATTTTTTAAATAGAAAGGCAAGATACAGACGTTGAAATAAAATTAAAATTAAAGAACCCTCCCACCTGTAGGCTACAATGACATGGCCCAGATGTAAGCTTACTAGCCCTGTGAGAAGTAGGCCATACTTATACTGAAATCTTGTGATTGCAAAAGCACATCCCCATCCCCAGATCTAGGGCAGAGGTTTTCAACCTTCTTGAGTCCATTCATCCCTTGACCAACTACATTCTTTCTGGGGCACCCCTGTGGGGCTCAGGAGCCCAGTTATGTCACCCCTTGCCTGCAGAGCTGGCAGCCCCTCACCTCTTTTCAAACACCATCCCTTGTGGAGTGTTCCCTCAGCCTCCTCTCTGCCCCCCTCTCCTTTGCAGTCTGGGCAGCCACAGCTGCTGCCCCTGGTCTCTGAGCTTCCACCCTGCCCCCAGAGAGAGGTGCCTCCTCACATTGCCCCACAAGGGCCTGGGAAGCACCCCCTGGCCAGCCCCAGAGGCACTATTGGCCTGGGGAGCTTGTAGCCAGGGCTGCTGCAACGAACAGCTGTGCAAGACTTTGGGAAGCAGAGACGCAAGAGGGCATCAGAGGAGGGAGAGAAAGAAAGAAAGAGGGACAGAGGCCAGTGTTGCCTGTGGCACCCGTGACCATCATTCAAGGCACCCCAGGGTGCCACAGCACACTGGTTGAAAACTAATGATCTAGGGTCATTAAATGGGCTCATAGGCTGGTCAATGCCCTGCCATTTTGATTACAGAGGTTTTGTTCCCTAGCTAACTCCACACCAGGTTAGGGTCTCTCTCTCTGTAACACGAAGCAATCTGAAGTATAGGATTTAGGCAGTTACATCAATGAGTGCACAAAGAATGCCATTAAAGGGACAAAGTGGAAGACTGGCATCTGTTTCACAGTGGAAGGGTCTTCAAGTGATCCTACCACACAGACAAAGGTCTCTTGGAGAGGTAAGCTCCAATCCATGCTCAGGATGTTTGTGCAGGGATTTGCAAAGACTGACTTCTTCAAGTATCTTTACACTGAACCTTGTGCGTATGTGTAGTTCCACCTGCAGACTGGGTACCTCTTGCTGGCTTAGTCACACTCTTGCTAGTACACTCTTGCTCTCAGCTCACCCTTAGTTGCCTGTCTAAGGGCCTATTAAGCAACCTACCTAAAATGGCTGCTCTGAGGATGAATAAAATAAGGACCGATTAACAGACTCTGGCTGGGCACGCTATTCCTCATTTTCTTTCTAGCCTCACAGGGTTGTTGCAAAGATAAACAAGATGAGAGTTGTGAAAGTGTTTTGTATATAAAGAGCTGTAGAGAAATGAGTAAGATACCAAAAGTACCATAGCAAAGCCGACCAGAATCCTTTTCCCCACCACACACCTATCTGAATGCATTCTTTTCCCACATCATGACTGTGTCCCACTGGATGCTGATGTAGCCAGGCCAAGCCAGGAAACCAAAATGTTTCCTTCTGGAAACAGAGCTGCCCTTCCAAAGTAAGCAGCAGGCCCCCTCTTTCCTTGGAGGGTTTTCAGCAGAAGTTGGATGGCCATCAGTTATGGATGCTTTAGTTGAGATTCCTGCATTACAAGGGGTTGGACTAGATGACCCTCAGGGTCCCTTCCAACTATGATTTCACTGTAGCTGTTCTGTCAGGGGTGGGGAACTAGTGGCCTTCCAGATGCTGTTGGACTCCAACTCCCATCAGCCCAGCCAGCATGGTAAGGAAGATGGAGGCTCTAGTCCAGCAATGTAAGAACCACCACAGGCTTCCCAACCCAGTCTAGATGCTGTAGGCCAGTTTTCCCCGACCTGATACACGATGGCAGGAGGAGACATGTAGCTATACTGGTCCATTAGAAAATATTAGGGTCAGTGGAAATGCCACAAAATTGTGAGCTGCTTTCAGGTTCCCCATAATACATTTTCCAGTTATAACAGCAGCAGCTAATCAGCCAATTCCCCCCTATGCAGCTGATGTGGTTCCCTGCAAAAGCCACCTCCAGCCTTGGCACCAGATGGATAAAATCGTTCAGCCAAAACAAAAGGAAAAGAAACACTGATGAACCAGATGAGAATGGCACGTTCCCCCCGCCCCACACTTTCCCTTCCAGCCCATCCATCACAAGAACCCTAAAGTACAAAGCTGGTGATGGAGCCAGGAGCCAGTGAGAAGCCATTGTTTGCAAAATACCGAGCAGCTTCGGCCGCCACCACATCCAAAGGTTGCAAATTATACAAGATCGCTTGTGTAATCTAGTCTGGAAAGGAGTACTGCAAGGCAGAAGGAGTGCAGATTCCGAGGGCATTGAAGGAAGGGATCCTCATGGAAACGGGCTGCCCAGTGATGGACCACAGTCAAGCACAATGGAGGGGAGTGGTTCCTAGGAAGGAGCTGGCAGTTCCTTCCCTGTCACTGCTCTGAGGGATGACGAAGCAGCTGAGCCCAGGCAGGCAAGCAAGACGGCACCGCATCCTGCTGCCTGCTCCCTGCAGCGGCTTTTGTGCCTTTCTGGTGCTTTGTTCCAGAGGCAGAAGAGAACAGGGTTGCTGCTTCCCAGGGTAAAAAGCAGAAAAACCCAACCGTGGCTAATTTGCACACCTGAATTCCTCTTAAAATAAGCAGATTTTAAACACTCTGGTGTGGAGGCTGGCCTTAAACAAAGCAGGTGGGTGGACAGGGTGGGGGAACCATTCAAAATGGTTTGAGCCGGGTTGAAGTGGCCAGGTAGCAACTGCAGCCCAGGAATTGTCAAGAGAAAGAGAAATAAACTATGCTAACTGGGGGAAAGAGGCCCCTGATATTTAAGAAGCTTCATGGAAAATCTCTGCTCAAACACCCACAGGAATGACTTTGCAGCACAATTGTACTAAATCAAGAGGCTTCTCCAAAATACCATCTTGTTCCAAGCCCAGCCATGAGAAGATACCCTTGATACCCAGGTGGAAAATAAACTTGATATCCCAGGGCTCCATTCGCCTGTGCAGTGAGAGAGGAGTCAGGCAGTCCCATTAGCACAGATTAATAACTTTCTCTGCAGCAGAGGGATTGAGAGGCACCCAGAAACCACAGACAGTTGTGCAACAGACTTGGAGTGGGCAAGTGGTTTCCAGTTCCCGCATATGCCTTCAACAGCTGGGGTCACCTTGGGGAGGTCCTACGCCTACCCTTTTCACTTTATGGACAAGAATCAATGGGGTCAGTTGCTCATGACTGCACTAGCAGATCAGTCTCTTCAAGCATGATGGGTGAGGTAGGTAGCCATCTGTTGGGCACCCCACAAAATGAACACCCTCCCTTTTGACCACATACCCAAGACTGTGCAACACCTCCCACAGGATACCGAACCACTGATAGATATTTTAAAAAACCTCCGTGGCCATGGCTCATCATGGGAGGCTGACATGAACGTCACTAGCCACCCTCCCAGGAGAACCAGCTCCCACTTCCTGCCCTCCTGAAATGGAGGGTGTCTTTAGCAACTGAAAGAAGTGAGCATCATGAGGTCAAAAGCCAAGCGTTGTACCAAGTGATGAACACAGAGACTATGGGGACAGGGGCGTTGCCAGTTCCGAGTAAACAACCTACAGACTCCTCAGCAAGCCACCTACATCACTTTGAACCCCCATCCTTATACTGCACTGGTGTAACTTAACATGGCGTAATTCACTGTGGTAGTGGTGGGGGTTGGATTTAAAACTGATGATGGTGGGATTCAAACGAGATTATCTCAACCGGTCAGTTTGCAGCCCTTCAAGAGAATAACCTCAGAGGAGGCAGCATAATTTGGGCAGATTCAGAGGATTTAAGTTTTAAAATTTGGGAACATAAATAAATTCATGGGGTACAAAGGTTTGTGTAGGAGGGGGAAGGCATGGTTGCTGCTGCTGTTTTCCTCCAGCTCCAAGGGATCCCTCCTTTCTTCCGAGTAGCCAGACCAACAGCTCAACTAGCCACACCCAGTGGTTTTAAGGCTGCAGAACGAAGGATGGAGCAGTAGCAGCCAAACAATTGAAATAAACTCTAAAGTCACAATCACCAGCACCCATTTTCTAGGCAAATGGATACGCTATTGGTTATTTTACAGGTGGGCTTTGCTGAAATCCGGGAGATTTTGAAGGACATGGACCCACCTTATTGAACAGGCCTGGCTCAGGGCAGTGGTGGAGGGGGTGATTCCCCTTCTTTTGAGAAGCATCCCTGCAGCTGCTCCCCCAGCCCCCCCCCCCAGCATTTGCTTACCCCAATGATGACGGTGTCATCCCCCTGGAAAACTGGGATGAATTTATCTCCCCGTATGATCTCCGACTGGTTCAGGGGCCGGAACCTACAGAGCACTTTGATGCTACATTCATTGACTTCTGTCGTCATGCTGGCTGGGCAATTGGGCTCCCTGTTCGTCCTGGCAGCTTTTGTGGCGAAGAGGTGGAGGAGAAGCAATTCCCAAGGGGAGTCGAGAGGCAGAGAAAGGTGAAGGCGGCGTGCAACCAGGCTTTAGCAGATTGCAGAACGGGAGAACGAGATCCCTGGATTGTCACCCCACAGCAGCAGAGCAATGGGGCTCTCTCGGCTGGGCTGGTGCGTCCTCCGCGCCTGCGTTACCTTGGGATGCTGCTTGCAGTGCCTGTATCTCCCTCCTTCCTGCTGCAGGCATCGGCAGCATCAGCAGCGAGCAAAGGGATGGGCAGCTGGAGCCAGGATGCTATAGCTTTTAAGGTGGAGCGGGTTCTGATCACTTAAGGTGGAAGCAAACATGCTGGTCCTAGCCCGGGGTGTGGAACCTTTTTCAGAACAAGGGCTGCATTCCCTTCTGGGAAACCTTCTGAGGGCCACATGCCAAGGGTGGGCGGGACCAGAAGCAAAAGCGGGAGGAGCAACAAATGTAATTTTTTTTTGCCTGCATCTCTGCTGACCTCCATCCAGGCAAGCAAGACACATTCCTGAATCCTGCCAGGCAAAAACACTCAGGTTGTGGAGCGGCCCCAGGGAGGGCTGTGGCCTGGGGAGAGTCCCCAGGGCCGGATGGAGAAGACTGGAGGGCTGCCTTCTGCTGCTGGGTGTGATGTTCCCCACATTTGCCTTAGCCACTGCCCCCTTCCTCGGCTTTTGAATTGCAGCTGGCACCAGCTGCTTTGTTCCTTTTGAACCACGACCTGGTGCAAAGGGGGGCTGGACTCCTGGAGGCAAGGGGCAAGTGCTGCTTGGCTTGCTGGGTTTAGAAAACAGCACCTGCCAAAATTCCCTTTTATACACAGCCCTGAAGAAGAAGAAGAAGAAGAAGAAGAAGAAGAAGAAGAAGAGTTTGGATTTGATATCCCGCCTTTCACTCCCCTTCAGGAGTCTCAAAGCGGCTAACAATCTCCTTTCCCTTCCTCCCCCACAACAAACACTCTGTGAGGTGAGTGGGGCTGAGAGACTTCAAAGAAGTGTGACTGGCCCAAGGTCACCCAGCAGCCGCATGTGGAGGAGCGGAGACGCGAACCCGGTTCCCCAGATTACGAGACTACCCTGGGCTTCTTTGGGAGGCAAAGCATGGTAAAAATGGGATGAATTAGTAAATAATAAAAGTGAGGATCCTGGCAAATAGAAGGGGAAGAAATGGGGGCAGTGAGAGATTTTACTTTCTTGGGCTCCATGATCACTGCAGATGGTGACAGCAGTCACGAAATTAAAAGATGCCTGCTTCTTGGGAGAAAAGCAATGACAAACCTAGACAGCATCTTAAAAAGTAGAGACATCACCTTGCCAACAAAGGTGTGTATAGTAAAAGCTATGGTTTTCCCAATAGTGATGTATGGAAGTGAAAGTTGGACCATAAAGAAGGCTGATCGCCGAAGAATTGATGCTGGAGGAGACTCTTGAGAGTTCCATGGACTGCAAGAAGATCAAATCTCTCCATTCTGAAGGAAATCAGCCCTGAGTGCTCACTGGAAGGACAAATCGTGAAGCTGAGGCTCCAATACTTTGGCCACCTCATGAGAAGAGAAGACTCCCTGGAAAAGACCCTGATGTTGGGAAAGATGGAGGACACAAGGAGAAGGGGACGACAGAGGACAAGATGGTTGGACAGTGTTCTCGAAGCTACCAGCATGAGTATGACCAAACTGGGGGAGGCAGTGGAAGACAGAAGTGCCTGGCATGCTCTGGTCCATGGGGTCACGAAGAGTCGGACACGACTAAACGACTAAACAACAACAACAACAACAAAGTGAGGATCTGCACCCTTTTCCTAGGCACTCTTTCATTTAATTTAGACCCCATGTCTCAAAAAGCACTCTGCACTGCCCTAATGCCTACTATGTTGGCACTGGCTATGATTATTCACTGCTGAGAAGGGAAAAAAACATTTAGCATGCATTCAGATGCCCTTTCTTTATTATCACTCCATAGTCCATAGGAATAGAGGCAGCTGCTTAGTAACAGATCAGGCTATTTGTTCATTTGGACCAGTGTTGTCTGCGTTGCTGGCAGCAGCTTTCCTAAGTCTGTCACAGACAAATATTTCCCCTCATCTTCTACATGTTCCTTTTTCTAAACTGGAGATGCCAGGGATCGAATCTGAGACCTTCTACATGCAAAGCAGGTGTTTTTCCATTGATTGAGCTCTGGGCCACTCCTCACATGACCTCAGGCTGAGGCCAGAGTCAGTTCCAGGCATCCTGTTCATTGAGCATTCATCCTGATTTGTTTGCACAAAGTTTGTGGGGACGTTAGATGTCATTGCCTATTTATTGTGCATTCATTCTGTTTGCAGGGAGGACAGACAACACTGTGTCAAACAAATATTATCCCACATTTTCCAGTGCATTTCCCCGTCACTTTTCCTAATCACGAAAAGGTTGATTTTGGAAGGAAGCCAGTTTGTTGTGTAATAGCGCCAAATCAGCTTTAATTGCGCATCTTGAATTTGTTGGCGCACGATTGAATCCCACTTGACAATAGCAATGGTCTGAAATCACCCCAGGTTAAAATAAATGTCAGTCTGATTGAAGATGTCATCCACCTAAATACTAGATGACATGCATTATACTTGCTCATATGATTTTTCATTTTTCCAAAGCACCCAAACAACCCAAACCAAGACTGCCTCCACAAATACCGTGGGAGAGGCCACATTCTCATGCCTCCCAGGTTCTTGCTACCTGAAGGCCAAGATTGCAGCTGGAGAAACAATAAATATCTTCTTTTTTGAGATGGGGAAAGCAGAACAGTGTTGTGTACAGTTATGGTCACCCCATCTCAGAATGGACATCACAGAACCAGAAAAAATGCGGGAAAAGGCAACTAAACTACTAGGGGACTGAAATGCCTTTCCTACAAGGAAGGAAAAGATGTGAAAGGGGTGAGCTGAACATAAGAACATAATGTTGGCTGCTTTTTCAAATTTGTTTATTTGTTTCATTTTACTTTTTGTAAAGTAAATCCTGCTTTGGATTATCTTTTTAAAAGGAAAATTAAACACTAGTGGACTCGGCTACATTTGTCAAAAAACAACACTGAATGCATTATAAACCTGCAACATCAGATGGCGCCAGAGAGCAAACAAATTTTCTATGTTATTTTTACATAGGTTTTTTTCTTTTGTTCTAACAATTTAATTTCTGACTTATTAATAGCATGTGTTTTTCTCTTTGTCTAGATCCACCCACTGTCTATCTAAATTAAATATTGCGTCCCTAATATAGCACCCACAAAACAGCTAATTCTGATGGTGTAGAAAGTATAAGTTTTCTAATTCATAGAATCATAGAATCATAGAGTTGGAAGAGACCCCAAGGGCCATTGAGTCCAACCCCCCTGCCAAGCAGGAAACACCATCAGAGCACTCCTGACATATGGTTGTCAAGCCTCTGCTTAAAGACCTCCAAAGAAGAAGACTCCACCACACTCCTTGGTAGCAAATTCCACTGTCTTGGGTTCAGGAAAGATTCCTGTCTGTAACCTAGGAAAGGAATCAGTGTAGACCAGGGACCAGGGCATTGTGAGCTTCCAGTTGCTGTTTGACTGACTCCAGCTCCCATCGCCCCTGACCGTTGGGCCACGCTGGCTGGGGATGATGGGAGCTGGATTCTCAACAGCAGGAGCCACAGATTCTGCTTTCCTGGTGTACACAGTAGTGAGCTATTTGGTCCAATGGCTATTACTTGGTATATATTTGTGTTTGCCTTTGCACCCAACCTCTTCAGCCCTCTGCTCAGAAGGGTTTTGACCCATGAGATCTATAATTATGGTGGTTCTGAAGGACTCCCCTTTCTCAGAACTACTCGTGGGTGTCTGTGGTTATTTTGGGGGAGGGGCAAAATAAAACACTAAAAGGATGGAGGTGGCTAGTTTCTTGGAGGAAAAGATAAATATCTGTACAGTACATGTCACCTCATATCTCAGGTTCTACCAATGGAAGGTGGAAATATGGGGGTTGTGGTTCAGCTACATCCCCCCCAATGGATGTTCATGGGACTACTGTTGCCTATTTAATGTGTGCCCATGTCCTATTTGTTTATAACCAATGCTGGCTTCAAATTTTAGGGTGCCCTCAGGCAAGATCTCCTAAGAAGGCCTTCTGAAATGGTGGCAGTTTACAGACTCTGCTTTCTACTTGTGGTGGCAGCAGTACAAGTTTGTTGTGTAAGAGCTCCAGACCAACTTTAGTTGAGGGAGAAATTTGGTTTGCATTTAAAGCTGAGTTTTTCAAATCCACCCTTTCTGAAACAATATGAGAACCAAAGCATAGTCAATTCATGCAGAAAAAGGCACCGGATCAAACTCTGTGTGCTGGCCTGCAGTTTCTGTGGACCCTTGACATGACTTTTAGAGTTTGATCTTCTGATGACTCATAGTTCTAATATATGTTTAATCCTTCATTGGTATCAGATACATGTCTAGAGCGCAGTCGTCCTCTGTCAGGAACATAGGAAACTGCCTTATAGTTAGATCACTGATCCATCTAGCTCAGTATTGTAACTACATTGGCTGGCAGAGCCACTCCAGAAGTTCAGACAGTCCTACTTTGACATGTTGGAGTTTGAACCTTCTGCATTCAAAGCAGGTGCTCTACCACTGAGCTACCGGTATATCCCTTCTCCATACACAATCTGAGATGCATACGCCACCCCCATATTTGCCTTCTCTAAGCCTCTGAATAATGCCCTGGCCCAGGAGAGATATATCTGGTAAAACCTTTGAATCATCAACATTGCTTACTCTTCCAGGAAACGGGGGGCCAATTGGACAGACGCAGCAAAAACTGCAGAAATCAAATTGAGGCTGACATGTGGGGGGGAAGCAGTACCAGAAGTGCAGTCACTTCTTGCATCAGGCCCCAAGCAAGACAAGAGTGCAGCAGCTGCACTGACTTGCAAAGTAGATTCCTTTCCTTCCAGATGAGCTGAGCTGAATGAAGCTTTAAAAAGGAGCGGGTGAGGATAAGGGAGGTCAGGCCCATGCCCTGCTTGTCAATTTCCCAGAGGCACCTGTCTGGGCTGCTGCTGGGAAGCAGGAGGCTGGATTAAACGGTCCTTGATCTGAACCAACAAGGCAATTCATAGGATGTGCTCTGTATGTTTTACCACAGTTATGTCAGTAGCAGTTATGTCATTCTCTCCAATAATTAACAGAGGGAAAAAAGGTGCACTGAGAGCCAGTGTGGTGATGGACTAAGATTGGGCAGAACCAGGTTCAGACCCCCACTAAGCTATCAAGTTCCCTGAGAGACCTTGGGCACCATCTCTTAGACTAACCAACCTTGCGGGGCTGTTGTGAGAATAATGAGGGGAGAGAGTCCTCAGTATTGTAGAAATATAGTTAAAGAGATGCTACAAGAAAGGGGATGGAGGTCAGAAACAAGGAGGCAATAAAAACAAACAACTCCTAATTCATGATGGGGTTTTGTTTTTTTGTTCTCAAAGGTTTTTTGCTCATGTATTTGATACCAAGATCAAATTTGTGGCCAGCTGTCCAAAATGTTTCTTGAGGATATATTTCTTCCTCTTTATATTCTGTTTTAAATTTAAGACTTTAAAGTATAGTTAAAACAATTAGAGCCTTGCAGGTTCCAGGAGAGATAATATTTTTGCTTACAGTGTGATTCCATCAATGTTTACTCAGAAGTGAGTTCCATTGAGTTCAGTGAAGCTTACTTCCAGATAAAGCATGCTCAGTATTTTATGGGATCTGTTGTGAAATATGTAACTTCAGGCTTTGTTTGTCTGGCAAGCTCTGGTAATTTGAATTAATTTCAACACACAAACCTCGTATTACTTTTTAAAAAACAAAACAAAACAAAACTTTAATGGTTTTTAAAAATACAAATACAATAACCTTTAAACACTTATTCAGAAGTACAGCTCATGGTGTTTGTTTTATCCATTATACAATTACATATTCAACATTCAAACATATTACTTAATGTATTTTATATTTACAAAAAAAATGCTTAAAAGTATTAGATGCACAGATCTAATAAAAGTCATAATGAATAATTAACAATGTGCATACATCAAGAGAAAAAGGTGCAAGTATCATATGTTGTTATAAGCTGTCTTAAAAGGATTAGTCTTGCATTATTTCTTGACTATCAGCAAACCAGAACTGAAGGACAAAATGAGAAAAGACATATAAAATGAAGGATGGATGACACATTGCACTCACCAGCCTGTCCTCCAGTCCTGATGAGTAATACTGAGTAGCAGTATACCTATCACAAGAATACCATCCCTTATTGCCACGCCATACATTTAAAGCAAATGGCTTTCTGCAAAAATAAATAAATCCTGGGAACCACAATTTACTACTCACAGAACTACAGTGCCCTTAGAAAACTACAGTTCCCAGGGTTCTTTGGGGAAAGATGTGCTTCAAATGTATGGTGTGGCTGTAACTTCAACTTTCTAAGAGCTCAGTCTTGGTTTCGTTTTTGAATGAGTCGCTGAGGCTGAATATTGAATCAGTGGTGGACAACCTTTTTTGTTGTCGTCTCAGGTACTTTGTTGGGGCTGCATGTTGATTGTGGGTGCGACTGAAGACAGTAGCGGGTAGAAGCAGAATCAAATTGAATGGGCAATCTCTTTCTCTTTCTTTCTGACATTCCTTCCTTTACCTCTGTACCCAGCAGGCTGGGAGGCACAGATTGTGCTTGCTAGAGACCTGAAGAGTGTAAGCTGTTGACCCTGTAATAAACGTAAATCTGCCCTTATTCCCTTATGGGGGACACAAGAGCCCTTAAGAGTCCTTTGCAGGTTCTCCATCGGTCGGAGAAAATAACAGAGGCCAACCAGAGAATATTGAGAAGCAAAGCAGCTAGTAAGCCTGATCTGAACTGTTGCAACAGGGTGCCCCCATCACACGCAGGAGAAGGAGGAGGACCCAGAACCAAGGTGTGTCCACCCTTATATAGAAATTTTAAATTGTCAGCCCTGGAGTCCAAGGCCACCCCCAGAGACATCATACCTACATCACAGAAAAGGCAGTCTACAACAGAAATCTGAGTGCGTTGTTTATCTCCTGTCTGGCAGGTTACCTGCTAATGCTTACTTGATTGGATTTCCTGGGGAGCCTGGCCAGTCTTTTGTAATGATAAATACTTAGTTCCTGAGCCAGGTCACAGGCTCACCCTATTCATACACAGACATACCCTTCAGACAGGATTTGTGAATGAAAAGACAATGGGGAGGCATTTCCATTTTCCTTCGACCTTGCAGAGAAATCATTTGGTCAGTTCAGGAGTCAAAATGGTTCTAGGGCTTTTTTCCTGTGCTGCTTGAGACATGTGGTTTATATATTTATGTACATGTTTGCTTGGTACATTTATGAACATTTATTATATACATATAACACCTTAAATTTTTTATTTCAACCCCATGTGGCTTGAGGGCCACAGTTTGGCCGCCCCGTGCCAAAGCTGCAGAAGAAGATTAAATAGGCATTTGCTGTGTTTCCACTTATTGGAGCAATCAATGAATGGAGCCAATATTGCTGGCTCCTCTGGCTCTGTTAAAAATTAGTTGCCACCTAGGGTTTTAAGCAATCTTATGTGAAGATAAGATCCACTGAAGTAAGTGAAACTCCTACTTTTAAATAGATGCATGTGGATTGGGTCTTAATTCTATACGTATTACATTTTATTAGTGGTCCAGGCTATATTATGACCTCAATGGATATCACAGCCATAAATCTGGAGAAATTTAGGCATCCTTAATTCCTACTGACATAAATGCTGCTTATTTACAGAATTAGCTAAATCGCATTATTCTGATATTACTGTTGGCAATTGTGTCTGCTGGTATCAGTAAAAGGCACAAAAAGGATATATTCCTGAGATGATAAATAATTGATATAAAGAATAATTTATTAAAAGGCTTGGGGTGTCCCAAGTCATTCATCCCTGTTAAATAACTGTGTACCTAAGTCCACATGCGGAGGACTGAGAATCTTTCATGTAGTGCTTTTTTTCTGGGGGGACGCATACCCCTAAACATTTTGTGAATCTTTGTACTTTTGTCCATATCCTGTGTTTATTCTTCCTATAAAATGGTGATTTTCTTGAGTCAAAATGAGAGTACCCCTAAACATTTTTTAAGGAAAAAGCACTGCTTTTATGTACTAAAAAGCAAACTCATTCTACAAGTGCAGAGCATCGTCCCCATCCATGCATAAGTAGGCTCAGGGAACCTCAGGTTTGGCAAAAGTATGAAATCGGGGAACAACGACCCCAAAACAGCTGAATGTGCAGACCCTCCAAGTGTCCCTATTTTCTAGGGACAGTCCCTGATTTACAGGTTTCTGATTTGATCTCAGAATGTCTCGCTTTTCCTTAGGACATCCCTATTTTCTTCGGAGAAATGTTGGAGGGTATGAGTGTGCTCAATGACCACAGGGAATCTTTTCTTTTGAAAGGGGGAAAAAAAAACCTGTGGCGGAATGGGGAGCGGGGAAAGTGTAATGATCTACTATACAGTACTGGAAGCCGTGGCAGACCTTGGGGCCTCACGGCCTCTCGCACGCCCTTGAAGAGCAGAGTCGGGGCCCCTTGAGGGCAGCCAAACGGGTCACGCTCCCCGCGTCGCTGCGGAGGGGTCGCTTTCTTGTGAGGCTCCCTGAATACCTGCGAGGGCCGAAAGGAAAACATAAATTTGATTTATTTTTTTTTAATTAAAACCCTCGTTTTGCGTTACCAGTTGTCAGCAAACGTCGAGAATAATAGCAGCGGCGTACATTTTCCGTCCCCTAGCAACACGCCTATTCCGCATCTCCTTTGGCGACTACAACTCCCAGAAGGCACTGCGTGGCCGAACGACTTACCTCATTCTTCCTTTGTACTATACAATACTCGGAGGTGGGGTTTTTTGGGGGGGCTGTTCTCGCGATATTTGGGTTTTCTTCCTTCCCCACCCCCACCACCGCCCGGCCTAGGCGGATTCTGCCCATCTCTCCCTGGCCATGGCCGACCCCAAGTACGCGGACCTGCCCGGCATTGTGAGTGTGCGAGGAGGGGAGCGGGGTGGGGGGGGCGAGGAAGGTTCCGGGCCAGGGCAGAGGAGGGCGGAGAAGAAGAAGAAGAAGGCGGCGGGTGGGGCCGCCTCGCTTCGCTTTGTTTCGTGAGGTGGTTGGGGCGCCGGCGGCGGCAGCCTGGGGACGGGGCGGGGTGGGGTCTGCCCTGCAGGGAGCAAGGGAGGAAACTGCCTGGATCCTGAGTGGAAGCCGAAATAGGGCTAAGGCTGTGACTCTTATCAAAAAAACACGTGGTGTAATGAATAATAATCACTCTTATTATATTTATATGTATGTTTGTATCTACATTCGAAGATCCCAGGGTGGTTCACGGTAGTGTTCCAGAGGATGTGCAGAGTGCCTTTCTCCTCAGCCGCGAGAGGTTGTGACAAATCTCATAGGAAGCTGCCTTGAAAAAAAAACCCACGCAGACACACACACACCACCCTTCATCCGAGGATCACAGGGCAGTTTACAAAATAAAAACAAACCAATACATACAGTGCTGAGTCAGGCGGTTGGTCCATCTAGTACAGTAGTTCCTACACTGACTGGCAGTGGCTGTCCAGGATTTCAGACAGGGATGTGAACAGGCAAAGCAGGTGCTCTACTGATGAGCCATGGGGAAGCCTAGCCCAAGTTAGCCATCACCCCTCCAAAAGCACCCCCATTCGTTTTCCCCACTTTCATTGGGATGTGGATTTGCTTGTGGATTTTATCCACAGCCAAATAGCTTCCTAAGGTTGGTGGTCTCCACATCCTTTGAGGGAAACTTGGGTGCATTCACCCATTACCCAATTTCTGTAAGCTTGTAACTGTTAGCATTTGAGCATCATTTTGCCTTGCAGTGTGACCCACGTAGGAGCACTGGCCACATTCAATAAAGGGTTAGTAGATGGGGGCCTGTGATTAGTTGCTAAACTGCTTCTTGCTGATGTCCGGACAGTTGTGTTTTTATTCAGTTAGGGATGCTGTACCCTGGGAATTTAGAACATTATTCACGATAGTTTTGTGTTTTGGCCAAGCAATTGGTTCTTTCCCCAAACATTCTATGGAGTGTGTGATAGAGCAGCTCAGTTGTTCAGGAAGGACAGTGGCATGACTTGAGGTCCCATGTAAAGAGCAACATATCCTATCTATACATGCCCCATCCATTTTCTTCTATTTTATATTGTGGGGAACCTTTTTTAACCTGAGAGCCACATTCTTTGTGGGGAACATTTCAGGGGCTGCGTGCCCAGATGCAAAAGTTGTCGGAGCAATTGGTATGATTCTTACCTTTGTACAGTAAGGTTATATTCTAGTGACACCCATCAGAGATTGATATGTGCTCACCCCTGGGGTTTAATGTGGGCTAATCAGGTTCCTTAGTAGTAAGTTCAGTAGTAGTAGACAGGTATCCTATAATGAGAACTTTACCACCACTACCATTATTCCCTAGAAAGGAAGAAAGCAGTGTTTAATGTGCTTTAGGACCTTCTCAAAGTTCAGACAGGCTTGACCAGCTTCTCGAATGAGCTGAGTGTTCATCCTAGCATGTTCTCCAGCCATCCTCAAAAGATGTGTCCACAGTGAAAGGGTTCCCTTAAGATAGAAGTTTTGAAATCTACAGTTTTAGGCAATAGATGTTCTTTTAAGTTAAGGGCCGGTGGGCTAGTACCAATGTTTGTGACTTTTGTGCATTTACTTGTTTACTTCTGTTCTCTGATTGTCTGGATGATGAGAGTTTATTCATTCCTGCTTTGAGGGCATATCATTGCCTAGAACACTTTTGGGTCTTTTCTGACCTTCTGTCTCTTTGTCTCTGGCCTTACTGGACTATCTTTGTGTTTTCCAGGCCAGGAATGAGCCTGATGTTTATGAAACAAGTGATCTCCCAGAAGACGATCAAGCGGAGTTTGATGCGGTAAGATCATGTGACACTTATTCATGTCTTCAGTAGTGTTCTGGTTGTGTTATGTGGGTGTGCCAAGCCCCCAAACCATCTCCAAATGTTTCTTTTGACCAAAGTGACTTGTGCTACTTAATGCTGCTGTGGATTTGACTGGGTGAAAGGGTGTACGGGGTGGGTATGTGATAGAATTTGGTAGCTTAAATCTTTTTTTAAAAGGATCTGGATAGTTAAATCATTCTTAAGGTTAAATAAGGTGGAAAGCATTCAGCAGCTCCCAAAAAATAATGAATTTTGTGAACATCTGTCCACCCCAGTGACAATAATTTCCTCTTAATCGGATTCTACAAAATATTTCTAAACTATGGATATCTAAGGAGGGCTCGTGCTGCTCCTTAATAACATTCCTTTAAATTGAGATTAGATGTTTAAATTATTAGTAGAAAAGTTGAAGATTTGAAAGCTTTTGAACTTTCCTGCTTGCCAGGAAAGAGCTGTGTTTGCCTTTGACAAAATACATGAAATTGGATGCCTTTATCTTCAGAGTGCAAAGCCCTCCTGAAGTAATCTTGAAGATTTTGGTCAAAAACCATATGCTGGAGGCATTCATTAATTTTAAATAGCAACTCTTTATGGGACCCTTGCTGAAATGAATATAGGGTATTAACAACTGTATGCTATGGTGACAGCCCTGGTCCAGGAAAATGGATTTCAGGAGATACAGAAAAATACATTAATTGCTTGTAAGAGAGTGATAGATGAATTGTGCCCCCTTTGTTCATGTATCAACATCAGTTTGGTATCTAAAATTAGAAATGGCAAACTAACCTTAAATCCTGACAGTCTAGTTCTAGACTTTTGTACCCAACAATGTTGCCAGGAGTGAGGTTTGGTTTTGCAAGTGGTATAAGCTAGGCTGTTTTCACATGTATATTGGGGGATAAATCTTTTTGCATGTTCATGGCTGGAAAATATTTTGGATTTCAGGAGCAAACACCAGATGTTTTGGAATCAGGGCTCTGTCCAGAGCTGAGAAAATAGGCACAAGTATGTCATTCCAAAGAAACAGTGGTAGTCATCAACTTGGATGACTTTAAAAGAGGATCTAGAAGTCCCATTGAGCTCAGTAGGATATATTCCTGAGTAGACATGTATAGAGTTGTGCTGTGAGTGTCCCTTGAACATTAGGTCTCTTGTGATGCGTACATCTCTTGGTGCTTCTTCGATCGGTAACAATTCTATTTTAGCACCAATCAATCTCTGATGAAATCTAAAATCTATAATGAAAAGTGTTTCCAGCATTTCTTACAGTTAACCAGCAATAGCATCAGACTGTTGCTGCCATGCCTATACGTTATGTCCACCCCCATTTGTGTAGACTTTAATTTCATTTACAGTATTTGCTGTTCTTAATTTTCTGAGAATGTGAGATGGCCAGGTGCTATATCGGCTGGAGCAATAGGTGGGTGCTTCTCTTTGTTTACTCACCTGGATCAATCTTTGCTCAGTCCAGATGAGCAGTGAACAGCACCTATGCTACATTGTGGTCTTCAGTAGAATTTCTACCAAGATCTGAATCCATCATAGTTTAGCTACAGTGTTTGCATAAGGATGGGCAAAAAGTGTGTTTTATGGGTGAGGCTGTTTGTCCCTAGTTTTAAACACAATTGGATTGTTGCAACTGTAGTTGTATAGAGTGGCTTGTTTGGCTACAGATAATATGAAGCAACATGAAATTTTGTTATTCTGAGAAAAGCCTAAGGAAAATAATCTCAGCTTTCATTTTACAAAAGGGGTGTTTTGTGCAGGGGTAGCGGGGAGCTTCTGGATTTCATGGCTAAGGAGAAAGCAATATCTGAACAGCAGCCTTTGAAAACTGGTATGTCCTTCCAGCTGTTTTGGGGTAGTGCTGTAGCATCAGAGTCACAATTCTGGGTTTTTCACCAAGGTACAAAGTGGAGTGTGTGTGTGTGTGTGTGTGTGTATTTGCTGCGGAGAAGCAGTGGGTGGTGTGCAGCTGCTTAACCTTTCACTTGCTGCCACTTTCCTTCTTCAACAAGTAATTCTGCTCTAAGCTTTCCATAGTAAAGAAAATGCTTCCCTCTCTCCTAAATTGACATTGAATGATTTGTCACAACAGACTGGATTTGTCACAACTAACTAGCTGGGCTGACTGATCGTCATTATTTGGTCTGAACTTTGCAAGGGTCAGTTCGGCAGTGGCATCTCCATGCTGGTATGCTCCAGGTCTTGTCTTCCGTCCCTTTATTTGCAATAGGACAGAATAAAGATTCAAAATCTTGTGTTGGATTACCAAACTTAAGAGAGCAAAATAAACAAAAATAAACTTGAGAAAAATGGCCCATAAAAAATTAAAATTACTTGTAACAATGAAGTGTAGTGAGTTAGACTAGAGCAGGGGTAGGCAGCCTCAGACTGGGGTAGGCCCACAGACGGTCCAGGAATCAGCGTGTTTTTACATGAGTAGAATGTGCCCTTTTATTTAAAATGCATCTCTGGGTTATTTGTGGGGCCTGCCTGGTGTTTTTACATGAGTAGAATGTGTGCTTTTATTTAAAATGCACCTCTGGGTTATTTGTGGGGCATAGGAATTCATTCATTCCCACCCGCCCCCAATATAGTCCGGCCAACCAAATGGTCTGAGGGACGGTGGACCGGCTCACAGCTGAAAAAGGATTCTGACCCCTGGACTAGAGGTAAGGAACTTGACTCAGCCAGGAAGCTTGCTGGGTGACTTTGGACCAGTTTCTCTCTTTTAGGCTGATCTATCTCAGAAAGTAAAGATGAAATAGGATACTCCCATGTGTAACTGCTCCTTAGTTCCTTGCACAGGGGTGTGAGAAAGTTTTTGGCCTGGTGGGTCGAGACTTTTTCTCCCCCAGCCTGTGAACCAACTTTGACAGTTGTGCATGGTCTCCACCATCGGTCATTGCCAACCGTCATGACCTTGAGTGGTCAGGTGTGCCAACACAGGTAGGGAGAGGGGCCATTGTGCTCATGCTCTGCTTGCAGGCTTCCCCCAAGCATCTGCATGTCACCTGTGAGAACAGGATGCTGGACTAGATGGGCCAAGTATCCATATTCCTGTGAATCCTGGACTTTTTCTGCTGCAATGATTTTCAGCCATTTCAAGTAGTAGCTCTCAAGCTGTTTGAGGTCTGAGACCATTTCCATGAAAGCAGCACATAGACTCACTAGTATGACTTTCCTTGGATGTGCATCAGAATGGGGAAGAATAGTTATCCAGTAGCTTAATTCTTATTTGAAATCTAAATATTATTATTATAGCTTCTGGGTTCCTTGTCCTGTGAACTTTGGAAATCACTCCCGTTGATTTCAGGGTCACTTAGATCCATATGATAATGCTCAGAATTGCAGTCCACAGCCATCTGATTTAAAATGAGTGATGGACACCCATCTTTTGGCTTGAGTTCAAATTGAACATAATGGAAAAACAGCCCCCATGCAGCTGTGGCTGTACATGAAGGAACCAGGAGAAAGCAGCCCAAGTGTCAGAATTGGACTTAGTTTCATGTTTAAGAAACCGCTGCCCAGATTCTTGGAAGGGCGCTTAAAGTGTCTGCTTAGAATTAAGGGACTGGATTGGCCTATTCCTAGTTTTGTGCAGCCTTTTGAGTATGTGGTAGTTTCTTGCAATGTGTGCACATGTTGTCTCTCAGACTTCAGCAATCCAGTCATGTACCTCCACTATCATGGGAAGGGGGTAGCTTCTGACACATCATTTCAAATGACCCCCCAAAAGTGTTTACACTAATGTGCACAAAGCAGGCTCCTGGATATGGCAGTGGATGCACAAGAATGGCTTGCCATAGTCCAGAAATCAACATATTCAGGTTATTTAAGCATGTCTCCCAGTGCAGTTGCATCCCCCAATGGTTGTGGGCATCCTTCCAAGCAGTGCATCACTATTTTGAATGTGGTTGGCCACATCTGCAGTAAAGTCATCTTGCCATTTGGGCCCCCCCCTATTATTAAGAACATGTGCCATACTGGATGCAATGAAATACAGACAACTCCCCATTCATGCGTGTTCAATATGTGTGCAACTATGTATCATGCCAAACCCAGAAGTGACCTGAAAACGTCACAAAAAGGGGCGGGGTGGGGCAGTGTTGGAAAGGGGGTCTTTGCAGGGTTCCTCAATGGTGTTTCAAATATACACAATTTCATTTAAATGTGTGGTACCTTGGAACGTAAAAGGTAAAGGTAAAGGTACCCCTGCCCGTACGGGCCAGTCGTGACTGACTCTGGGGTTGCGTGCTCATCTCGCTTAAGAGGCCGGGAGCCAGCGCTGTCCGAAGACACTTCCGGGTCACGTGGCCAGCGTGACGAAGCTGCTCTGGCGAGCCAGCGCAGCGCACGGAAACGCCGTTTACCTTCCCGCTATAAAGCGGTACCTATTTATCTACTTGCACTTAAGGGTGCTTTTGAACTGCTAGGTGGGCAGGAGCTGGGACCAAAAGACGGGAACTCACCCCGCCGCGGGGATTCAAACCGCCGACCATGCGATCGGCAAGTCCTAGGCACTGAGGTTTTACCCACAGCGCCACCCGCGTCTCTAACCTTGGAACGTAACCCCTGCACAAATTGGGAGTTGCCTGTACTCCTAATTCTGACACCCTAACCTTTTTAGAGGAAAGGTGAGTTTTTTTATAAAAAATTAAGGCTGGAAAATGATACATTGCATTTTCTTTCTAGGGAAATGCTGTGGATGCAGGCTAAAAATGCAAAGCACGATGAGTTTGAAGCAGAATTTTTGTTTGCCAGCCTTTGTCTTCCATATGGCTTTTCAGAAGAGGGATCATAGTTCAATGGTAGCACTGCAAGATGGTCTCAGGTTCTGTTCCTGCAGGTCCAATTAAAGAAATTCTGGTACTTGCCCTGAGTAAGATTCTTCTTTTCCTGAGACCCTGGAGAGCCTTCCCCACCTGGTGCCCTCCAGATGCTTTGGACTACAACTCCCATGATTGCTGACCATGCTGGCTAGGACTTGTATTCGAAAGCATCTAGATGGCATCAGAAAGGGAAAGGTTGCAGTAGGCAACACTAGACCAGATGAACTTGGGCCATTGTTTTACATTCATCAAGTGAAAAGCCTAAGGTTCTCCAGATAGTGCTGGTCTACAGCTCCCACCATCACTGGCTATTGGCCATGTTGGCTGGTGCTGATGGACAGCTCCCACCCCTGAAGTCCATCACCTGGTGGGAAAGCCACCAGTTTCCCATCACTGATCTAGTCTATCATGCTGTTTCCAGCTATGGATGGCCATTTGCTTCTAGGAAGCTTAAAAATGGGGCATGGAATTGTTGGCCTATGTAGCCTATGCAGTTTCTGATAATGGAGAGTCTATTTAATTATTATGCCTAACCTCCCTTGATAGACTTATCTTTGAAGAATTTAGCATACCCTTACAAGGCATCTTAAGGCCATGGCCATTACCATTTCTTGTGGTTATGAATTCCATCTGTTAAATTACACACTGTGTGGGAGCTGTTCAGCAGCAGGGAATTATAACTTCACACACACACACCAATTACTTCCTCTTGTCTTTCTTGGTCCTACTGCCAACCAGTTTCAGTGGGTGACCCCAAATTCTAGTATTGTGAAAAGGGGGGAGAAGAAAAATCTTTCTTCTGCATCACTTGTACTTTTAAGAGCCTCTATCATGTCCACCCTTGCAGTTTGTGGAAATGCTTCTCCATCAATGCTGATGCATAGACAAGATGTTTGAGATGTGATGGCTGCTCATATTTGAGTCTTGGATGTGATTCTCCTCTTTCATATCCAGAAAATGTTTGGTTTGTGGCTTTCTGTAGTACCCACCCTCTCTGTCAAGGAGGGATACTAGTAAATAGATGCTGAACTCCAGCAGTCATGGTTTGTGTTTTAGCATTTTGTCCTATCTCCCTGTGAAAACCAGCCACGCAACCTGGTATTGTTTGCCCTTAAATGCTTTGCTGTGGGCTGCACAGAAGCTGTGCTTCCTTCTAAGCTTGCAATACTCCTGAGAGGAATTGCATGAGGTACATAGTAACTCATAGTAACTGGCTGTGGGGAGGGGAGGGTGAGGGAGGAGGGTTTGAATAATACATTACTTTGGCAGTGCTAGCTGAGGGGACCAGTTGAGGCACCAGTTCCCTTACGTAGTCTTGACATAAATCCCCAGCACCTGGGTGCCTAAGCATTTGATACTAGTGGCTACCTATTCCAAAAATATAACATTTTGACCCTGCCCTTATGGTTGGAACATGTGGTTTTCTGCATAGGATTCAGAATCTTGCTAATCTTGCACCATATCAAATTAAGATTCCACATTTAGCGTGAATAATTAACATAGCTGTTTAAGGAAACATGCACCTTTTTTACATAGCATCATGTGCTTTGCACTAACTAAAACTGCACTTGATTTTTAAACCCCATATTGGGCTGGAATTTATACTGCATGAAAGTTGTTTCGCCAGGGAGGGGAATGGTGGCAGGTTAAAGGTAAAGGTAATTGAGGGGTACAAAGATGTGTGTGGGAAGGCATTATTTATGTGTGTGAAGTAAACACATAAAAGCAGGGAAGCGTGTTCTAGCTCTGCTGCCCTGTCACTGTTCCAATTCCCCTTCATGAGTTGGGAGGGCGATCATTGGGGCAGGAATAAAACTGCTAGCACATCTGCAAAGCTAAGCAAGTTCCAATATGGTTTCAGATTGGATGGGAACCATGTGTTGAGATTCCTGTATTGCAGGGATTGGACTAGATGGCCTTTGGGGTCCCTTTTGAATCTACAAGAAGGGAAGGGGTGAGGAACTGGTGGACCTTCAGGAGTTGTTGGACTCCATCTTCCATCACCCCTGACTGTTGGACATTCTGGCTGAAGCTGTTGGGAGTTGGAGTCCAACAATATCTGGAGGGTCACAGATTCTCCATCTTCACCAGCTGAAGTTTCAGTGGCAGCCCCATATAACACAACAGTATTCAATCCATTGAGTTACCTGGGCATTAATGACACAGATGTGATTGGACTCCCAGCTCCCAGCTCCCATCACCCCTGACCATTGGTCATGCTGGCTGGGATGGATAGGAGTTGAACTTCAAAAGCATCTGGAGGGCCACACATCGGAGCCCACCACTCACCTGGAAAACACCACATTGGCTACGCACAGGCTCAAGGCTTTGCTTGCTTCATGGTGACTGAAGCAGCGCTTGCAGATTGGGTTGCTTGCAGATTGGATTGCAACTGACGGAAGCACAGTTTTTAATCCTGTAATTACCTTCCATGAAAATAAATGACAGGAACTGTTGTTCTGCTCACTTGAATAGTTTCTAAATGCTCAAAAATGACAGATCTCTGAGTTGGGAGAGGTAGAAGGCTGCCATTGAGAAAGCAAAAGAGAGAAGCAGTGCTCTTTTTGCTAGTTGCTACGGATTTTAAGAGGCTGCCATTAAAGATGTCCATATGAAAAGTTGGGAGCACAGGAGCTCCTCTGATGGGAGCTGGCATAAAGGTTTCGTCCTATAAATGATTCACTCCTTGAAAGTAGGTCAGTGCTTGGGGGAGGTGTGCACAGTCTTTCTTCTTTGCAGGCATCACTGCTTGCTAACCTTACAGGGAAGGACAGGCTGGTGGAGCATCAGCTTCTTTCTCTGAGGGTTCTGGGGTGTGGAGCGGAGCGGGAGGTTGAGTGAAGAAGAGTTTTCGGCATGAACTCATAATACTTTGTTTTCTCAGAGTTAATGTTTTGTATTGGAAGGCTTTACTATTAATGTCACCAGTGGACATGACATTTTACAGTATAAACATAGAAGAGATTCCTAGAAGGAATGAAGTAGGGGGGAGAGAAGGACATGGACAAGATATGAATATGAAATATGAGAGAAGAGAACCACATAGGTATTTATCATTCGGTGTCAGTCACTGGGCTTTAAAGTTAAAATTCTAATGATGTTCTTTGCAATTTTTTTGTAAAAAATTCCTTTCAGTGAGGAAAATGGCTGCCAAGTGGCAAGAAGCAAGAATCGCATGTCCACTTCTGAGGAAATTCTAAAAGCTCACAGCATTAATGTCCATTTGTTTGTGTGATTGGTCATATGTCAGATTTTGGATGTGGATGTACTGTGAGGGTATAAGCTATTTGAGGCCTATTTTGGAAAGAATAGGTTATGGCAGGAGTAGGGAGGGTGGTGCCTCCCAGATGCTTTGGGACACAGCTCTCATCATCTCTTGCCATGGACTGCTGGAAGTTGCAGTCCAACAACGTCTGCAGGACATCGTGTTGGCTGCTCCTGCATTATGGGCATGGCTATATGTATTCTACTTTTGCCCAAGGCAAGCTGAATTCTGTAAGTTGTCTAAATAATGCAAATTGACATATCCTATCCAGTGTGCCTCTTGCCCTTAAAGCATCGCCCACATACCTTCAGCCTATTTTTTCACAGTTATAAGGACAAAGAAACAGCCCTCAAAACAAAAACAGAGATTCTCAGGAAGTAGAATTCTGCACACAGTTAAAATATTGGATGGTGTAGGATTGCAGAATACACACAGCCCTGGTTTATGGTTGTGTGGTTCCTGGTCTACGGGAAACCCATGGGCTCGAGTAGAGCTCCATGAAACTGATAGGGTGGGTAGGTGGGTTTCCCATTCAGAATTAGGCCTGCCCTGAAGATGCTGGGAATGAGGTGGTAAAATGAGCTGTGCCACTTCAGATGACAGGTGGAGAATAACAGTGCTGCATTTTGATTTCCAAATACGTCTCTGCCCATACTGTACTGTGACACAAAAGTTGGGACTAAATGTTGCTATGGTGAGAGTACCACAAGCACCTGCAAGACATTTGTGTGTTTTTAATGTTGTTTTTGAAGGTTATGTAATCGCTAAGGTTTTGGGGGCCTTTGATCCAGCTCTGTTAACCTCTGCTATTAGTTCCACAGGCTTTTTCCTTTGCAGCTGCCATAGAGGATGCCTTATGATTTTGGGAATTTGCCTGATAACTGTTTTAACTGTGTTTGTATTGAACTGTTGCACACTTGAACTTATCTGAGTTTTCCTAATGCTCTTCCCCTTCACCCCTCACACCACCTTGCCTGGACACTAGTTTGCACAAGTAAGACCATTAAAAATGCTTCTTCTTATTTTATTTCTCTGCATGCTTCTAGAATTTTTGTGTTTTGCATGTGGGTAACTGTGCACTTTTCTCTTCTTTAATTACTTTAAAATCCCTGTTTATAATATGGCAGTGGGGAAACAATGAATATTAATCAAGGGTTGTTTTGATATATAATATTTGTGAATGATTCGTGGTGCTGTTATCTTTTCACTGGGGCTCTTGCACAGAACAGAGGAAAGCAATAAATTCAGGATTATAGGCTTTTTCAAGAAAAAGAAAAGGGGAGAGAGAGAGAGAGAGAAGTAGGGAGCCTCATTTTACTTCAGCCTGTTGATTCAGGAGAAAAGGGAAAGTATAATAGAAGTTGCATTAATATACTTATTTTTGCACTCTGGAGGGTAAAATGGTAGATTCTGGGGTAGGGCTGGGCGATATATCAATACAGTGGTACCTCGGGTTACATACGCTTCAGGTTACAGACGTTTTAGGTTACAGACTCTGCTAACCCAGAAATATTACCTCAGGTTAAGAACTTTGCTTCAGGATAAGAACAGAAATCGTGCTCCTGAGGCGCGACGGCAGCAGGAGGCCCCATTAGCTAAAGTGGTGCTTCAGGTTAAGAACAGTTTCATGTTAAAAACGGACCTCCGGAACGAATAAAGTACGTAACCAGAGGTACCACTGTATATTGTCCAAAATTGGTTTGAAGTGTTTCATAATATTTGAGCTGGCAATATATCACAAGTCACAATGTGTGTAAGGGCTAGGTGATATCTGGTTTTCAGAATTGTGATAACTCACCAGCTAAACATTGCAATGTTGTCACCAGTTAAACATTGCAATCTACCACAATGTCTGGAATAAGGATGGAACTATACAGAGGTGAACAGGACAATGTCCGGGCAACTGCTACTATTTAGGTGTCTAAAACGGATAAATGACAGTATTATCAATCATTACACACTCAGTTTCATCAACAGGAAAGCCAAAATGCATCCCAACAGGACTTTTGGTTTTGGGCTTGTATACCAAATAGTGATATTCAGGACAATTGAAAGTCCTGTTGGCTTGCCTGCTGCTGAAAGTGACCATGAGGTGATTGGTAATATAATCATTTATCAGTTTTAGACCCTTAAGTAGTAGCAGTTGCAGGACATTGTCATTTTCGCCTCTGCGTAGTTCTTTCTTTATTTCAGATATCATGATATATTGATATATCATGATGTTTGCTTGTGATATATCACGATATTGAAAACCAGTTATCGCCCAGCCGTATTCTGGGGAATAAAGGCAGCTTGTGTTGAAGTGGCACAAATTCTAGGAGAATCAGGCAGGTTGGTTGGCAGGGGCAGGATGTATCAGACATTGCAGGATGGAGGCATGGCTGAGAATCTGCACTGGAGTTCTGGTTCTTAGTTCTGAAGTATGTCAGATGCATGGCTCTGAGCTCTTCCCACTCCTTGCCATACAAGCAACAGCCAAGTTCCTTCCACTTCCACATCTGATATTTAGGATCAGGGTTTCCAACTTGGAAGGGATGGTTTGGCTTGAATGCCTGGTCTGTTGCATTTTAAACCCACTGGATCTCGCAAGTGTTCCTTCCCATACAAAACTCGTTCTTGACAGATCAGTTTAGATATGCAGCAAAATTAGAGTCATGACCCTGGGTGGGTCTGAGGCATGTCACATAGGAAACACCTAAGCCTCAGGACAGTAATTTTTACGGTGGAATGCTACATGAGACTACTGAGAGGTAATCCCTGTTGAGTTCAATGGGACTTATTCACAGGTTAAGTGAGTATAGTGTTGCAGTCCGGTTGAAATCTGTCTCTGTACACGGATCAATTTTATATCAATGGCTTTCATAAACGTTACCACAGGTATTTCAGAGACAAGTATTTCAGGTACATCCATAAATAAGTTGTGTGTAAATGCAGATTAACACCCCCATAAGTACAACTCTAGGCTGCTTTTGAAAATTAGGCACTGATCTGTTTTCAAAACATGGCTTATCAAATGTTTTGGATCATGGTTTTAGCTTCTGAAGAGTAGGGCAAGGCATTGCCCAGAGTTTAGATCTGCCCAGCCTTCTCTTCCAATTCTTACAGTACAATGGCTCCCCTTCACTTCATTTCTCAGCTCTCCATCCAACCTGTGATAGGAACGCACATGCCATGGACAGTGTGGTAAACCCTGGCTTTAAAATTACATGTGTTTGCCACCATATAATATGCAGATGACATGGCAATAAGAGAAGAAGACTATATAGACCCAATGCAGATATAATACTGGCTTCATCAAAATTGTGGTTTGCAGGAGCCAGCCTTAGGAATTCACCCTCCTCCCCTCTCCAGTGTGGATTCTTCCATACTTGTTGTCAGATTTAATCACGATTTATAATTGCATCTCCAATGATGTCCTGCTGACTAGAGTTCCCATCTTACCTGGAGATTGAAACCAAGGTTTGTTTTGGGTTTGCAAGCCGTGGTTAATACTGGTGCTGATAGAACATTGAAGTTTAGCAGTTAAACTGAGGTTCAAGGTGACAAGGGAAGAGAGGGGGGAAATTGTGCTTGAGAGGAGGTGGGGGACAGGGCAGGCTTTCATGAGACTGGCTCGCCAATTGCAAACTATGCATGGTTGGCAGGGAACCATCATTACACTTGTTACATCTGCACCAGATCATAAGTTACAGTTCTTTAAGACTTCTTCAATCGGTTTCTAACATTTTAAGTTTTAAAGATGTTAGCTATTTATATATTATTACATTTTTACCCCACCTTTCCCCTAAGGGTCTGAAAGTGACATACATGATTCCCCTCCTTTCCATATTATCCTTGGCACAACACTATGCGGTAGGTTAGGCTGAGAGGCAGTGACTAGCCCAAGGTCACCTGGGAGTTCCATGAGCAGGAGCTGTGTGATGGACTCGCTCATTTCAGCCGTGTTAGGTTCACCCCTCGCCCCTGCATACACGTCCCTGCCAACCCCTCTTATTTGTATAGCACAGATACATTGCACAGACCTAGGCTAATATCAGAATGAATAATGAGCAAGGAAGTAGAAGAGAAGTGAAGTAGAAAAATAACTGTGTTTTCAGTCTGAGCAGCTTCCAAGCCTGTTGAAAGTGTAACAGCCTGCCCTGAGTATGCAAGATCAAATCTGGAGGGGAGGGAGACCCAAACCTGATTGAAACATTGATTTTCCTGACAGTCTTTCCCAACCAGCTTGATCTGTAAGCTGCCTTTATGGTGCTCTTGTGTCACTCTATCAAGTCAGGGCTGTAAAATCCTAAACACCTGATTTCTAAGGGTATCTGACAAATTTTACTTTTTAAATTTTATTTTGATTATGCATTTTTATAATTTAAATATACACATATACATATATCTGACAATTTAAAGGGTATGTGCTATACATTCCTATGCAGGGCTGATTCCTAAATCTTTAATACTGGTCCTTGAAATTTTGAAATCCTTTTTCTTAATCCTGCTTTTCTATAAGATCACTGCATGTGAAATGCATTGTGGGAGATTTGTGTGCCCGGAGGTGAAAGGGCACAAGGGAGTGGAATGTAGAAGGGAAGTTCTGAAGATGAAAGACGCAGCCCATCCTTTCTTAGAACACTTAATATTTTATTCCTATTTTCCCCAGGGTCGTCCCCCCCGCTGCAACTTTGGGGATGATTTCAGCAGAAGCAAAAAAACTAAGACTGTCAGATGTCTTAATCATCCCATTATTGCTTTTGTTAGGACCTAAAAAGAAAACTAGGCGCGATTCTGCCATAGTTAAGCATTCCTTCCCCCCACCAACCATATTGATTTCAATATGGAAAGTTTAGCACAGGCTTAAAACTGCTGTTATTCAAATCCATGTCTGTGTCAGCTAAATGTCAGGCTGAGAAAAATGGCTCCTTTCAAGCCTACCTCACAGCCCAGGAGGCAGATACCAGCCTCTTCTTTGTTCCCTCTGCCACAGACAACTCCTTGCTTGGTCACGTGGCCTCTGTTTAGCTGCCTCTCTGCTTGCCTTGGGTGGGGAAGCCTTGTGCAGACTCTGACTGTAGTGGCACTGAAGGCTTTGCTGATGGCTGCCCTATATTGGAAGGGCACAGCTGAGGCAATGTAGGCCATAATACCTGTGCAGATGCCCCCGAGGTAGTACAAGGATGCTGTAATCTCGTTATGTGTTTGGGTTGATGATGCCAGTAGTTTTTCTACTAAGGAAAAAGACTCTTGGAGCCCAGTGAAGCGCCTGCTTCATTATCCCTGGATAGAGAGAGGATCATATCCACAGCATACAGTTTATGCACATGGCTTCCCACCAAAGAATCCAGGGAACCATGGTTAAAGGGTGCTGGGAACTGTAGTTTGGTTAGGGGTAAACTACAGTTTCCAGGATTCTGTGTGGGAGGGAAGCCATGAATGGTCAAAGTTAGATGCCCATTAAAATTTGTGGGACTTGTGTGCTTAAGAGTGTGGGTGTCCCACTGATTTCTGTAGGACTTAAATAGGCTTGCATGGGAGAATCCTCAACAACTTTAGCATACCAAATAGCACTCTGTTTTGCTGGCTCCTCCTCCAAGGAATATACAGGTGAGAGGAAGAGCTTGCACTGGGCTCCTTCCAACTTAGCTTCTCTTATATGAGGTCACTTTTGGGCCTGCCAACAGCAAGTGCTGGAGGCAGAAGTGGCAACTTTCTGTGGGGTTCTTTGTTACCTCAACAAGAAGGGGGGGGGCGGAGAGGCAACCAGCAGTTGGGGCAACCATCTAATGGGGAAGAGCACAATAATACTTAGCTGATATACTGCAGCCATGCATACATATGCGAGAGGCTCACATTGCTGTAAAACGTGCCTTGATTGCTCTCTCCACCCCCTCCACATTTCATCTGCATGCTCCTGAGGAGGATCTTTTCCAGTCCCCTGGGTATTCTGGGACAAGCAATGTTCTTTGAAGTTTTTCACATTTGCCATCTGGAGAGAATGCAGCATGAGGACTCTCTCTGGTTCCTAAAAAACAAGCTGGCTTTCTCTGGCACCTGCGAGTCATTTCCATCCCACCCTGTCAGTCAGGTACCTAGTGAGACTAACATTAACAAAGGCAAATTGAATCCTTGGCTGGCGGTGGGTGCCATCAGGCTTTGGGGCAGAAATAATGGGCTGCAGGAGGGGCTGGCAGATACAGCAGGGCCAGGTCACCACTTCTGAAGTACCATATTTTTTGCTCTATAAGACTCACTTTTTCCCTCCTAAACAGTAAGGGGAAATGTGGGTGCATCTTATGGAGCGAATGCAGGCTGCGCAGCTATCCCAGAAGCCAGAACAGCAAGAGGGATTGCTGCTTTCACTGCGCAGCGATCCCTCTTGCTTTTCTGGCTTCTGAGATTCAGAATATTTTTTTTCTTGTTTTCCTCCTCCAAAAACTAGGTGCGTCTTGTGGTCTGGTGCGTCTTATAGAGCGAAAAATAGGGTAATACAAATTACCCCCTAAATAGTTCTCCTCCCACCTGCCGCCATCCAGTACCATTAAGTGCAAAGTCTAAAATTACATGGCTGTGTCACTGGTTGTAGAGAGTTAGGAAAATGATGCTGGCTTCTGTGGCCAGCTTGCTAAAGTAGAGAGAGAGAAAAAACAGTTTGAAGGACCTGCTTGTTTCTCTTCACTGCCTGTCTGGCACTGAGGCACAAGGATACTTTTGACATGTTCTCAATCCCAGCCTTCAGTGATCAGCTGGGATTTGAACCAGAATTGGAGTTTGTTGAGCACTTTGCCAGCAAGGCAAACCAAGGCAAAGCCTCACTTAGGTTAACCAAAGGCTTGTTTTGCTCTGGGAGCAAGTTAACACACTGTGTGTGTGTGTGTGTGTGTGAGAGAGAGAGAGAGAGAGAGAGAGAGAGAGAGACACACACAACAAACTCTCCAGAGGTTAAGCACTTGCGAATCATCATTCTATCAGTTGGAAGGCCTTTGCAGCTCTCTCAGAATGTAGTGTATTTGTATTTGTGAAGAACTGCATCCTAGGATATCCTATTACCCCACATTTTGCTTGTCCCGTGCCCAGAAAGCATGGGTCTGAGCAGTTTTCCACTTGTCCCACACGGGTCTGAGTGGTTTTGCCTTTGCGCTGCTGTTTTCCCCTGGAAAACCTGTTCTTTAGCTCAGAACAAATGAGCAATCTGCAGAAAACCTGATTTCTTGTTTGTTCCAATTCAGCGCTAAACCAAGGGTTTCCCCAGGGAAAAGCAGCAGGGCAAATGTAAAAGGCAACATGGGCGCATCTTGCAGCTCTAGACCTGTTTAAAGTTCAGTGTGAATTAAGCAGTATCACTTCTTCACCAGTTCTTTTCAACCTCAAGCAAGCAGATAAGAGTGAGAATTACAGCCAGACGCCCCTGAAGTTTCTACCTGCCCTCCACAGCCATAGATACTTCCCTGCTTAAAAACTGGCATCTCATTTCCCCAAACTAGAGGGATGAAAGGAGACAGTTCTTCTCTTGGATCTTTTCCTCCCGCCTTCTGCTTTCCATAATTGCCTTCAGATGCCTCTCTTTCAAAGTCTTGGGCCTTTGTGCTTGATCTGTTGGGGCGCCATCTAAAACTGCAGCAAAAACAACATTTCCCTGTTAATTATTGAAGGCCACCCACCCTCTTGGAAGGAGAGGCATTTAGGAAGGCTCTTGTTCGACTCTTACAGCAGGGTAAGGAGGAGGATATAGCACTTGCTTGGATGCTGTCTGCCAGCACTAACATGCCACTTTCACTGCTCCATCTCATTTTCCCCCATGTGCTTTGAGCATAGCGGCTTCACCTTAACATCTCGCTGCCGTATTTCTTAACTCAGTAACCGCATAGCAGTCTTGCATGGTATATGGGAATGCATAACTTCATTACTTCCCTTCTCAAGAAACCCCCTTTGCTGCGACCTTCCCAAAAGTACCACCAAAGGTACTGGAAGCAATAAAACACTGGAGTGGGGGATCAGGCTTGGCAGAGATGGGTTTTCTTGTGCTGCAAATATGTTTGAACTTTTGGTGTGTAGTGCATGTGACAACCTTCTAATACAATTTTTGTCTTTTCTTCCCCTCCTCTCCCTCATCTCTCTCCCCCTCTCCTTCTTAACTCCCCCCCTTCCTTTTTCCATCTCTGGTGGAAACACAAGGAGCTGGTAAGGAGCTGCACCTTCCGTCTGCTTTGGTGTTTGTGCTGATAAACTTATAGTTGCTAACCTTTTGTCTTTGCCAAATCTTGCCACTCTGGAGGGCTTGAAAAAAGCGGTTTTCTGTGTGTTGCAGTAAGCTGCTTCTCATGGCCTTTGCAAAGACGTTTTGTGGCTTGTGACACAAAATCCTAATGGCTTCCTGCTCACCCAAGTAAAATGAACATCTTCTAATAAAGTAAATTATTGGCTGATCTGCCACTTTTTGTGGCTTCTTAAATCTGCCACTGTACTCTCCCTAATGGTTGGGCTGGCTCTGGTAGAATTCTGATAACAGTTCCTCCTAGCTGCTGGTAATATGCAGGATGTCATCTTGTATAAGCTAATGACAAATGACTAAAATGCAGAAATGCCCTTTAGATCTTACCAGTCTTTCAGAGCAAAGTTCACTTTCAGCAAAAGAGAATAAAAGCCCTGTGGGATCAGACTGAAGGTCCATCTAGTTCAGCGTCTCACAGTGGCCAACAAGATGCCTCTGGAAAGCCCATAAGCAAACTAAGAGTGTAATAACCCCCTGTCCCAGTGTTGACCCCCTGCAATTGCTATTTGACAGTCATACTGCTTTTGAACATGGAGACTCCACTTGGCTAAACATTTTCATGATTTTTCCCCCCTGAACCTTGTAAATCCATCTAGGTCATTGGCAGTCATTTCCTGCACATTTCCCAGCTCGCTTTTTGCCTTTGAGATGGGTGGCCAAAACCATGTGCGTTGTTCCAAATATCAGATGAATAATGAAGATTGTTAGCGAGTCTGATCTGGGGTGACATCACATTCTAATCCCCATCCCAACAATACAGAGATGAGTCAGACTGGTCAGTCCACAACAAAATTTCCATCTGTCATGTAAAACCAAAGGAAACATTTGGGGGACATAAATCCCTCCGGCTTGGACTGTCTAGTTGTGACAGTCTCTGGTGCTCCAGAGTAGGCATGGCCAACTTTGATTATGTCTCAGGAGGGTGCTGTGTCCTCTTAGGTTTAGCCCTGGGTTGGAAGCAATCCTCAGAATGGGTAGGACTAGAACCAGTGGGCGGAAATGACAGCCAATTTCAGCTAAATATCAAGACAGAGGTTCTCAAACCACTGGTGGTCCATGGGCTCCATGCAGGTAGTCAACAAATAAAAAAGGGGAACAATTGAGAATAGCTGTACTTGGCTCTGTACCTGATCAATTATGCACGCATGCACACACACACACACACGCACACACAAAACAATGATATCTAGGCTGTTTTGACCAGGGCATATGCTCTTAAACAGGCTGGCAAGACTAGCCTAGGGTCTGTGATGGTCATAAAGCGGCACTGGAGGGGGGAATGTAATTAAAGCATGAGTTACATTTGTGCTTTAATTTGTAGGACAAAAGAAAAAGTTTATTAAGTGGTCTACTGAGACACCTGGCAGTTTCCAACTGGCCCATGAGGGGTCAGGGGAAGAGTTTGAGAGAGACTGCATCAGGATAAATTTTCATAACTATAGAAGCTGTTTGGTAGTGCAATAGCCCACCTTGGGAGATGGCAGGCTCTCTTCTTTGGCTGGAAGTATCTAAACAGAGGTTTGAGTACCTTCTGCCAGGGATGCTATAGTTGAGCAGAGTTGGACTAGGGTGTCCTTGCAACTCTACAATTGTATGGAATTGTATTTTGCTGCACAAACTTTGGTGCAGGTGTCACATTCTGGTTGGCTCCATTGAGGCATTGGGACACACATACTGTATTTTTCGCTCTATAAGATGCACTTTTTCCCTCCTAAAAAGTAAGGGGGAAAGTGTGTTCGTCTTAGGGAGCAAATACAGGCTGTGCAGCTATCGCTGAAGCCTCTTGAGCGCAGTGGGAGTGCTCCTCCCTCTTCACTCAAGAGGCTTTGCGTTGCTTTCTTGTTTCTTGTTTTCCTCCTCTAAAAACTAGGTGTGTCTTATGGTCGGGTGTGTCTTACAGAGCGAAACATACGGTAATAGGGCCTTTAGTGCAGAATTCAGTGGCTGCTATTGAAACAGAACTTATAATTTCCTTAAAAAGAAATATGCTGTAGTGATCGGGTAGGCAGCATTTGCTAAAATTCAGAGAAGGGTTTCCCAACAGTTTATCCACACGTCACATTTGAAGGTGTCCACTTAAAATTGTTTGGGGGCACCCTTAAGAACATCATGGGTGAAGTGAGATGCTCTCCTCTGGGACCAAAGGAGCAGTAGCTCTGTGTGCCATTCTCTAAGAACAGCATCCTGATCTTTTAAAACAAAAACAGCACATATGCCAGCAGCATGAAATGACTATATAGTTGCTAAGAGGACTCAGTGCATACATTTAAATAGCAACATGCAGCTGATTCCTCCAGACTGTTGTGTTAATCTTAAAGCCATTATGGCTGCTTAGCTCAGATATGGCCTGTGACCTCTAGGTGGAATCCATGCCAAGGCATTTTGGGTTTTTTCTTGTAATTGCCGCTTGACATGTTACTGTAGTGCATCAAAGCTTGTACAGTCCAGGACCCCTAAGATGAACTGGGTTTTCTAAATAGTGCTTTAAGTCCTTTATCAGGGGTGAGGAGATTTTTCAAATATTAACAACTGCTGTTAAAATCCAGCAGTTTGCAGGGCCTGCTGTGAAATGCTGCTGCTGCCTGCAGTTGAAATAATTGCCTACCTCCTCTTATAAAACCATGGCTAAGTGTGAGTTGCCTTGAGGATTAGTTTTATGTTCTAAAAAGAGGAACTGGTAAAAGAGTAGACCTGTTGAAAACAAGGGGAGGAGCCGTGATACCATGGAGCAGTGCCTTTCAAGCTTTGTCCCATAAGGACGCTCTTGCCGTAATGGCTTTTCTTCCAAGGAACACATACATTTCTGCCACCAAGCTGCTGAGCATTGCATTCAGGAGCACATAGCTTAGATTCTGGGCACTAACTTAGGGCTAGTGGTTCCCAAACTTTTTTTCCTGACGAAACGCTTGAAAATTGCTGAGAGTGATTTTCCTCCCAGTTGTTCCAACGGCCATGTGCTGTTCTAGAGAGCACCATGTCAGCTACACCTGTTCTAGCATTTATGTAGCAAATCACTGGTGTGCATAGCTCATTCGCAGCCCATAACTTAACTGGTGACCTTTTACTATATTTTTCCGTGTATAAGACGAGGTTTCTTGCTAAAAAAAAATAGTAAAAAATTGGGGGTCATCTTGTACACGGAACATGGGCACCTGGAGGGATTTCTTTAAATATTTAAGCATATGTCCAGGATTTTGGCTTGGGCGGGCTGAGGCGGTCCCTCCTGCTGCCGTCCCCTCTTTCTCCTCCCCCTCTGGACTTCATGCTCGCCTCCTGAAGCCCCTGCTGCCTCAACCACCAGATCAAAAGCAGCTGCCACCGCTGAGAGCTGCCTCAGCTACCTCTCCTTGCCCTTCTTTCCTTTTCCCCCTCTTCCCCTCTCAAACTCCCACCCTGCCCCCAGCCCACTCACCACCTTCCTCAGCTCAGTTTGATCGACGGCATGGCGCACAGTGGGTGCTGTCTTCCCCTGCCTCTTCCTTGGGATCCTGTTTGGGAGCCTCCTTCCCCTTGCAGCAGCTGCCACCAAGGGGGACATTGCGGTGCCCCAACCGCTGCCTTTGCTTCTGCTCCATGGTGTCCTTCATGCACCTCATGCTGGAAATTATGAGGGCGATTGCCCCCCAAAAGATCAACTTGCCGCCGCCGATCATCCAGACTTTCACTTCTGTTTTAGGGTGTGTTTTTTCAAAAAAAAAATTGGGTTCAAATAAATAGGGGTCATCTTATACACGGGGGTGTCTTATACGCGGAAAAATACGGTAGATACTAATGTTACTAAATTGTCTTCCAGATTTTCATTACCCACTTCCTTTATAGTTTCTGTACATTGATTTCTAATAGTTAGTAGATGTCCGGCTCGCTGCTACCAATAAATTACCATATTTTTCCATTTATAAGACAGATGTTTTTTGCTTTAAAAAATTGGGGGTCACTTCATACATGGATGGTTAAGAAAAACACTACTTACCAGTAGTGTAGGAAGACTGGGGATATTTCAAGATATTATTTCGGGAGAAAACACACACACACACACACACACACACACACCTTATCCAAATTAGCCTGCAAGGGAGGAGGATGAGGAGGGTCACTTTTGCAGTGGGAGGTTTACAAACAACCACAAAAAGGGCAAAAGCACAGCATAGCTTGGAAAGGGCATTCCAGACAATGCACCAAAAAGTGGGGGTGCCCCCCAAACACCCACCCACCCAAACGAAAGGGGGCTGAGCAGGCCCTGCAGCTGCTTCCTCCTCGTCCAAGGCCCAGGAACGGCACCCGCCGCATACGTGCCTGGGAGGTTGCAAGTGGAGCAGCTGACCAGAGCCAGCAGCTCTTCATCTCTCACCTGGTGCTTCCATGGCGGTGGCAGCAGAGCAGGGCAGCTGCCGGGCATCATGAGCTTGACATGTTGCCATTGCCACTGCTGCTGCTCCCAGTTCCTCCAGCCTCCCTTCCTAACGTGCACACACACTTGCACACAGAAACACACACTTCGGCTCTCGCCTGTGGGCTCCTACCACCCAGCACACTCCACTCCCAGTTTCCATTCAAAGGGAATGCACCCACTCAGTACAAAAAACCCTGGACGTTTTGCCAAATTAAAGAAATCCACCCCAGGTGCTGTGAAGAAGCTGCCGGAACTGCCATTCATTTCACTTACCACTTCCACCAACCAATGCTGACCGTTGCGGCAAGCCAGGTTAGGCAGAACAAGAGCACTCCCAGGCATTCTAAATGGAAAAAAAAGTTGTTCTGTTTGATGTTTAAAGATACGGTACTAAATCCGGTGCTTTGAATATTTAATAAAATATCAAAGTTGTTCTGTTTGATGTTCAAAATATTGATTTCTTAATTTTGGGTTCAACAAAATAGGGGTCGTCTTATACACGGAAAAATGTGGTATTTTGAGTGTTCGTATTGTATTGTTCGATGGTCCATGAAATGATTTGTAGGTAATCTGTAGATGGGTGACAGTTCATTGTTGTGGATAGCAATATTCCAGTATTTGTTTGCCTTTGCACATCATCACGGCGAGGGGACAAGGTCACCTCTAACATCAATATCCAACATTTGCCATTAATTATTTAATAGTTTATGAATTTTCCACTGAGTTGCCATTTTAAAACAGTTTTCTGTAAGATTTAAAGATAAAGTAAAAGTAATTTCCTGTGATGAGAAATTTCCAAACTCCCACTTGTCAATACAGATGATAGTATATTCATTTCCACAGAGCAAGGTGGGGTGATGTGCGAGTCCCAAAGGGCCTGCTTTATCTGCACCTTGCTTTTAATGAAGGTGTTCAACATTGTAGGAGCTGGTGAGAAGTCTTTGGATGCAGTGATCTCAAGGCGTCCTTTAAAGGTCATGTAGAGATAACACCTGCCTGGTGGAGCACATATATTCGTTTGCTTGTAACAATTGCCTCCTGTGCTGTGATTTCAGAGCCACTTTAATCTGATGCAGCTATTTTTTGCCGTTGTTTTGAGAACAGCCTCTTCCAGCGTCTTTAATGTGCAGGACCAAAGGAGCAGGAATGTGAGGCTCTTGTAATAGCTCTTCAAAAAGAGTCTGGCCTTGATGCAGCCATAGATTTCCCATCAGAGCCCATTACAGCCACTGCGCTGCTTCCAAGAGCACTGGCAGAATGCCTGCCTCTCTCTAGCACTTAGCAAGAGGAGAGGCTGACTTGCAGTCAATAGCAGAGCTCTTGGTGCTTCCCTTAAGTGAGAAGCCACCTTCTTTTCTAGGGTAGGGCTGACATTACCAGGATTTCAAAGGCGGAATTGATGTCGGGGGGGGGGGGGATTTCCAAAAGGCGGCAAGTCAATCAAAAAAATCACGGTTATTTTGGCATTTTTGTAAACAACAACAACAACAAAAAACCACCTCTCAACAATTGCCTCAGCTGGCGTGGGAGGTTGTTGCTGAGGACCCATCTCAGATATGGCACAAAGCTGCCTCTGATTCACAACAGCTTGGTGTTTCTGGGTTAATGAATGCACCCAGCCACAACAATGGAGAGACACCTCATTGATTCATGGCAGTTTGCCACACCTTAGCAGGGCAATGGCTAGTCGTCCTAATGTACACATGGCTGTCTTGTTCCCTTGCTGTCCCCTCTTGGAGCAAGACGCTGGGTGTTTGGGAGCTAAGTTCTGACCTGGTCTGCTTCCCTCAGGTCTCTTTGTACTCAAGCTGCTTCTAGTTTGGATAGCTCTTGGTTCTACCAGGCTCCACCTTAAAGCCCCTGTGCCTTTTGGCAAGTAACCCTCTTGGATTCTGTCACAGCCTGAATTGCAAGCACTGCAGAAAACCATTGTCAATGTTGATTGGAAGCTCTGAAGCAGCAAAGCCACCATGTAAACCTAGCCCCACCTCTATGCACAGCTTGCTCCTTTGCAGAACTCCTTTGGTATAGGAGAGGCTGTGGCAGGACACAAAGATAGCCTTAAAATCCTTTCAGAGGAACCATCTCAGGTGCCCCTGCTGGACCAGCCAGAGGCCCACCTAGTCCAGCATCCTGTTTTCCATAGGGGCTAACCAGAGGCCTATGATACATCAAGGACCGCCTCTCCCCATATGAACTGACCCAAGCCCTGCAGTCATCACCTGAGGCCCTTCTTTGTGTGTCCAATCCACAAGAAGTCCAGGGCATGGCAGCATGAGAACAGGGCCTTTTCTGTTATCACTACCTGTTTGTGGAATGCTCTCCCCTGGGACCTGGGACCTTCATTACATATCTTTAGCTGCCAGGTGGAAACATTCCCCTTCTTCCTGGACTTCAGCTAATTAAACAATCTTGTGCCTTTTAAACTGGGCAGGGGATTAATTATTGTTTGGTTTATTGTTATGCTATGTATTTTGTGTTTTTATATTGTAAACCGCCCTGTGATCCTCGGGTGAAGGGCAGTGTATGTATATGTATATGTAGGCCCACAAGCTAGGCCTGAGCGCACAAGCCCCCTCCCATTCAGGGTCCTCAAGCTGCTGGTATTGAGGGGCAGACAGCCTCTCTGATCCCGGAGGTAATATTAAGCTGTCATGACTAATAAACCTGCATTTTTATCACCCCTGGGTTGGTTACATTTGCAGCAGCCTAGATCAGGCATGTGAATGTTCTGCAAAGTGCTGCTCTCTTGTAATCCTGCATACCTCTGGAACCTGCATGTCACTTTTTCACCTGGAGTGGGATCTAATGCAATTAAATGTAATGGAAATTCTGTGGGTAATTAACCAGCCTTCTCCTCCTCCCTGCACTTTAATTAAATTCTTATTTGAACCAGTTTCCTGATTTCCTGTATGTTGATTGCTGGAATTGGCTCTCGCACATCTCCTTCACAGGAAGAAAAAGGAAATGCTGCTTTAGCTGGCATTTGATAGCCACTTCACCCAGGGAGCTGTGAGACCCGTTATTGGAAAACAAAATATACTTGGATATTGTCTGAATTCCACCCCCTTCCTTGTTGATTTTTTTTTCTGTTTTGAAAAAGGGGTAGGGGCTGTCACATAATCCCTCCAGAAAGGCCAGATGGTTTGTTAGTCTTATTAATATAATCCCCTTTTTAACTCTTCCCACTCCTGTTTTAAATGAACACTCAAATTTACCAGGTCAGTATCTGCCTGGCCATATAACAGCAGCCTTTTCATAACACACTCTTGTCTCCATCCTTCGGGGCGTTCCTGGGCCTAATGTTATATGGATGTTTTTGCGTATGGGGAGGTGCCCACGAGTTCTTGATTTTAGCATACCATGTTATCCTTGGCTATTAAGGGTGAGGAAGGCAGATGTAGAGTTCTCTACAGGCAATCCCAGCAGGTCTTTCACCTACAGAGAGAACCCAGCAGCTTTGCATTGTGTTCTGCAGACCTCCATGCTCTGAACCAGAGAGTCACATGGCTGAATTTTCCTGTGTCTAGGTGGTATGTCGCAAGGGACGCGGGTGGCACTGTGGGTTAAACCACAGAGCCTAGGACTTGCCGATCAGAAGGTCGGCGGTTCAGATCCCCACAACGGGGTGAGCTCCCGTTGCTCGTGCCAACCTAGCAGTTCGAAAGCACGTCAGAGTGCAAGTAGATAAATAGGTACCGCTCCGGCGGGAAGGTAAACGGCGTTTCCATGCACTGCTCTGGTTCGCCAGAAACAGTTTAGTCATGCTGGCCACATGACCCAGAAGCTGTATGCCGGCTCCCTCGGCCAATAAAGCGAGATGAGCACCGCAACCCCAGAGTCGGTCACAACTAGACCTAATGGTCAGGGGTCCCTTTACCTTTACCTTAGGTGGTATGTCAGCTTGCACCACCCACCCTGCACATCAGGCAGGCGGTCTACATCTTCTCTTTTTTGAGTGGCTCATGTGTGTTCATTCCTTTCATAAAAAGTTCACAAGAATGAACAGTTCAGAAGCAGAAGTGCTGCCTCACCCAACCCTACCTCAAACAGTACTCATCTTCTTTGCTCCATGTTTCAGAAAAACTCAGGAGCCAAAACAGGCTTTGTTAGATAGCTGTGTGGACGTAGCCAAAGTGAAACAGTGTTAGTTCTCTTGGCTTCCCTAGAGCAGCCTTTGTGCTGGCTGGGACTGATGGGTGTTGTAACCCCAAACATCTGTAGGGCACCAGGTTGGTGAGGCCTGCTCTAGGGTGTTCCAGCCCATGTTTGCAGCCCAAGGCATGTTCAAAGCCAATATTTGAAAGAGCTTAGCGTCTGAATGAAGATGCAAACCAGTATCTCTTGGTCAGGTTTTTTTTTGTACATAAGAGGCCTGCTGGATCAGGCCAAACACCCGTCTAGTCCGCCATCTTGTTCTCCCAGTGGCCAGTCACATGTATATGAGATGCACTGGTCACTCATGCTCTTTGCTGGTCTGCCTATTTGGCCATCCCTATTCAGATCCATGACTGTCTGTAGGACTGGAAGGGCCCAGAGAGCCAGCCAATGCAATCCCATCATTAAAGACCAAATTCTGCTTGCATAAATCCTTACAAGATTCCTTATAGGTTCTTACTGACGCACTGGAGCAGTGCACCACAATTGATTGCAGAGCAGCTTGTTTCAGGGGACTAGAGCAAATGAGCTCTGCCATGTGCTATAGGGGGAAACAACCAACCCTTTTCCAAATGACTACAGTGGTACCTTGGTTCTCAAACAGCTTAGTTGTCTAACAAATCAGCTCCTGAATGCCGCAAACCTGGAAGTAAGTGTTCTGGTGTGCGAATGTTTTTCGGAAGCCAAACGTCTGACGGGGCTTCCGCTTGAGTGCAGGAAGCTCCTGCAGCCAATTGGAAGCCACACCTTGGTTTTCGAACGGTTTCAGGAGTCGAACTGACTCCTGGAATGGATTAAGTTTGAGAACCAAGGTACCATTGTAGTTCAAATCTGACCTAAGGGGAGAGAAGTTCCTGTTTGACCCAAGTTATTCCTTTCCAGCCAGTGTGGGGAATAGCTCTCCTTGCTTCTCAGCACCATTAGTGGTTTCTGTGGACTAAGCACGGCAGTAGTGCTTCAACATTATGCCTGCTGGGACTACCAAGAGTGTCAGGTTTGCTAACAGAGTATCTCCTCTGTTCTGCTTGGCCCTTGTGAAGATTGCTTGGAATCTGTTGGTTGTGGTTGGGAGGGTGTTTGGGGAGGTGGAGAAAAATAAGGCTGGGTGCTCTGATATTTGTTTGTTTTTCTCTCTACACAGGAGGAGCTAACTAGCACCAGTGTGGAACATATCATAGTCAACCCCAATGCGGCTTATGACAAATTTAAGGACAAGCGAGTGGGCACTAAAGGACTAGGTAAGTGTTTCTCCATAGGCCCTTTCTTGCGTATGTGTCCAGGGTGGTGGAGGAGCAGTAGATCCGGACTAGAAAATGTACCAAAGAAAAACATTCAAAGCAATCCTCAAAGAACCCAAGGATCCTTGTTTAAAATGCCTTAATAATTTACAATAATAAGGTTATATACATACTGAACATTTCAAATAACTTATTCCTAGTTTAGCTTATGTCTGCCAGTCATTTGTCTCATTGCCTGCAGATGTGAGATGCAGCACAATACATGCATGACTATTTTTCAGTGGTTGTGTGTGTGTGTGTGTGTTGGACATACAAGATGTTAGCGTGCCCTTGAATGGAGATCTTCAGGTTTGTTCTGAACCAGAGGAAGCAACAGGGTTTCTTTTGCAGTTTTGAACACTGGTCCTTACAGATGATGGATCAAGCTCAGTAGCCAAGCCCTTGCTTTCCATGCAGAAGGTCCCAGATTCAATTCCTGACATCTCTGGGTAAGGCTGGTGATGTCCCATGTCTGAAAACCCAGAGAGCCACTACCAAACAGTATAGACAATATAGTACAGGCCTACCTTGGTATAAGAAAGCTTCTTATAATCTTCCTAAAACTTGAAGGCACAGTTGTGCGGCCGGGCCTGTCTTGGCCCTGGTATGAAGTCTGTGAGAAGTTGGTAGAAAAGTCAAAAGGCCGTTCTACAAATATGAGCTGCTGATTAAAGAACTACTACTAGCTCCAATTGTGAATCCTGTAACTTAATTTTAATGGAAAACATGAAACTTGAGGCTGTTCAGTCTAAAAGTACAGAAAGATTTTTTCCCTTTTCCCCCTTTTGATTTCTAGATTTCTCTGATCGTATTAGCAAAACCAAGAGAACTGGCTATGAGTCTGGAGACTATGAAATGGTAAGTAACTAACTCAGATGAACTGTAGACCGAAAGGAAAACCTTTGCTCTGTACCAAGCTGTATCTCAGCTGGAGAATGAGATTTTAGCCTTAAGTAGAGGCGTGTGCTAGGCACACAGTAAGGGCAGGAGGTCATGTGGCACCAGTATTAGTTCAGGATCCAAGAACAAAAGTCAAGTCTAGCCAAGGCCCAGGACCCAGCAAGGCAAGTTCAGATAGAGGGGTCAGTTCATATAAGCAAGGTCAAGGTTCACCAACGAGCAAGGCAGGGAGAACTCTCAGTAACTCCAGCTGGAGCCTGGGATGGAAGTTACACATGGCAGGTTTGGATGTTGCTTCAACAAGCATCAAGCCCAGACTGAGCCTTAAATAGGGCTTCAGCTTCCTCTATATCCACTGCCTCTTTTCCTAAGGGCCCAGGGCCGGGATAGGCTTGTAGTCCAAATCTGCTAGGAGGCAAGACCTCCCATTCACCAGCCTTCCTCAGGTTAGCCATTGCCATGGATGACCAGCCTGTGGCACGGGCTCCACAGGAGCAGGAATTCATGGCATTCTTGAACTTCCCATTAATTGCCCTGCTCAGTTCTGCCTTTGGCCGCATCAACCACTAATGTGTCACCTCTGGGAAGTTGCCCAGATGGGAAGGTGACCCTCAGGTTGAAAAAGACTTCTCATTGCTGATCTAGACTATATAAGAACTCTCTCACAGAAAGAATTGAGAATGGCCCTTCCTAGAGCCAGCCTTGCAACAGGAGATGGGGTGAGATGGAATTGTGCTACCCCCAAAAATTCTGGTGTTGCTGTTGACCTGAGAATCTTATTTTATTTTTAAGCTAGGGGAAGGCCTTGGTGTGAAGGAGACTCCCCAGCAGAAATACCAGCGTCTGCTGCATGAAGTTCAGGAGCTGACTGCCGAAGTAGAGAAGATCAAGGTAAGATCAAGGTGGTCTCTGTTCTTGTTTCCTTCTGGCCCCCTTGCAGCTCCTCTGTGGGCCCTATTGATTTGGATCAACCCATCTTCTTGGTCTAGTCCTCGGGCCCAAATGCAAAATGAAGGCCTTTGTTATCCAATAAGTTGTCCTTGCCTTGAGACTATGTGCTTTACTGCTGCGGTTAGTATCAGTACAAGGGGGAGCAGCCCAGGGTCAGAGAGGACCATGCCCCAAACAGTTACTGAATGCCAGGCTTTCAGTGCTTCTATCCCTTCTTCCACAGAGCACCGTGAAGGAGTCGGCTGCCGAGGAGAAACTGACACCAGTTGCCCTTGCTAAGCAGGTGGCCAGCCTGAAACAACAACTCGTCTCCACACACCTGGAGAAACTGCTGGGGCCAGATGCAGCCATCAACTTAACAGATCCTGATGGTGCTCTAGCCAAGTAAGTCACGGTGGTGTCAGCACTGCAGTTCCCCAGGGCTTAGTCCCACAAGCTGCTTAGCCCTGGAAAAACATGTCTTCATAAGAGTCCATCTGAACCTGCCCTTTACCCTTGGCTACTGCGGTCAGGCCCTCTGCACCAGTCTTCGAAATTCACATTGTTCTTAGGCACATTTTGCAACAGGGAATTTAATTAGTGTGAGCAGTGTCTGAGCTCTGGGCACAGTACTGCGCCTAAGATTTCATATTAAAACTGCAGAGTGGAAGGAAAGGGGGATATTTTCTGCCTCCCCACTTCCAGCTACTCTCCGACTGGAGAAGAGACCCACTCTTAAGAATATTACAGGGGAAGGACTAGACCATGTGAAAAGTGGACATAATGTTTTAGCTGCAGTTTATTCATTTTCAGCTTTGTATTCTTATAAAAAAGCATACCTAGACATTCCGTTGCTGTGCCCATAACCTAGGTTTAAGGGGCCATTTAGCTCTTAGCTTTCATATCTCAGTTTTTAACACTGCTCTGCACCTCAGAGTAGGCCATGCCAGGCCAAGAGTGTCAACTTCAGGGCAAGCTTGAGATCAGTTGTACATCTCTCTGTGGAGCACATTATCTGCATTTAGTAGGAGTGCTGAGATTGTGATGGGATCATAGGACTGGATGGGGCCATGGAGCCATCAGCTCATCCCCTAAGGCAAGGGTGGAGAGTTGGCCCATCATCTCCTAACCATTGACCAGGCTGACTGGGGCTGCTGGAGTCCCACAACAACCACAAGGCAACCCACCCTTGCTTTAAGGGAGTAGATTATACCCATAGATAAACTTGCATAATGCAGACCATCAAAGAGAGTTGAGATTTTTTGGGTTTGAACTGGGGGAAATTGTCTGGAGAATTTCCCACTGGTTCTAAATTGATGGGGATCAGATCTTTTAGTAAAACATTTTTTTTAGTCTTGTTAGTTTTGCAGTCTGTATAAATTTCCTGTAGGGAAGGAAATCAATAAAGTGCACTTAGTGTGGTTTAAATGCTATTTTCAAAGATTTACCTGGAAATTATTTTTATTGGAATACTTGTAAATATTTAAATACATGGCAGCACAATAGCATACCTTTCCCTTTCCATTATTTAGATTTTAATAAGAAAATATAAGCAGGGAAAATGGTTAACATACTAATTTTAGCATGCCTGAAGAGCTACGTGCAGAAATATATGTGCTTTCTAGGGATGGCCATCTGAAAAAGTTGAAAACAACCATTTTAGATTTGATTAGTTGCCCAGTTGCAGTATACCGTGTTCAAAGTAAATTTCTAAACATGGACCATTTCCCAACTGACATCGGCTGCAAGCATACAGAGGAGAAAAGTTTCCCCATCCCTTCTAATTATGCTCATGCCCCTCATTATTCCAATCTCTGATCCAAAATCCATTGCAGCAGGCGGTAGCTGTTATAGCCAGTGTAGTCAGTGGGGACCTAACCATGTGCCCGCTAAACATTTGTGGCCTCTTCAACTTGTCAGGCGTTTGCTCATTCAACTGGAAACAGCCAAGAGTACTAAGGTGCCCCCTGCAAGTGGGAAGAGCCCAGCGAAAACTGCGGCTGGCCCAGGAAACATGGTGACTTATGAACTGCACTCCCGGCCTGAGCAGGACAAATTCTCTCAGGCTGCCAAGGTAAGAACTGGAGTATTTGATCTTTGAGACCCCTCTGGGACTTATAAGGAAATAGCTAGGATGATGAGCTGATGCTACATTTGTACAGCAGCGAGGTGCTTTAGCAGCGCCTTCATTGTATGCAATTCAGCAGTGCCTTTCTCTCTCCAAGCTCAGCTCTGGGGGCAGGAGAGCATTCTGTTGCTTTATGGGGTGCTTGATTTGAGTGGGGAAAAGGCCTATTGTGCACAGCACTGGTTGGTTAGTACTTGTGACATCATAAGGACCCAAAGCTCCAGAGCATTTTTGTGTCCATACAGTGGTGCCCCGCAAGACGAATGCCTCGCAAGACGAAAAACTCGCTAGACGAAAGAGTTTTCCGTTTTTTGAGTCGTTCCGCAAGACGAATTTCCCTATGGGCTTGCTTCGCAAGACGAAACGTCTTGCGAGTTCTTGTGAGTTTGTTTCCTTTTTCTTAAAGCCGCTAAGTCGTTAATAGCCGCTAAGCCGCTAATAGCCGCTAAGCGCTAATAGCCGTGCTTCGCAAGACGAAAAAACCGCAAGACGAAGAGACTCGCGGAACGGATTAATTTCGTCTTGCGAGGCACCACTGTATGTGTCTTCACTTGAAGAGAGCTAGGGTGCTGCTGGCGACTGGGAGCATCAGGGTCTCGGTAATGTCTAGGAATAGTTCCCTTGCCCTGGAACTTAGGACATACATCAACTTGGCTTGTGCATCTGTATGAAGCTCATGTATTTGATACTGAAGAAAGGAATTTCCAGAATGCAGAGCCTTTTTCCTAAGCTGCTTCCCTGTCCCACGTATAGCATGTATATACGGGGCTCATGGAGATCTTCAAGCATAAATCATTTTTGTGAATCTTCTCCTTCCCTCCCCACCGCACACAAAGTTTGAGCCTTTCTCACCCCATAGCAGAATAGAGCACCATAGAGTAACGAACCTTATTTTGGCTCCTTTGCTTTCCCCACACTTTCTCAGTAATCCTTTAACATCTGCATCACCCAGCAGTCTCTGTGACTTCATTCTGAGTGCTTTAGAGTTAATGGGGATATTGACTTACTTATTCTACAGTCATGAAAGCTTAGGAAGGCAGGAGTGGGAAACAGTGATAATGTCTTCCTGGTAATATTCTATACAGTCTGGGCTCAGGGTTCCCCAGAACATGGATTGCAACCCTGTTGGGACTGTTGAAAAGAAAGATCTGGCTGTAGGTTCCAGCCTCCTTCAGGTCCAGTTACTTCATGCTGGGGTTGAAGTGGTGGTGGGAAAAGGTGTCATTAATCATATTTGTACCCTGATTTTTGGCCGTCCATTCTAGGCAACACAAAAATACCATTGTTAAAATGGCTAGGAAGGAGTTCAAAAGAAGTGGAGGGAGTGATAGGCAAAGTCTTGTTTGCGTTGAGCAGATGAGGAAGGGACACAGGGATGCAGAAATCCAGATAAGATTTTTCATTTTGCTGGAGGGCTGCGGAATACTCTCTTCCTTAAGCATGCTCATATCTCATTGGATGCCAGGATCAGACACCCATCCCTCCCATCTGTTCTTCTCTCTGTAAGCAAGTGCAGTGGTGGCTGAAGCAGGTGTCCCCATCCCCCCTGTTGGTGGGGGTGGGAGGGCATGCCCACACTATTTTGGATTCCTTTCTCTCATTTTCCCAGTTTTGGATTATGCCACACACAACACATTAGTCATTTTGTGATGGTGCCCCTGACACCTTCTCAAACTTCCAAATGTGCCCAAGAAGGTTGGCAACCTCTAGGTGAAAGAAATGAAGTTGTAGTGGAGTGTCAGTCTCAGTGGAGAAATTTTTGGGAGGGGGGAACCTTTGTGGCTGATTTGAAATGATTGATGTGTATTTCTGTCATAGTCATGTACAGTAGGTAATATAATCTCATTCTGGACAAACTTTCAAGCTTTCCAACTTCTGGAATTTTCACCTGGCTTAAGATTCCTCGAGCCAACCATCCACACTTACAATTTTTTTGTGCCTCGATGTATGAAATCTAAATAGGCACGTGCACCTGCCACCAAAACAACCAGGAAGTTTTCCTTGGCAAGCCCCATGAAAGTGAATATAGTCAAGGCGCCATGTTCTTGCACAGGTCTTGATCACTTCAGTGGGGCTTGTGAAGGGCAATTTCCTGGCATGTTGTACCCCATAGGTCAAATTGCCCTTAATGGCACCTGAAAATGACACATCTGGGTTAAGGGGGAATTTTAGAAGTGCTTTGCCCTGCAATTCAAGGAGGCTTCCCGGGAGGGAGAGGAGCGCAACACATCTTCATTTGCTCCCTCTGGTCTTCCCAGATTGCGGAATTGGAGAAGCGATTGGCTGAGCTGGAAGCAACGGTTCGCTGTGAGCAGGATGTCCAGGTGAGGCCGAAAGGCAGTGGAAGCCCTGGGTCCATGGAGAAGGTTATGGGGACAAGGGGGAAGAGGCCATAGCTCAGTGGTAGAGCATCTGCTTTGCATGCAGAAGGTCTCAGTTCAATACCCAGTATCCCCAGGTAGGCCTGAGAGATACTTTGGTCTGAAGTCCTGGAGTGCTCCTGCCAGTCAGTGTAGACACTATTGAGGTAGATGGACCAATGCCTGACTTGGCAGGCACCTTAAGGGGTAATGGGAACAGGTGTAACAGCAGGCTAGATTTTATGATGAACTCCATGGCCTCATTCGTTAGCCACTCCTGAGATTTTCTCCAGTGATGCATTTAGGGCAGCATCTACTTTGGCCCTGTAGGCGTGCTGTGAAATTGTCCAGGGGGTGTAATGCCTGGAGCTGGTTACAGGGCCTGAATGAATTAAATTGTACATGGCCAGCCTGTGGCTGAAAATCCACAAGTGGCATAGGCAGCTGACTTTGTAGCACTCCTGGGCAAGAGCAGAATACCCTGGCCATGCCATAGAGTCAGACTCTTGCTGGACGAGAAGCAGCTCCAGCCCAGAGTGCAGGAACTACATGGCTATTGTTGGGTGTGATGCAGTGGCATTGCCTCACACTGCAGATTGGCTTGTGCCATGCTTGCCAAAGGCTGGCCAGCACTATCCTAATTAACACCCACCCCCCCGCATTTTCTCTCTCTAGAATCCTCTGTCTGTCGGACTGCAAGGAGCTAGTCTTATGGTAAGCTGTTGGCTGAAGTTTATAAGTAGCCTGTGCCTTTTGGGATTGGAAAGGAATTAAAGGGGATGTTTGCTTTTAAAGATTGGGCATGAAGGTTGTCTCTTAATTTATCCTGTAGCTGCTGGGAGGCCAGGTTGGGCTTGATGTGTACAAAGTGTGTGCAAAGTGTGTGTGTGTATACATGTGTACATGTACAAAGCACATTAGTTTGTAAATGGAAAGGAATGAGATACTATGCTGAAACGTTGGGAAAAATAGCTTCTAGGCCAGGATTAAGGGAAATAGGTTTGCACCTCCCTCTATAAGATGTTCTAGACCAGGGGTCGGCAACCTTTTTCAGCCGTGGGCCGGTCCACCGTCCCTCAGACCATGTGGTGGGCCGGACTATATTTTTTGGGGGGTGGGAATGAACGAATTCCTACACCCCACAAATAACCCAGAGATGCATTTTAAATAAAAGGACACATTCTACTCATGTAAAAACATGCTGATTCATGGGCTGGATTTAGAAGGCGATTGGGCCGGATCTGGTTGCCTACCTTAGGTTGCCTACCTCTGTTCTAGACAAAATGTTCTATGTCTCTGTGGATTAAGTTCCTTTTCTTTATTTTTGACTACTGAGCTGAGGTAATCTGTGCCAAGTAAAACTGAAATTTTGCAACCTAAACAGTATTTGCAAATTTACTAAATATTTCTCATGTTTTGCAAAATTCTGTCTTTAAAAGCTATTTTACATAATTTATTCTAGTTTTGCTAGTCTTCAAGAAGGCCGAGGAGCTATGTAGGTTGCTGAAATTTCTCTCTCAAACACACACACACAACACAGCACCATTGAAAACCTATTTAAACTACGCCTTTGGTACCTGAGATTCCAATTTGCATTATTCATGCAGTATGAAGCATATATTCACAACAGTGAAAACTAGAAATATGCTGTCTTTAAGAAAAAATATAAGATTCTTGAGTAGCTGAAATTTCCATCCAAGGTTGTGTTCCACTGGTGGTTGGTTGTTGTTCTGTACAATTGCAGCATAGACGTATCCCCATGTATTACCTCAAAGAGCTGATGATATTCGGGGGGGGGGGGGGCCTCACTGGATCTGGCTGGGACAAATGTCGCCTGGGCAGGAAGAGCCAGTGGTAGGAAAGGCCAGCCTGAGGGCCGGGACTAATTCCACACACTGATTTGAGTTAGCCAACTAAAGTTTTGCCTACAGGCATGTGGTATTTTTTTCTCTAAAACGCTTTCCCCATGTCACATCCTCTCCATAGCAAACTGTAGAGATCCTGCAGGCCAAAGTCAGCTCCCTGGACATAGCAACCCTGGACCAGGTGGAGGCAAGGCTACAGGTGAGTCTTTTTCAGCCGCAGCATTTAGGGCATGTGGAAAGGACTAAGTGATTTTGAAAGTTCTGGCAGGGTCTAGCTTTCCTAATGGCAGTTCTTCATTCCTAGAGCGTCTTGGGAAAAGTGAATGAGATTGCCAAGCACAAGACCACAGTGGAGGATGCAGACACCCAAAGCAAGGTCAGATGTGTTTTCTCTCTGTAACTGGGCAAACGATAAAACCCACAGTTCCACTTTCTGTATTTGTATGAAAGCATCTTGTTGATTGACTCTGCCCAGTATACCTGAAGGAGCATCTCCACCCCCATTGCTCAGCCCAGACACTGAGGTCTTCCTCTGAGGGTCTTCTGCTGGTTCCCTCACTGTGAGAAGTGAAGTTTCAGGGAACCAGGCAGAGGGCCTTCTCGGTAGTGGCGCCTTCCCTTCAGATGTCAAGGAGGTAAAGAACGACATAACATTTAGAAGGCATCTGAAGGCAGCCCTGTATCAGGATGTTTTTAATGTTTGATATTTTACCATGATTTATATATGTTGTAAGCCGCCCAGAGTGGCTGGGGAAACCCAGCCTGATGGGTGAGGTATAAATAATAAAAGTAGTAGTAGTAGTAGTAGTAGTAGCAGCAGTAGTAAGGGCAGCATTGGCCTGCTATTACCGATCAGGTCAGTGTGATTTCCTGATCCCGGTGGCAAAGAGCACTGTGGGTTCATAAGGCTTCTGCCAACTCTGGAAGAGGAAGAAGGGTAGAGACTTATCAGTTGTGGATGTTCTGAACAAGCCAATGGGATAGATTCCCTGCCAGGCTGTGTCTTGGTGATTCACACACAAACACAACAGCCTGGTAAATTAAAGACTGCAGCTCTTCTGTGCCCTAGAAAAGCCTGAATAAAGAAAAGGGGGTGACATTTGGGAATGGCTTACCACACAGCCTATGTCTTTTTTCACACGTGTGCGCATCATCTGATCACTCAACATGTGATGTCTGCCTGTTTTATTGTGTGAGCTGAGCTCCACCATAGAGCATAAGAACATAACGTTAAGAGCTGTGCTGGATCAGGCCCATCTAGTCCAGCATCTTGTTCTCATATTCGACAGCCAGCTCCCTACAAGAAGCTTGTGAGCAGGACCTCAGCACCGCATTTTGTGATGTGAACATTTTGTCTGGTGTTCAGAACTCTGCTGGCTCTTTCACCTGAGCAAGTCAGCCTTTGATGCTGTAGTCACCAAGGGATGAATGCAACATGATTTGTGCACTGGCCTTTTGTTGACAGACTTCTGCTTTTGCCAGCCAAGCAATGAGATTGTGAGCAAAACTAGATTACATTTTGTCGTCAGTATGTGTATGTGTTCATGAACACATGGGAAGTTTCTTGGAGGGATGGTGATGGAGGAAGATGATTGGCCTAACGTTGAAGACCAGGTTCCCACTTGGATTCCCCCCCCCCTCCTCCTGATAACTTTCTGCCTCCCCTGCCCCATACAGGTGCATCAGCTCTATGACACTGTGCAGCGCTGGAGCCCACTGGCCAGCTCCCTCCCTGAGGTGGTGCAGCGCCTAGTTGCTGTGCGGCAGTTGCATGAGCAAGGTGAGCCTCTGAGCCAGACAGGGGCATTCTCTAACTCGGGAAGGCAGGAGAGTAGCCTCAGCCTTTGGGCCTCCCATTTTTGTTTATTTATTTTGCCATTGTCATTTTTTTCTATTTTTTTACACTTGAAACAATAACATTTCAAATAAAAGAAATACACAATTGATATTGACTCCCCTTCCCCTCCTTCTATTGTGCATTTTATTACTCCACCCCCCACATATTCTGATTTCTCCCTATATCTCATTTTCCTCGTCTTCACACTTACTGCTGAATTTATTCATTTTTTATGCTTAATTTATATCACAAAAAAAATCGACAAAAACAATCCAAGATCAATACATATTACAAAAAGAAAAGAAAAAAAATAGATTCATACACAACAGATTCTATTATGACTTCCGATTATTCTGTTACTGTTAACTTCTTAATATGTTTACACTATGTCTCTACATAATCCGTAAAACATTTCTAATCTTCCTCAAATAGTTTTTTTATCCTGATCTCTTTTTATGTCTTTCAGTCCTGCCATTTCTATATATTCTGTTAACTTTGTCTGCCATTCTTCCTTCGTTGGTATTGTTTCTTCCCTCCACCATTCGAGACTTTGGGCCTCCCATTGCTCCAGTGAACTGGGTGGCTTTCCTTCCTGTCTCTAAGCTGACTTTTTGGTTCTTCTCTGTTACAGCCATGCAGTTTGGGCAGCTCTTGACTCATTTAGACACTACCCAACAGATGATTTCTAATTCATTGAAGGACAACGCTTCTCTGCTGACACAGGTGGGTTTCGGGGCTTTGGTGAACTGCCTGTGGGACTACTCGGGTCTCTACAACCTGGCCAGTATGGATCGCATGGGTGCACCTAGTTGTGGGGAGAGCACCCAGCTGTATATTCCACTGTTTCTGAGAATAAACTGCAGCCGCTTCACCCTATAGCACAGATCCCTTTACCACAACTATGAGATGTAAACTTTGTAGTGCAATGTGCCTGAAGCCAGCTCCCCACAGAGCACGTCCTGCAGGATCCTGCCATTGTCCATTCTGTGGACATGACCAAACCAGCATAGATGTCACTGGGACAGGAGTGTAAACATGCTGGGAACGTGGGCTTGGGGGAGCACATCTTTGCTGGAAACTGTCCTGCCATACACGTTTAGAAAATGGCAACTTGGCTGCTTTAGAGCGGGAGTGAGACCTGTGGCCCTCCAGACGTTGTTGGACTTCTGCTTCCACCATCCCTGGCCACTTAGCCACGCTTGCTGGGGTTGGTGGGAGTTGGGAGGGGCTGCAGCTTCCCTGTTGCTGCTATAGAGAGTACTGCCACCCTGAGAGACAGCAGGTTGAAAGCCAAAGTGTATGCGGACTATTTTGAAAACCATCTTGCGGCATTTGTGTGCCCTAAATCGAGCCAGGTGATTCATTGGTCTGGCTCACATGCTGGTAGGTAGCCATGGTGGAACATGTTCCCTTCATCTGCTCAGGCAAGCCCTCCATATGGCTGGTGTCTATCCATGTTCTCTCCCTCCATCTCTCTCTAGGTTCAGAAGACTATGAAGGAGAACCTGGCTACCGTGGAGGACAATTTTGCCACCATTAACGCACGGATGCAGAAGCTTGCCAAGTGAATCCCCTTAACAAAGTCTACAAAGGCAGGAACTGAGGTTTGCCTGCTGTCCAAATAAGCACTAACCGCTCCGTCCCTTCCCTACCTCTGTACCTTTGCACCCCTGTGGCAATTGATGCTGACTGCAGAGGGCAGTGTTGCATTCCAGATTGGAGGGAGGGTGTGCTAGAGAGGGAACCAACTTTGCGTATCCACCTGGGAAGTTGTACTCACTGCTGCTTGGCTCGGAGCCTTCTACTTGGAAAGATTATCTTACCTCTCAGCCTGGCATGGAAGCAGATTGTATTGTTGTATAATTATTTACTGTCATTAAACACTTATGCTTAGTGCTCTGTACTTGGTTTTTTTTGTGTGTGTGTGGAACAGGTTGCATGTGCTTGTCTTGTCTTTCTGTAATCTCCAGATTGTGCTCTTCATGAAGGAGAAGGTTGCCAGTGGCTCTTAGTTACAATGGCTTTTGGCTCGTCCAGAAACACTTTGGCAATGAGTATGAGGTGCTTGGAGACGAGCATCAGGTGAGGTCTGTTGCTCCCTTGCTCTTGTTCTGGGCTTCCCAAAGACATCTAATGCCCTCTGTGTACAACAGGGCTAGATGGGCCTTTGGTGTGATCCAGAGAGCTCTTCTTAAGTTCCTGTCCCATTTCACCCTTGGGAAGTCTGCACAAGCTCTTCCAATCTCCTCTCCTATGGTGAAATAGCACAGCCTACACTGAACTCCCAGGACTGAAGTGACACCACTTCACATATTACATTCAGGGTGGAGGGATTTATTCACTGCTGCTCATTCGGAATAATCTATGCTGGGTAGCAGTCGCATTGACTAGGAGGTCACTGCTAAAGCTGTTTGTTATTACAGCAGATACTGATTGTGTGATGAAGGACAGATATACAGTGGTACCTCGGGTTACAGATAATTCAGGTTACAGACTCCGCTAACCCAGAAATAGTACCTCAGGTTAAGAACTTTGCTTCAGGATGAGAACAGAAATTGTGCCGCAGCGGCACGGCGGCAGCGGGAGGCCCCATTAGCTAAAGTGGTGCTTCAGGTTAAGAACAGTTTCAGGTTAAGAACGGACCTCCAGAATTAATTAAGTTCTTAACCCGAGTACCACTGTACAGCTTCAAAGACTCACATAACAGAAGCCCTGTTGGGCTGTGGCTGACTAGTGCATGGCTACTCCATTATGTTTGAATTTCTTCCCCATCCATCACCTCTGAAGAGCCAGCTTCCAATATATCATGAGATAAGCATATATACTAGGAGCTGTGCCTCTGCCTGCCTGCTGTGTTCACTAACCCCCACATTAACTCCCTAGAGCTTCCCCTTCCCACCCTCGTACAACTATGGTGGTTGGCATCCTTCTGTCTTGAGAAACAAGGGAGTGTGCCGCCAGGGGTGAAACCAGCGCTGAAGCCAACGGTGACCTCCCTGGGGCACAAGCCTGGGCAGTGTGTCTGGAGGTCCTGGGCTGCCCAGGCCCCCCCCCCCCCCAGCCTCACTGATGTTTTCCAAAGGAAAGCAGAGCAATAGGTTTGGCATCAGCTTGGCTGCAGGAGTTGCTGGAAGGAGGCAGACGAGGAGCCATCCAGCCGCCTTAGGGACTCCACTTAAGATTTGTGTAGGGTTTACTCCTTAGCCTTTTCCTCTCCCAAAGATGTCCCGCAAGGCAGCAGAGGTTTAGGATCAGTGTTTTCCTTCTCTTAGATGAGGCTGAGGAGCCCAATCTACTTCTCATTTCCCTCTACAGTATGTGCAAAAATCACCTCTTGTAGCTCACATAACTAAGCTCAATTTTCACCTTCCAAACCCCATTTCTGAAGCCACTTCTATTCTGCAACACCCCCTTCTGCGCCCATTTTCACCTTCACGCCCATGTTGATTCTTCCTCCTTTTAGGCAACCCCCACCTTGCACACGATCCACTTCCATGGTAAACTCCTGCATCTGCCTCTTTCCACACTGGACTACTTAGTGACTAAGCAACTTTTTCACCTTCTGCCAAATTACAAAACCACCATCTCTTCCTATTCTTCAGGCCCTTGCATGCACTTGCTTTCATTTCAGGGCAGGGCAGCAGTTGAAGAAGGAGCAAAAAGGGTTTTCTTGTGTGTGTGTGTTTCTTTGTGGCTGATTAGCTGCTCTCCCTGTGCAAAGGTCAGAGGGGGCAGGGTTTCTGTTGAGGCAGGTGATTAGCTGTGGGAGGAGCTTATCAGAGCTTGCAGGGCAGCGGCAGTTTGATCCATCTTTTAGATTTAGGGGAGCTAGTCTCACCCGTTGGGGGGGGGCGCCCTAGGTTTTTTTGTGGGGGGAGTTATTTGTCCTGTCTTCACGCTTTTGATGATGGAGGACCGCTGTAGCCACCCCCAATGACACGTTCTCAAGATGGAGGGGGAGGGAACAGCTGCAGTCACCTGTGGTTCCTGCGCAATGCTTGCCATCTTGCCAAAGGTTGCAGGCAGCTTTACCTGCAGCAATTGCATGTTGATTGTCCTCTTAAAAGACAAAGTCCAGCAACTGGAGGAACGTGTAGCTACGCTCCAAAGAATTAGAGAGCTGGAGCTCTTCTTGGAAGCAACAGAGCACACCGTCTCCACCAAGGAGGAGACAGGGGACTCCCCTGAGAAGGAGGCTAGTTCACCAACACAGGAGCCAGATATATGGAGAAACGTGACTCAAAGAAGTAGGAGGCCCAGGGTTCGCTCTGATTGTTTAGAAATACACAATCGCTTTGAGGTCCTCTCCCCTAGCATGGAAGACGAAGAGCAGACTCCATTTGAGGATCTCTCCCTCATTACAGTCGATCAGGTATATGAAGACGAGCAGCAAAGTCAGTCCTCAGGGAATGTGCAGGCGACCTTGGAACGGACAGCTCACGGAAGAACCCCGACCAAACATAAGAGGAGGCGTGTAGTGGTGATAGGGGATTCCTACTGAGGGGAACAGAAGCAGTGATCTGTGGGCCTGACAAGATGTCTCGGGAAGTGTGCTGTCTCCCGGGGCTAAGATCCAAGATGTAACTGAACGACTGCAAGGAATCATAAAACCCACTGACAAATACCCCTTCCTCTTGGTTCATGTGGGAACCAATGACACTGCAAGCAATAGCCTCCAGAAGATCAAAAGAGACTACGAGGCTCTGGGCAGGAAATTGAAGCAATTAAATGCACAAATTGTGATCTCATCTGTCCTCCCAGTTGAACGACGTGGCCCAGGGAGAGAGGGGAAAATAGTGGAAGTGAACAGCTGGCTTCGCAAATGGTGTAAACAGGAACGGTTTGGATTCTTAGATCACGGACTGCAGTTTCTTGAAGATGGACTTCTGGCAAGCGATGGGCTGCACCTCACAACGGTTGGGAGAAATGTTTTTGCCAAAAATCTCAGAAACCTCATCAGGAGGGCTTTAAACTGACTAATGTGGGGAGGGAGACAGTGCTCCTGAAGGTAGGAGTCTATCAATTGATGAAGATGATCATCCAAATGTCATAGACCAAATGGAGCAAACAGCACGCAGACCTAGTGGTGGGAGGAAAAATCCTTAAATAAGAGACACGGGGAATGATTAATGGACTTCAATGTCTGTACACTAATGCGCAAAGCATGGGAAATAAACAAGATGAGCTTGAGCTCTTGGTACAGCAAACTAAATATGACATAATAGGCATCACTGAAACCTGGTGGGATAAGTCCCACGATTGGAATGTAATAATGGGGGATACAATCTATTTCAGAGAAACAGACCAGACAAGAAAGGAGGAGGAATGGCGTTATATGTCAGGGATGTGTATACCTGTGAAGAGATCCAAGATTTAGAACCTCAAAGCCAAAGTGAGAGCATTTGGGTCAAAATTAAGGGAGAGAAGAATAACAGTGACCTCATTGTGGGAGTTTACTATAGATCCCCAAGCCAAACGGAGAACATAGATGATGCCTTCCTGGAACAGATGGCCAAGCATGCAAAAGGAAGGGAGATAGTAGTAATGGGGGACTTCAATTACCCGGATATTTGTTGGATGTCAAACTCAGCCAAGAGCATAAGGTCAAACAGATTCCTCACTGGCCTTGCAGACAACTTCATTGTCCAGAAAGTGGGAGAAGCAACAAGAGGAACAGCCATTTTAGATCTGGTCCTAACCAATGTTGATGACCTGGTTAGTGGGGTAGAAGTGGAAGGATCATTAGGCGCGAGTGATCATGCTCTTCTGAAGTTTACTATACAGTGGAAAGGAGCAGCCAAGCATACTAGCACTCAATTTCTTGACTTTAAGAAAGCCGACTTCATAAAACTATTAGGGAAGTGCTGGGTGAGATCCCATGGACAGTAATACTAAAAGGAAAGGGAGTTCATGATGGCTGGGAGTTTGTTAAGAGGGAGATAGTAAAAGCACAACGTCAGGCAATACCAATGAGATGGAAACATGGAAGGTGCCTAAAGAAGCCAGGGTGGCTATCTAAAGAACTTTTAACTGAGTTAAGATTAAAAAGGATGTGTACAAAAAATGGAAAAGGGGGAAACCGCCAAAGAGGAATTCAAACAAGTAGCCAGCACGTGTAGACACAAAGTCAGAAAAGCTAAAGCACAGAATGAACTCAGGCTTGCTAGAGAGGTTAAAAGCAACAAAAAGGGCTTTTATGGGTATGTTCAGTAGCAAAAGGAAGAACAAAGAAACAGTGGGGTCACTCAGAGGAGAAGATGGTGAAATGCAAACAGGGGACACAGAAAGAGCTGAACTCCTCAATGCCTTCTTTGCCTCAGTCTTCTCCGATAAAGAAAACAATGCCCAACCTGAAGAATTTGGAGCAAATGATTCAGCAAATGAAACACAGCCCAGAATAACTAAGGAGATAGTACAAGAATACTTGGCTAGTTTAGATGTATTCAAGTCTCCAGGGCCAGATGAACTGCATCCAAGAGTATTAAAAGAACTGGCAGATGTGATCTCAGAACCACTGGCAGTCATCTTTGAGAATTCCTGGAGAACAGGCGAAGTCCCGGCAGACTGGAGGAGGGCAAATGTTGTCCCTATTTTCAAAAAGGGGAAAAGAGAGGACCCAAATAATTACCGCCCAGTCAGTCTGACATCAGTACCAGGGAAGATTCTGGAGCAGATCATTAAGCAAACAGTCTGTGAGCACCTAGAAAGGAATGCTGTGATCGCCAATAGTCAGCATGGATTTCTGAAAAATAAGTCATGTCAGACTAACCTGATCTCGTTTTTGACAGAATTACAAGCCTGGTAGATGAAGGGAACGCAGTGGATGTAGCCTACCTTGATTTCAGCAAGGCATTTGACAAGGTGCCCCATGATATTCTTGTAAAGAAGCTGGTAAAATGCGGTCTTGACTATGCTACCACTCAGTGGATTTGTAACTGGCTGACTGACCGAACCCAAAGGGTGCTCATCAATGGTTCCTCTTCATCCTGGAGAAGAGTGACTAGTGGGGTGCCACAGGGTTCTGTCTTGGGCCCGGTCTTATTCAACATCTTTATCAACGACTTGGATGATGGACTCAAGGGCATCCTGATCAAATTTGCAGATGACACCAAACTGGGAGGGGTGGCTAACACCCCAGAGGACAGGATCACACTTCAAAACGACCTTGACAGATTAGAGAACTGGGCCAAAACAAACAAGATGAATTTTAACAGGGAGAAATGTAAAGTATTGCACTTGGGCAAAAAAAATGAGAGGCACAAATACAGGATGGGTGACACCTGGCTTGAAAGCAGTACATGTGAAAAGGATCTAGGAGTCTTGGTTGACCACAAACTTGACATGAGCCAACAGTGTGACGCGGCAGCTCAAAAAGCCAATGCAATTCTGGGCTGCATCAATAGGAGTATAGCATCTAGATCAAGGGAAGTAATAGTGCCACTGTATTCTGCTCTGGTCAGACCTCACCTGGAGTACTGTGTCCAGTTCTGGGCACCACAGTTCAAGAAGGACACTGACAAACTGGAACGTGTCCAGAGGAGGGCAACCAAAATGGTCAAAGGCCTGGAAACGATGCCTTATGAGGAACGGCTAAGGGAGCTGGGCATGTTTAGCCTGGAGAGGAGGAGGTTAAGGGGTGATATGATAGCCATGTTCAAATATATAAAAGGATGTCACATAGAGAAGGGAGAAAGGTTGTTTTCTGCTGCTCCAGAGAAGCGGACACGGAGCAATGGATCCAAACTACAAGAAAGAAGATTCCACCTAAACATTAGGAAGAACTTCCTGACAGTAAGAGCTGTTTGACAGTGGAATTTGCTGCCAAGGTGTGTGGTGGAGTCTCCTTCTTTGGAGGTCTTTAAGCAGAGGCTTGACAACCATATGTCAGGAGTGCTCTGATGGTGTTTCCTGCTTGGCAGGGGGTTGGACTCGATGGCCCTTGTGGTCTCTTCCAACTCTATGATTCTATGATTCATTTCCCATGCCTCCTGCGCTCTGCTTTTTTGAAACCCCCTTCCTGTTCTCAACTCTCTGTTGCACACAAATCACCCGTTTCCATGCTGTAGCCTCTCTCCTATTGTGCATCTTGCATGCACATATCATTTTCACCTTCCTTTTCTCTTGGTCCTCCTTCCTTCAGCTCTCCCTTGCACACAGACCACCACCCTATTTCCATCTCATCCGGTGGTCTGACTTAGTTTAAGGCAGGGTGTTTTCAGCCTCTTAAAAATACGGGCTGCACACCACCCTGCTTCCAGAGCTGTGAGTTGAGCTGACAAAAGACCAACCCCATAAGACTTTGTTTTAAATACATATTTTAATACTTGATACAAAACACACACACACCCCCAAAAAAATAAACAAGTAAAGAAACAGTAACTTCGATCTAAGCGGCAAAATATTTTCATCTGTTAAATTAAAAGTCGCTCCCATAGAAAAGCTACAATTCACAATTGTGTAATTGTTTTTTTTTTTTACAAAACAAAATTTAAGCTCGAAAAAGGAAAATAGTTCCCCCCCTCCAAATTCCTTTTTAAAAATTTTATTTATACAAAACAAAGGCCGAAGTTGGTTGGTTGGTTTGAAGTGCACAGGGGAGGGGGAGACAGCGCAAACTGTACAGTATCTACACAGTGCTTTTGCATAATCCGTCAAGACTCTCAACCAGACATGGGGGCAGGTGGTGGTGTACTTGGGGCATGGAGCGTTTTGGTCGTTCAGAGATGAAGGCTGTAGTGTGTATGTTTGCAGGGAGGGGGCTAGAGAAGCAGGTGCAGGGGCAAAGCTGGGCCAATTCTAGTTAGAGCACAAACTCCTCCTTTCCCTGGCCAACGACCTGAGTGTTCTTTTGAGGATTTCTATAGAGAGAGAAAAATACGCAGGCAAAGGTTGCTTTTTTGTTTGTGTGTGTAAAGGGGGGGGGGTGAGAACATGAAGCCCTACCAGTCCCAGGAGCCCAACTAGAGCCAAGGAGAAGAGCAAGTCCAACTCATCAGCCAGACTTTGCCACTCTCTTTCAGTAGCGTCTCAATGGAGGTGTGTGGGGGGGAGTGTGGTGGCGGGGAGTGAATGAATTGCTGAAGTATGGAAGGGAACGAATCCTCCCTTCAAAAATGTGGCTTCTTTTTCCTTATTGCTTTGTACCTTTAGCACAGGGGCCAGGATCTTGTGTGTGTTTTTGGCAAGGCAGAGAAAGAGAAAGAGACTGATTCTTGTATTAAAACCCTGAGCTGGTTCTCACCTGGGTGCTAAAGCGCACACAGGTCTGAGGTAAGGTGGGAAGTGAAAGGGCCAGGATGTCCTCTTCCGGGAGCACGTGGCCCTTGCTACTCCTGCTGAGGTTCTGAGACTCAACCGAGGGGGGGAGGGAGGGGAATCTCGCCAGCGTCAGGGGAAGGGGCAGCTACTACACAGCGGCAAGGGACTCCCCGTCAGGTCATTGAAAGAAAGAAGAAAAGCTTCCAAGAAGTGCTATGGGTGTGTCCAGCTCTAGTGCTCCTTTTGCTCCCATCCCAGCCTTTGCTCCCACCCACCCACATCCCAAAACAAATGCTGTGACCAGAGATGCACCTTGTGCTTTCAGGGGTCCCTTTTAGGGGAGATTCGGGACCCAGGCAACTGGTGAAGCTACAACACATTCACGGCTAAGGCGCAAAGAGCCCAGCAGCAGCAGCCGATCCTCTTGCTGGTATTTCCCTCCCCTCGCCCCATGTCCAGGGGGTGGGCACCAGAGATTAAGGGGGGCGGGGGGGAGAGAGAGAGAAGCCAGAGGTGTCCTAAGCTCTGATCACCTAGGAGCGAGGGGGGTCTCCGGTTCAGGCGGTGCTATGTGGGCAGTTTCCTCCTCCTGTTTTTCACGGGTCGGCCAGGCCGTGGCCGACGAGCAACAGTGTAGTCAACCTAACAGAAAAAGAGAAAGAGAGTGAAGGGGGTGTTTAAAGCTCGGCTTACTAAGTGGGCAGAGCTCAGAGGCAGGAGCTGCATCTACGCCAGTGCAGGGGATGCTCCTGTTATAAATAAAGTCCATTTATTTCCAGGGCGTAAAAAGAGGGAAGTGGAAGAAGGAAGGCAGAGGCAGAAGGCAAAACGCCCCATAAAACAGAAGGGGGGTGTACATGCAACAATAAAACTTAACTCTGCAGTGGGTACTAAAACTAAAAGGTATAGCTAAGGCAAGCTGGGACAGCCCTAGTCCAGTGATAATAGTAGGAAGGGTGGGAATAGGATGGAGTGCAAAAGAAATCCCTTCTTGGGTCCAGGCAGCAAACCAAGGGGAAGGGTAATAGCTCAGAGACAGAGCATATGTTTGGCATGGCGAAGGTCTCTAGGCTTCTACCACTGAACTGTGAGCCTCCCATTAAGATGAGTGCTAAGAAGAGATGCGGGCTGATGATGTATCTTTCTGGAGAACTCTCTTCTCAGCTTTGGGGTTGTAACAGAAAAGGCCTTGCTAATTCTCTTTGCCAATTGCTGAAACAAAAAACTGGTTTGTTTCGGAGGGTTGATGCGAATATGAACACATAATGAACACCCAATACTCTGTCCTGCTGGCAAAACTGTACTGTAGCAGAGTGGAAAACTAAATGGATTTTGGCAAGAGGTGGGAGGGGTGAAGCAGTCAATGCAGGTGTCATTGCTGCTGGCAGAATGGGACAAGACAACCAATCTTGCCAATGGGGCACAATCCAGTTCTCCAGCACAAGCCCCACTGAAGTGAATGAAGCTTTCCCAGCAGACTGTGGCAATGGCTACTTGGTAGATTGCAGATTTTCCCCCTCATGGAAATCCAGATTCCCATCAATGTGTCCTTATAAGAATGACATACTCTACCCATCTCTGCTGTTGAGATCATCTTCAACAGCCCTATTCCACCTTCCCTCAGCGGAGAAGCAGGGCTTGCAAAAAGTTGTGCCTCCCTTTCCTGGACTGGGGCACAAGGAAGGCACTTCCATTTCTGAGCACTGTCACCAGAGCAATGATGTCAGCCTTTGCTCCAAACAATTTCTCCCATTTGGCAACAAAAAGGAAAGGCCAGTATCCTCTAATTTAGGGCAAGCTTCCAATGTTCCTCCAGCTGCTTTCATAGTCCCTCAGTGCCCTGGAGTCACCCTCCCTTGGGAATTTCCCCTGGTGACTTCATCAGCTTCAGCCAGCTTCCTGTCAGCTTCTCTTGGGTCCTGCTGCCCTGTGGTTTGAGGGAAGATGTCCAGAGAACCACTTATCCCAGCCTCTGCCCTTCCTGGGATCTGCTGACGTTGCTGCCTCCTCACAGGTCCTTCTCTGGGCTTGTCCTGTTGATATCCAGTGATGGGTGTGTTGGCCCGTTTCTTCTAAAAGGCCTTTGGACATGGAGATAATGGCTGGCAGGGGGAGAGGTATGATGGCTTTGCTGCTGTAGGTACAGGTTTCTACCCTGTTTTTGTGCACACAGCTTTGAGCTTAAAATACTTAAAATCATCATGTTCTAAGCTGCCTTAAGCACTTTCAAAAAGTGACATGGAAATGTTTTAAACAAAGAATAAAATCACCAGGGCATGGGAGTGATAATGTAAAATTGTAGGACACCTTTTAAGTCTTTACTTTTAGTTGAATTTGCATTTTCTTTTCTCTGGTGGTTTTGTTTTTTGCTCATCCCCAAAATGTAGAAAGCTTTTTGATCAATTGTTTATTTTAAACTGAAAACACAGAAATCCTGATGAAGCCAATGGACACCAGAAGCCAGACTCTTCCATTTGCGGCACAATCAGATCCACAGTGTATTGATATTTTTACTTTTCAGAGACAGTAAGTGCTTTAAAGGAAATGATTATCTGACATAAATTGTGGCAATGAAGTGGGGGGTGGCCACTTGTGCATTGCCCCAAAATAGGAAAGGCATCACCCTCACCACCAAAAAAGGGACAAAAGAGGGCACATATTTGTGCAAAAAAATTACAGGTGCTGATAAATATGTAACAATGCAAATTTAGGAACTACTGTAATTGGAACATAAATGCATCTTGTCAGGGTGGGAGAGACTGTGACCATGTGAGCTGTGTGTGCCTGCTCAGTCGGCTGTCCAGGTGCCAACTTTCCATGGGCAATTTCAATGCGATTATCTTCTAGAAAATCCTGTTAGGAGAAGCCTCCTTACAGTTTCTCATCTTTAAACTGGCCTTGGACCAGACCGCCCTTCACCCAGAGGACTGACCTCTGTAAGGCAGGACACATGGCTGCTCCACAATGAAGCCACAGGGGAGCAGCAAGAGGAAGACCCGGGGTTAGTTTGACAGAATACAGGCCATTGCCTGCCCCTGTGTGTAGCAGGGGTGGTGGCTGAGAGAGGCTTCTCTGCTCTATTACGCCTCCTTGGTGCCACCCAGTGGTGTTTCACTGTGGGCCAAAAGGTCTATCATGCTCTAGGACCCAGGGAGCAGCTTGGAGGAACCCTTGCTGGCCGCCTGTGACCTTGAGAAGCACTTTGCCGAGAAAATAGTTTGCCTCTGCTCTGACTTGGGTGCCACGCGGGGGTGCATGAGGTTGTGGCTTGTGGTTGGCTTCTCTTTCACCCCAAGCAGTTGGTTGAGTCTTTGCGACCTACAAGTGTGGAGGCTTGGAGAAGTGCATGGTTAACCCTTTCCCGCTAGGTGTTGGGCTGTGTGTGGTGTCCAGGCACATGGGAGGAGGGAGAAAGCAGCCTTGCTGCAAGACAGATTAGTGCCTACCACTCTGAAGGAGGTGGCATTGGGGTGGGGTGGGGTGGCACTTACCAATGGGCTGGGCCCTGGATCAGCACTGGGACCCCGGATCCGTGTAGCTTCAGGTCGGGCGCTGGGCCGGGCACCACTGCAAAAAAACAAGGGTGGATTACAGAGAAGGAAGACACTTTCAGTGGCCCCCAACCTTGCTCTAGCTTCTGCCATGAGCCCCATCCTTTCTGGGACATGGTCCTCACCTGCTTTTTCTCCTCCGGCCACGTCGGGCTGGTCGCCTTCCAGGAGGGCCCTGCAAGAAGGATGACTGGAAGGTGAGCATCTGCATCTCCTCCCCCTCCTCCTGCTCCCAGCGTCCTTGGAGCCATCCATTTGCCCACTCAGCTCCACCCAGTTTGTCCATCTTCCAATCCCTGGACTCCTCAGGACCACTATGCAAAGGCCACTTTGAATATCCCACAAGGCTCATGTGCTCCCCTGACCTCTTCCTACCAAGCGGCCCTGAAGAGCTCTGTCAATTTTAGTTTCATAACAAGCTAACTTCAAACTCACTGACTTATTAAACTGGTCCGTCTTTTAGAAACCAGAACCCCCAGTTTGAATGCTAAACTGAGATAAAAGTGAGACCGATGGACACCCTCTTCCTGGCTATGCAAGGGTGTCGGGCGTGAGTGCGCAAACCCAATGCTTCATTCAGACTGGTTGAGGCTTGTATGTGAAGCTCCCTAGCAGCCTCACTGAACACTATTGCAGCTCAGCCTTCATAGCCAATGCAGAAGCAAGGGCTCAAACCAGAGGCATTCCTTATGCTGAAAACAGCAGCATTAGAAGCGCATTGGTGCACAAAGGCCTCAGGTCTACCTAGTCCAGCATGTGGTGTCCAACTCAGATGGCCAGCAATATGGATGGGTAGCTGTCCATCACGGCAGAGCCATCCCATTTGTCCGCAGCATCAGGAAAGCAGGAGACAGCTTGCCCCTGAATAGCAAGGGGGCCTTGCAAGCTGTGCTCCCTCCCCCACCCCTTAGCCAAGTCACGGTGGAGCCCATTTCCCAGTCACCCCCTGTCCCCCTTGTTTCGGCACCTGACGTACCTTTATCTCCTGGACAGCAAAAGGGCCCGCTTGGCTTTCAGCACTGCTGGCCACCATCTCCCCGTTGCAGCGCCAGGCGGGATGGGACGGGTGCCCTGCGCCCAAGTCGGGAAGCTGGCCGTTGAAGTGCCGCCTGCCCCTGCCCCGCCCGCCCCCTCGCCGTCCAGACTTGCCGCCCCGCCCCGGCCCCCGAGAGAGGCTGCTGCCGGAGTCTCCATTCAGGTCTTCCGCGCCGCGACGGGGCCGCTTGAGCGGGGAGCGCGAGCTGCTGGCCTCCTGCCCCAGGGGGGCCTCCTGCTGTCCTTGCCTGGCTGGCTCGAGGGCTCTGGGCGGCTCTAAGGCACTTGTAGGGGCAGCGTCCGTGCAAGGGGGGGGCAACGCAGTGTTGTGGCCTGGCTCCGTCTCTGCTGCAGGGGCCCCGCTGGCCAAGGCTGGGGCTGGGGCTTCACTCGGTTGCACGGACTTCTCTGGGACGCCAAAGCCAGAGCTCAGCTGGCAAAAAGAGACAAGACAGCGGAGGAAATCCGTCAGAACTCTGCAAAGACTGCTTCTCCAAAAGCGTATTTAAATTCACTTCTGCTGAGTCCATTAAAGCTGGCCTCAGTATTCAAAACATTCGTCTTTTCAGCAACACCCTGTGTTACTATTTCTTTCCCAAAGTCCAGCGGTGGGGAACCTGTGGTGTTTCAGAAGATGTTGGACTCCAACTCACATCAACCCTGACCATTGGTCATGCTGGCTGGGGCTGATGGGAGCTGGAGTCCAGCAGCACCCAGGGCGTGCCTACCCCTGCTCCCAAAAAGACAGAGGCTCTATTTTCCTGCTTCAATTGCTCATCTCACCTTGCTTCTTTTTAATCCTTCGCCATCCCAGTGAACCAGCCTATTGGACAGTGTTGGGCTTTGACTAAGGAGATCCAGGGTCTAATCCCCACTCTGGCCTAAAATACATGTTACATGTAAACACACATGAACAAGAGCCCAGGAAAACCCTATCCTGATGGGTGGCAACTCCCCACCCTCACACTTCTGATCACCCTTACCGAAATCAGCTTTTCCTTCTAAAACAGCTGTTGACTACTGTCAATTATGTACTTTAGGCCTTGCCCCTGGCACTCACTCTTCACCTCACAGAGTTGTCAAGCATAACACTCCTAACCCATCCTATAACATTCTAAAATAGCCCAAATATAGCAAAGTAAGCAATGCTAATGCAGCATATTTGTGTACATTTGTGAGTTTAAAAACACTCAAAAGCATTTTCCCCAAGTACTGAATCTGGGGGGTGTTTCTGAACGCTGCCTCACCCTTGGAAGCCGGATACAGCCCTCGGCTCTCCACTTACTTGCAAGCTCTGGAGGAGGCAGGCCAGGGGGTTGGAGGCGGCCAGCAGGGGCAGCTGCCCTTGGAAAAGCTGGAGTCCCAGTGGCCCTTGCAGGCTGGGTGGCAGAAGCGGCTGCTGGGCCTGGAGAAGAGGGTTTCCAATCAACGATGGGCTGGAGCCTGGGTTCAGCCCTGACAGGTCACCTACATGGTGGAGAGAAGGAGGCCAGGCCGTGAACAATGTCACTCTCACACAACCGTCCCCAGGGTGCTCCAAGGTGCCTCACCGCAAGAGCTGTAACAGCACCTGTTTTCGTATGTTCTCTACCCCTGCCCAATATATACTGACTAAAGGATTGTCCCTCCAAAAGGGTGAAAGCGACTTCTACACATACACCTGCTGTCAACTGCAGTGGAATAATTTAGACATGTGCAGCTGCATGTACATAGAGCTCTTCCACGTTTCCGCTTTCAAATACTTCTGGAATCCAAAGCCTGAAAACGTGAGAGCCCAAAATACCCCCAAAAAATGGGGGAGCCTGTTCCCCTCAAGATCTTGCTGGACTACAGCTCCCATCATCCCTGGTCCTAGGCCATGCTGAGAGGGGCTGATGGGAATTGGAGTCCAAACTTCTGGAGGGCCTGAGTTTCCCAGCCTTGGATCAAGAGGGAGAATGCAAGTAAACAGAAGTCAGAGGGGTGTTTCCCCATCACCACCTCAATGAGCTGACTGGGTGACCTTGGCCACATGTTTTTTTATTGTCAGTTTGGCTCCTTTCATGGTTTCTGTTGCCGGGTGTCTGTGTGTGTGTGTGTGAGACCAGACCCTATGTGGAGCATTAAAGAATGCATAGTATCAGAGTGGCTGTGATTCCTTTTCAACTAGAGGCCCAAATAATAAACCAGAATGGGTGGAAGGGCCAACAATATAAAGCTGTAAAAGCAGGACTATTTCTTTCTGCCGTGACACAACTACATCCAGGCCCTGTTCAATCCCAGTCCCACCATTTCAGACAGGTTAGTATGTGGCTGCAGCTCGTGCTAGCTCCCCCCCCCCCGCCCTGTCGTGCCTTAACTTCTTCACCTTCCCAGGAGTTGGCCCTGCAGAAAGAAGGGGTTTAACTCACCCAGAAGTGTGGTGCTCAGCAGTGGGTTCACAAGCTGAGGCATCAGGGGATGCAGCCGCCCTGAGGTGCTAGGGGCGCCCTCAGTAGTCGTTGATGTTGCGCTGGTGGAGGTAGGTGCCACAGGAGTGCCAGCCAGGCCAGTCTGGGGCGGAAGAAGCAGCGGAGGGTGAGGTGGGAGCCAAGGGGCAGGGCAAGCCCAGCAGCTGATTTGGGGAGAGCGCCTGTTGCTATGGCTCAGTGTTGCCACATCCCACCCTCTGCAGAATTTTCGTTCTTTTAGAGCAGCCGTGCTTGCTCCTATCTGTGCAATATGGCAGGTCAGCTGAGCCTGCAAATGTCGATCTCATTCTTCATTATTAATTCCTGGCATTCCATAACACTACAGCATGACCAAGAATGAGACCCAGACACAGGGCACTACGAGCAAAGCGGGCATGTAGCTCCCAGTCCCACATGGATCTTGGAGAGCCCTTTCCTTACTAGCCCCTCGCTAGAGAGTAAATGCCTGTCTTCCTGCTTTTGATGCTACACTTCGGCATTACACTTTGGGATGCTATTTTGGTGAGGGCAGAGCTCTGCCTCCCATCCCCCGACGCTGGATGTCCTAGCAATGATTGGCAGGGATTCTGTGGGCAGAGTTGCACTGCACCCCTCTGTAGTATTTGAGGGGTATAGAATCACTCCACCTCCACCCACATGACGATAGACAAATTATGGAAACTCCTTGGGCCATGGATGTTGTTTATGGGCCTCTGCAAAGTGGCACCATATAAAATAATGACTGTTCCACCATTAGTTTAAAAGAAAGACAGAAAACATTGCTTTTCAGGTGTGTGCAAGCCCCATGCTTCCTGCGGCTGTCATCTCCTCCTCCCACCTGCTTTCAATCTGTGACCACATTGCAAAAGGCCCCTTTAAGAGTTTTGAGCCTGGCTGGTATTCACTAAATGCAGTTCCTTCCATTCCACCCTCCCTCCTCCCCAGTGCCCTGTGAGAGGAGAAGCTGCACCTGTGCAACTTCTACCTTCCTCTTAAAAGGAACAAGCAGCCCCCGGCAAAGCCCGCCTACAGTTTTCTTACCTGTGGGGGGCCTGGCCCAGGGTCAGAAGGGCCTAGGCTGGTCGCCAGCAGTGCTGAATTTAAAGCTAGGACAGCTGGAGGGGTGGAAAGTGCTGGGAAGAGCAGGGGCTGCAGAGTTTCATGGAGGCCAGTGAAGGGCTCCAGCAGGGGCTCCGTGGCGGCTGCCTCCCTCTCCACCTCGCACGTCGCCTCTGGCAGCCCCAGCAGCGATGCCAGGAGTCCGCTGGGTTGGTGCAGCAAATCCAGGCCGGGCAGCACCAGAGGCAGCAAGGGCTGCCCCTCGGGGTCCCCTTGCAGGTTCAGAGGCGGCAGTGGCGTCTCCGGGCCCAGCGTCAGCGAGAAGGGGAAGGAGCCCAGTGGGAGCAGCCCGGGAGGTAGAGCGTTCCCAAAAGGCAGCGCCTGCTCCTGTGCCAGGAAGGGGAAGGGGTCGGGGCCCGAGGCCACAGGGCAGCCCAGGCCCCCGCCTTCCATTGCACTGGTGGGGACAGGGCTGGCTGCCGGCGGGGCTTTGGGAGTCAGAGGTGAAGCGGAACTGGCACCTAGAAAGGGACAAGAAAGGCACAGACACTGAGGAAGAGCAACGCGGCGCCTCAAGGACTCTCTCCCCAATACACTGTCCCATGCTTGCACCTTCCCAGAAGGGCTTGTTCAGAAGAGGCCCACGAGAGGCCTGGTTTCCATGTATGCTCAGAAGGTGATCCTGCTGAGCTCAACGGAACTTATTCCTTCGTTAAGCACGTGCAGGACTGCAGCCTTAATTCACCACCTTCTTTGCAGTTGTGTGGCAGACAAAATTCAACAGAGGGTGCTTATCTCAGCATGGCGCTGCCTGCACCTCTACGTTTTTTGCCATGCAATTATTTCAGGCTCAAGAGACCTGTGTCTTCCCCACCAACCCATGGAATTATAATAATCCTGCTTCTGAGGCATCAGATAGATAGTCTGGCTATGAAGTCTTCTGTGACACTGCAGAGCACCTCCTGAGACACCACCATCCAGCCACTCAGTTCTGTTCGGCTCCCCATTGGGGTAGCCAGCCTTTAAACTTGCCCCTTAACAGCAGTCTGATCTGTATACACCAGCAAGCGGCAAGGTTCATCTCCCAGCTCAGAAAAGTCCCCCTGCTAATTGGAGTCCCCGTGGTATGGAGCAGGGATGGGGAATCAGTGGTCTTCCGGATGTTCTTGGACTCCAATTCCCATCAGCCCCACTCAGAATGATTAATGGTCAGGAATGATGGGAGTTATAGTCCAGCAACATTTGGAGGACTCCATTTCCTACTCATGGTAGGGTGGATAGGCTAGCTACATCACAGCCAGGAGTTGAACTTAGAAATCAAAACTCTCTATACTCATAACAGCATTTAGGGCAGCAGCCCCTGCAATAGATTGAGGTTGAATCCTGACAAGACAGAAGTACTGTTTTGGGGGGACAGGAGGCGGGCAGGTGTGGAGGATTCCCTGGTACTGAATGGAGTAACTGTGCCCCTGAAGGACCAGGTGCTCAGCCTGGGAGTCATTTTGGACTCACAGCTACCCATGGAGGCACAGGTCAAATCTGTGTCCAGGGCAGCTATTTACCAGCTCCATCTGGTACGCAGGCTGAGACCCTACCTGCCCGCAGACTGCCTCACCAGAATGGTGCATGCTCTGGTTATCTCCCGCTTGGATTACTGCAATGCACTCTATGTGGGGCTACCTTTGAAGGTGACCCGGAAACTACAACTAATCCAGAATGCGGCAGCTAGACTGGTGACTGGGAGCGGCCGCAGAGACCACATAACACCGGTCTTGAAAGACCTACATTGGCTCCCAGTACGTTTCCGAGCACAATTCAAAGTGTTGGTGCTGACCTTTAAAGCCCTAAACAGCCTTGGTCCAGTATATCTGAAGGAGCGTCTCCACCCCCATTATTCTACCTAGACACTGAGGTCCAGCACCGAGGGCCTTCTGGCGGTTCCCTCACTGCAAGAAGCCAAGTTACAGGGAACCAGGCAGAGGGCCTTCTCGGTAGTGGCGCCTTCCCTGTGGAATGCCCTCCCACCAGATGTCAAAGAGAACAACAACTGCCAGACTTTTAGAAGACATCTGAAGGCAACCCTGTTTAGGGAAGCTTTTAATGTTTGATGTATTATAGTATTTTTAAAAAATTTTGGAAGCCGCCCAGAGTGGCTGGGGAAGCCCAGCCAGATGGGCGGGGTATAAATAATAAATTATTATTATTATTATTATTATTATTGAGAGCACCCTCCCTGTGGAAGTGAGGGAGGCAAGCACCAACATTGGACAGATTTCAGCATGACATGAAAACATTTTCATTTCAAGAATTTCTGGAAGGTTAATTTTACATGGTCACCTTTTGATACGCTACTGATTTATTTACGATGAATATCATTCTGTATTTTATTCTACTGTAAATCACTTAGAAATCTTTGAGTATAGGTGATTCATATAAATATTTCGAACAAAATAAATAGTGTGCTGAGCTTTGCTCTGAGCTGGGCAGCATCTCTCAGCCTAACCTGCCTCACAGGGTTATTGGGAAGATGACACGGCATGGAAAGGCCACCATGTACTTCATTCTGAGCTCCTTTGAGAAAGGGTGGGATAAAAAGTGTAACAAAGAATTTCTACAACTCAGAATTTTTTCTGCAGCTGGATGCTGGATTTTCTGCAGCTAGATGCTGATAATTATTTGATGTTCATCTTTTTTAAAGAGCAAAGTAAAGGAGCAGGTGAGGCTGTTACTTTCCTGGTTAGCTAACACCACTAGACTCTTCCTGGCTCTTTTGCTAGCACTTGCACCATGCTCCACCTACAAGATGATGAACATCAAATAATTCTCAGCCTCCATCATAGCTCAGCTGCAGAAAAATACAAGGCTTTGTTTCTGGCTGGCTTCTACGCCAGGTATAGGATGAAGATGAAGTCGGTGCAGTGGAAGAGAGGAGGGGCAGTGTACTTTGTGTCATGGGAGGGGCCACAGCACAATGGCAAAGAACATATTCCACATGTAGAAAGCCCCAGGCTCAGTCCCTGCCATCTGAAGACAGGGCTGGGAAAGTGCTGTATCCAGACCCTAAGAGCTGCAGCGATGAAAAATGCTGTCCTCACTAAATTCCGTCTTCTGCACAGCTATTAGACATGCAGGGGCTCTCTCCCCTACTTTGCACCTGGTTACTCTTACTGAAGCTCCTCTTAATACAACGTCTGCTGCACAGCTGTGCGGAGGCAGCAATAGCCAGTTCCTTGGCTGGACAAGCAAAACTGTTCCGTGAGCCAGAAGGGCTCTGCCTTTATGGAAGCGCTGCTGACGGCTACGGAGAAGTAAAGAAAAGATTGCCCACTGCTAGCATCCAAGGTGTGCAAACCACCTTCTGCACATTGCTGTGCTTTCTTGGGAGCATCCACCTGTGTGGCTTTTTCTGCCATGATAGGAGGGACCCCTGATGCTAACACGCTTTGCTGCCAAGTTCTGGGAGTCAGTGGTGATGCCCACTGGGGCTGCTGGGGTGGAAGCAAGGCAGCCCAGCAGCAGGTAGAGCCGATGACAGGCAGAGACAGCTAATGCTAGTGTGTCTTCATCCTCCCTGCAAGAGCAAGACTGAGATGGAGGAGTCTAGCAGGCAGTGCCACGCCCTAAACTGGATAGGCCAGTGGGGCCTGGCTGAGGGCAGAGTGAGGTGGGTGGGGCAGCACCCCATTTGCCCTCCCCTGCCATGAACCTTTCTTCTTCTTCTTGATGCTAAATAGCAGACACAAAGGAACCTCTATCAGAATGTGGTTTGGAAGGCAAGAGGTTAAACGATGTCTCCCCCAGGGTGATCCTGCTGAAAAAATCCCCCCTTCCTTGCAAAGCTACTAAGTGCCTCGGGAGGGATTCTCCCTGTGCAGGGAAGGGTTAGAGTTCCCCAACTCTGTAGTCCAGACTGGGGGAAGCCCACCTGCTAGTTAGAGCAGTGTGGCAGAATTTGCATGGATGGTTGATGTAAACATGCAGTTTGGGCTGGAGGAATGAGCTCCAGGTGCAAAACGGAAGCATCCTGGCTGACTGGTAGAGCATCTGCTTTGCATGCAGAAGGTCCTGACATCTCTTGGGAGGCCCAGAATGTTCCCAGTCTGAAACCCTGGCAGGACACTGGCAGTCAGCATGCAGACAGGTCTTAGCTATAGGGACCGATGATCTGCTTTAGTATAAGGCAGCTTCCCCTGTTCCTAGCAGCACTGGTGAAAGGAGGTAGGCAGAAAGTACAAGTACAGAAATGGGGAATATGTGACCCTTTGGATGTTAAGGACTCCCATCAGTCCAGCCAGCAATCAGGAATGATGGGAGTCACCTGGGGGGCTGCGGCCCCTGCCCCTCCCAAAAACCTCCCTAATGTAAGGTATAGGAACAGTTTGCAAGCAAGGGAATCCACCATTTCTGGACAATGTTTCCAGAATATTGATTGGAAAGAGTACTAACTTTTTTCTTTTAGCAGAGATAAGTCCAGGGGCTCTGGCCTACATGGGAGCCCTGTTTTCTGCCATGAAAGACACCCCTGATCCTTTATGATTATGTAAATAGTAGCACCAATGTGCATGTTGCTTCACAGATTGTAAGAGAACCGGTCCCTGCCTCAGTGATCTTGGTCTAAAATTCAAGAGAGGAGAAGACAAGAAGGGCAATGGAGGCGTGGGGGGGGGGGGGAATTGTGATTCTAATTCTGAATTCTAAATCTGCGAGAGTTTTGGTGCTGAGGGAAAGTCCATGGGTTCCTTTTGCCATCTTTTCATTATTACTTCATAGCTCATATTTATTCCTGCATTGCAGGGGGTTGGACTAGATGACCACTGAGATCCCTTCCAACTGTACAATTCTATAAGCTATTTCTGTGAAGAAGGGCAATGGGGTCAAAGTGAAGCTCAGAAAAATCATTGTGTAAAACCACGATGTGTCTTGCTGTTTGGGACATGCTCTTTAAAAGGCCAAGGATAGAAAGGAATGGGCAGTGCCAAGTAGCCAGGGCTGAAGGGGAGAAAATGTGGGTCTGTGTCGGACCAGACCGACAGTGCTTGCAAGACTTCTGCCGACGTCAGTGGAAGACAACCTTCCTACCTCTCTAGCAGGGAGAGAGGCACTCACATGTCTCCCCGCTTCTTTCTCCACAGTGTCTGAAACCACCCTGCTTGCTTAGTTTTTCTTTTTGACTCAAAAGACTATGCATTCATTATGCAAGCAATACTTTCAGCTGCCTTAGGGAGGTGGCAAGCAGGACCATGACATTGGTTCTGCTGAGGGACCTGAACACCTTCCATCCCAGCTGGTCATGTAAAGCAGGTGTGGGGAATCTGGACCAGGCTTGAATGCAGTCCTCCTGATCTATCTGGCGCTTGGAAGCGCACAACTACCCCAGCCACCTCTCCCCTCCCCTCCCCTCCCCAGGCCACCCCCTCCCTAACCCTGCTTGGAACCCTCTTTGACTGTTTTCCCCTGACTAGAATCTGCCAAGGAACTCTGATAATGCCTCTGGCGTATCTGGGTGGAGGAAACAGGGGTGTGTGGAGAAATTAGCCTACTGCACAGAGATAAGATGCACATTAGTAGTTCTGCTCCCCATCTCAATTATGAACTCTCCTATTTAAAAACTGAGGGCTGGCTTTGCTTCCCTGCCCCTTGCTCTTCCCTACCCATTCCTTTTTTCCTTATTTTAGGTTGTAAGCCTGCAGGAAGGGACTGCCTTGCTTTCATTGACTGTACATAAACTGCTCTTTGAGCTTTTTCAGCTGAAGAGTCAGGTAAAGATTAAATAAAGAGATAAAAGAATACCAGTCCAGATTATGTGTCCATACAGCCCACGTTGTCTCTCCTGGCTAGCGATTGCTCTCCAGGTTCTCAGGCAGAGAGGTCTTCAACATCCCCTGATATCTGCCAGGGAGTTAACCTGGGGCATTCTGCATGCAAACTATGTCCTCTATCCCTGAATTATGGCCCCGCCCTAAGTAAAGAGGTAGCAAAATTTTCTAGGCACCGGCTAGAAGCAAACAGCCTTGTGAGCTTTGAGGCAACCCAGTCACCAGACCCAGCTACTGCGCACCTGGATTTTTTGTACCCCCCATGTATAAAAGCTCAGGGCCACAGTAACTATGTGGACAGAAGCATGTGGTGTGTCCCCACACAGGTTTGGTTTTTACCCCAAATCTAGCTGGATTAGTGGAAGGGAGTTTAACCTACAGGCCATTTTCCTGATCCAAGTGCGACCTGTGCTGCTTTTCTTGCTGTGGAAAACAGAAATCCAGTATATACACAATGCAAAACAGCTGGTGAAATGAGGGGCTGATTTTGATCAGGAAAACTGTCTGAGAGAAAAGGTTAAGCACCTTTCTGCACCACCGCTGCTCTGATCAGATGCAGAACCACCTGCAACCCCATTAAAATTAGAACAAAAAAAATGCCAAGCCTGGTTTGGCCCTGAGAAATAAAAGCTAGCATGATACTAGTTACTAGATGTTGACTGAGGCAAGGCTTGACCAAGGGGAACATTCTCGCTTGCTGTTCACACACAGCGAGGCTGTAATCCCAATGCAGCTACAACAGCTGCTGAGGGTGGAAAGGCTGTGGCCGAGTAACATAGCTCAAGGCAAGTGAGCCAAGCCTGGGCTTCAGCCAGAACGCGCTGAACTACAATTCCCATCCTACTGGCCATGCTGAGTGGGGCTGATGGGAGTTGTAGTTCCACAACATCTGGAGGGCCACAGGTTTCCCCATCCTTGGGAAGGAGACATATAGCAGACACCTCACTGCCTCCAGGGGTGAGTTTCCCCCCGGTCTTTCCAGCCCTCAGAGGTGGTGTGGTGGGGAAGGAGTTTGCCTCTGTGAAGGGCACCACCCACCTACAGACGCACGGACCTACCTGGGGTGCCGTGTGATCCGAGTGGGGAGGCAGGCGGTTTTGGCTGTGGGGGGCTCCCTGAGATCTGTTCAGAAGACGCCGAGGCCAGCTGGCCAAAGAGGCTGAGGAGCTGGCTGTTGAAGTCCTGGAAGGAGGGCAAAGGGCTGGGGCTGTCGCCAGCGGGGGTCAGGGGCACCGGCGGGAGGCCTGGGGCGGCCAGTGAGCTCACGGGGGGAGCGAGCAGGCTGAGCAGGGACGAGAGCGGCTGAGCCGGAGCCCCGGAGCTGGGGGGTCCATTCTTGGCCTCCCCTGCAGGCAGCTGGTCCCGAGGCCGGGGGTGTCGGGTCGGCGTCTCCTCCGGATGGGCGAGCCCCCCCGCCTGCCCCACCGAGTGGGAGTCCTTGAGCAGGCGCAGGACGGTGGGAGAGCGGCGCTGCCGCCTGGGCGCTCGCCCGCCCACCATGGACAGTAGCAAGCGGCTGGGTAAAGTGCTGGCAGCCAGCTCGTCGGGACGCCCCCTGCTGGCCAGCTGGGCCTTGGCGGCTGCACTCAACAAGCTGCTGGCTGGGAAGGAGCCTGGGCCCGGAGGGTGGAGCAGCAGCAGGCTGGGCGGTCCTTTGCCTTCCGGGGCAACTCCTAAGGGCACTGAGGGCAGGTTATTGCTGCTTTGGTTGGTTAAGGCATTGGCTGGGGCCGCTGCGTCCAAGCCGGGGGGCCTGGCAGCTGGGCGGTGTCCAGAGAGGCCCTGCTCCGAGGAAGCCGAGGAGTGCCGAGAGCGCTGCGGGGACGGCTCGGTGCTGCCTGCCGGCGATGAAATGGAGGAGAGGGTGGTGGGGGCGGGTGAGCCTGTGGTGCTGGTCTGAGACCCCAGAGGCACCGGCCGGCTGCTCCAGGGGCCGCCCTCCTGGCTGGACGCCGCCTCATCTGGCGGGGGGAAGAGGAGGCAGCTGGAAGGGGGGTAGGGCCGGGACAGCGTGTCTGGGAGGGCCTTGCTGGGCAGGAAAGGCCCCCCCACAGCACTCAGTTCAGTTGGGAAGGACGGCCGGGTGTTGCCATTGGTGGTGGCAGGCAGGCGGCCTGGGAAGACATCCCCAAAGAGAGTGTTGTGGTGGCGGGGGAAAGTGGAGCTGGGGCTGGACCAGGTGTTGCCATAGCGATCCGAGGGGCACTGCTGGTAGAGTTCAGGGCCCTTCGCCAGGGTGGTGGAGGTTTTGCTGGGAAGCATCTGCTGTGGGCGACTGCTGGGCCCTGGTGTGGTTGGGTGAGGCAGCTGGGTCAAGCTGGGCCCTGGAAACAGATAAAAAAGCAACAGATGCAAAAGGAAATCACTGCAAAAGCAAACTGCACGGGCCTAAGCAAAGTTAATATTTCAGGGGTTTTTAAAATATATACTTTCTAAACCACTATCTTTGCATTAACTAATGATGATGGCAATGCAAGTGATGACTCTGGTGGTACTGGATGATGTGGAGCAGATACAGAAGACAAAAGTCACCAGATGCAAAAAAAAAATATTAATGTTTAAGATAAAGCTGATGTCAAATACATGAGACGTTCCTAATTCTTCCTTGGGGACGTTGTTCAGCAGTTATATTGGCATTGCCCAAATCTGTGCTGTCTGAAGCACAATTTTTCTCACTGTTGAGGTACATGTGACTTCATATTACTTGTAGTGTGAAAGGATAAAAGTTATATCCCACTTTAGGAGTATCCACAGTGTTACTTGTTTTTCTTTACATGTTTCTTTTACTTTAAAGGTAAAGGTAAGGGGACCCCTGACCGTTAGGTCCAGTCGCGGATGACTCTGGGTGCTCATCCTGTTTTCCAGGCTGAGGGAGCTGGCGTTTGTCCACAGACAGCTTCTGGGTCATGTGGCCAGCATGACTAAGCCGCTTCTGGTGAACGAGAGCAGCGCACGGAAACGCCGTTTACCTTCCCGCTGGACTACTTGCACTTTGACGTGCTTTCGAACTGCTAGGTGGGCAGGAGCAGGGACCAAGCAACGGGAGCTCACCCCGTCGCGGGGATTCGAACCGCCGACCTTCTGATCGGTAAGCCCTAGGCTCAGTGGTTTAGACCACAGCGCCACCCATGTCCCTTCTTTTACTTTACATAATCTCAATTATCGAACAACAATAAACATAACATACAAATAATTAGAGGGCCATTCCCCTTGTGTCTCTGTAGGGTCGTTCACACATTACACTGAATATTTGTACAGGGTGTTTGGACACATGTGCAAGTGCTTGTGTGAAAAGAGTGCACACTTGCTGATTTGTACAGCTCAACTGCTGTGAACACAGGTATACAAACTGCACACTCACAGAATATTACACGCGAATAACTTTATGAGCGTACAGATTAAATATTTGTGTACACAGGTTGAATTTGATGTGTGAGCACCCATTTAAGCAGGTCTCCTAAATGGAAAAAGTAAAGGTAAAGGGACCCCTGACCATTAGGTCCAGTCGTGGCTGACTCTGGGGTTACGGCACTCATCTCGCTTTATTGGCCAAGGGAGCCGGTGTACAGCTTCCGGGTCATGTGGCCAGCATGACTAAGCCGCTTCTGGCGAACCAGAGCAGCACACGGAAACGCCATTTACCTTCCCGCCGGAGCGGTACCTATTTATCTACTTGCACTTTGACGTGCTAGGTTGAACTGCTAGGTTGGCAGGAATGGAATGCAAATGGAAAAAGCCCAGAGCAAATGACTCACACAGGGGTTGAATAGGCTGGCTGGCTAAGCCAATTCCCAGTCCCTAGCACTGGCCAGGTTTACAGTGCTACCAAAAAGAACAGTGAAGGAATATGGCCCCGTGTGGGAGAACACAGTTACCTGGCCCCAGGTGTGGCAGGCTCAGGGGTCCATGGCTCTCCATGCTGCGGTACAGCGTGGCCATAGCCACAATTTTCCGCCGGTGGTTGCACAGCTTGGTCATGTCCTCGTCGCCCTTGCTTCCTTCACTCCCTGTCACCATTGCTGCTGGGTCGAAGTTGAAAACCTAACCATGACGGGGTGGGAAGAAAATACTTAAAAACAGGAGGGCACCTGACCAGTCCAGGGGAACGAGGTGATAAAAAGAGACTGCAGTGGGAGTCAGGCCATTTCTTGTGGTCCAAGTTAGAGTCAATGTGGTGCAGTGGTTAGAGTACTGGACTAAAACCTGGGAGACCAGGGTTCAAATCCCCTCAGCCAGGAAGCTCACTGAGTGACCCTGGGCCAGTCACTGCCTCTCTGCCTGACCTACCTCACAGGGTTGTTGCCAGTGCCATTTTTCTAGAAAAAGAGGTGCCAGAACTCACCATAAACGCCTCCCTCGTTCTTTTAGAATGGCAATAGTGCCCACCTGTGAGGTGCTGGAACCCACCTTAAGAGGCCCAGCATGGCCTAGTTGTCAGGAATGATGGGGATTGTGGTCATTCGGTGCCTGGACAGCCAAAGGTGCCCCAACCCTGTTTTAAACCCACCCTTCCTCCACGGAACTCACAGAGGGGCATATATGGTTCTGCCCTCGGCACTACAACCTGGGGGTGGGGAGTTAGGCTGACATTTTGAATGACCCGAGGATACCCAGTGAGCTTTGTGGTTGAGCAGGGATCTGAATCCTGCTTTCTCCAGTCCAACGCAGCACACTAATGATGACTGTTACCTTAATGACCCCATAATGCAAACTTGCGCTGATTCTTTCACCAATTCTTCTCCACATACAGTCATCCTTAAAGCAAGAAACTAGAATGGAGGGTCATCCCAATGGCTGGAAAGCAGCTGGACCTTCAGAGAAAAACAGACGCCCACAAAGCTCCAACCTAAATTCTGCACCAGCGGAGACTGAATCCTGAAACCTGAATAAACTGTGCAAATCAAATCAATCTGCATACAGTTTGCACAATTAATTCTGTCTGTTAGCCCTGGGACAGGGGGACAAGCAAAGAGCCACGGAGAACACTTAAGCAATGGCCCTCCTCACAACCCTCTGACCTCTTAGTCATCTCCCCTCCGCCTTCTTTCTCCAAACACCGTTCACATGTTTTCAAACGTGTCTTTGCATCAAAAAGGACTAGTACCTTGTTCTTTAAAAAAACGAAAGCTGAGATTCTTAGGGTGCCAAAGGCAGTCTGATTTCTACATGTGTGTGGTGTGGTTGCTCACAAACAGCTCTGGTTACAACTGTCCCCTATGCAGCAGGTGGCTCTGTCCAGCCACAAAGGAGAAGAAACAATGGACTATCGGGTGGTCTAGCTCAGTATTACTACGCTGGCTGTGGTTCTCCAGGGTGTTGAACAGAAGTCTCTCGGTTCAGCCCTGAGGATGCCAGGGACTGAACTTGGGGCCTTCTGCCTGAAAGGCAGGTGCTCTACCTGCTGAGCTACGGCCCTTTCCCTTCCTGCAAAGGCAACTTCCCTTGAAATGAACAGCAGCAGCATGTGTGCCAGGTGTGTCCTAGCATGCTCTGGTCACACAGAGTGAATGTCAGCAAAAGGCCTGACTTGGGACTCTGTGTGAAGCACCCTGGAGCATCCCTATTTCCCCCCAGAATCTTCTGCAACATGCAGAGGTTCTTTGGCAAATGACAGCCGACTCGGAACAGGTTTCCCTGAGGTGGAGAGCTGGAAAGCCCCTGCACTGTGAAGAGCTAGGAATGTGCTGTTGGCAGAAGGGAGCCCTGGATGCACTGCCAGCTTCTGCTGCTGCTGAATGACAAGATCTGACCCCAACCAAGCCACACACACACTTTCTGTTCCTTTCCAAAATAGCTACTGGTGCTTAGTGTGGTGAGCATGTCCCCGCTCACGGATCTAGCATGCTGCTCTTCAAATTAAAGGGCAGAATTTGGCAGAACTGTAGAGGGTCAGACCTTTTTCTAGCCTGAGGATCACAGAGCTGGAATGCCCAATCCAAACAGGGCAGCATCCACCTCTACAGCAGAAAACTCTCTCTTGTATGTACTCTCTGCAAGCTGTATCCTGCAGCCTTGAGATATTGTGCAGATTAAGCCAATTTGCCTTTTTTCTCGTTTTGCCTCATTTAGTCTTCCCATAGGGAGCAGCAAGGAATCGTAGGATGCCGGAGCCCCGTCCTTAGACCAGTAGAAATCTTATCCCACAGCCCCCCTTCTCCCGGTTTCTGTGACTCAACCAGGCTTTGCTCTCATACGTTTAAATGTGCCTTTGCAACACCAAAGGCTAGAAACTTCCTTTAAAAAGGCGGGAAATCTTTAGGAAAGTGAATGCCACATCCAGCAGTTCTTTCCAGCACTTGTGCAAAATTGCAGCATCCACACAACACTCCCCATATTTAATTTCCTGTAATCTACCTCCACTGTCAGAGGCAGGATGCTGGGAATAGCAAGTGGGAAGAGGGCTGTTGCACTCAGGTCCTGCTAGTGAGCTTCTCACAGGCTTATGGTTGGCCACTGTGAGGATCTTGCACTAGATGAGCTGGTTTTCTGTATCCAGTTTCCGGGGCTAAATTACAAAGCTGTGGAATGAGCTGCCACAAAGAGGTGCCTCCCCAGCCCACGTCTCTGGCCCGAATGGGCACTCTGCAGAAAGCAAGAACAGTAATGGTGGTAGTGCTGGGCTGGTGGCCCTTTGCAAGTCTAGGGTTCCCAGCAAATGACCAACTCTCCCGTTTTCTGGAAAAAGGCCTGGCCACTAGTGGAAGGACGACCATGGCTCAGTGGTGCAACAGGTGCTTTGCATGCAAAAGGTCCGAGGTTCAAGCCTTGTCATCTCCAGGTCAAGTTGGCAATGTTCCCTTCTCAGAAAGCTCTGGAGAGCCCCTGCCAATCGGTGCAGAGGACACTGAGCTAGATTGGGTCCATGGGCTGACTCGGTGTAACACGGGCTTCCTCAACCTCGGCCCTCCAGGTGCTTTTGGCCTACAACTCCCATGATCCCTAGCTAGCAGGACCAGTGGTCAGGGATGATGGGAATTGCAGTCTCAAAACATCTGGAGGGCCGAGGTTGAGGAAGCCTGGTGTAACACATCCTCCAAAATTCCTACCGTCAACCTTTGTTCTCCTTTTGTTATTCTCACTACTTGGGCAAAGGTTGAAAACCTCCAGGCCAGAGTCTACTGCTGGTGGCAAGCACAGTTTTGGTTCTCTCTCCCAAGTTCTGTACCTTATGCATGTTGAGGGGACACTCCAGGCCACACTTGCACGTGCCGTCCGCCAGCAGGTATGCACGAGTCTGCTCCAACGAAGCCAGGCTGGTGCCGCTGGGACTATGGGAGGAGGGTAGAAGAAAGAAAGAAAGAAAGAAAGAAAGAAAGAAAGAAAGAAAGAAAGAAGTGTCAGGGGACTAGTACACCAGGGGGACAAACAAGAAGCTCACCATCGGCATCCATCTGTCTCCAGAGACAATGGAGTGCACCTCCGAGGGTGAAGTCAAAGTGTTGCGTTAGCAGCACCAAAGGGTGCAAGTCTGGACGCTGTGTATGGGGCTCCTGGGCTGCCCAGACAACAAGACCCCCCCTCTTGGCCTCACTGATGTGGTCCAAAGGAAAGCAGAACAATACATTTGACACCAGCTTGGCTGCAGGAGTTGCAGGAAAGAGGCGTACAAAGTGCTATCCAACTGTCTTAGGGACTCCACTCTGGATTTCTGTAGGGTTTACTCCTTAGCCTCTTCTTCTTCTGAAGATATCCCACAAGGCCATGCAGGTTTAGGATCAGAGCTTCCCTTCTCCTAGATGGGCTGCCTTCCCAGGTGGATGAGCCCCATCTGCCCCATCACCAGATATAATGCCAGGCTTACCTGATATAGCGCACTCCACCCTCTTCCACCATGCGCTGCCAGCCCACGGGCACAGGTGTGACTGCCAGGCGCCCACCTCGATCCACAACAGAGCAATCATCGCCGCCATTCATTGTGCTCCCTCAGCACTTGGGCACCTGAAAAAACCCAGAGGGTCACCAAGATGACAGGCACAACCCCCTTGCCTGGAGAGGGGTGGGGAAGGAAGGAGGGAGGGAGGGAGGGAGGGAGGGAGGGCATGTAAGCCAGTTGCAAACTTCTCAGGCCAACCCTAAGCTGGGAAGGGTGCAGCCTAGTTGCACAGGCCACAAATGGCAAGACCTGATAGAATGGAGCTTACTTTGATCTAGAGACTTTAGCTGTCAGCCACCCTAGAAAATGTGGCATAGGTTTTGTGTAATCACCTCCAAGCACCCCGACATACACACACACACACCTCTACTTCCCTGGTGGACATTTTGGAAAAACAAAAACAGACACTGATTCTTTGGTAGCTTGAAAAGCTCTAGAAAAGAACCAAGTTACGCCATCAGCAGAATCACACAGCAGAGTGCTTGCAGGGCTGTACCACTACAGTTTGCATGTGGAGGAATCACTGTACAGAGGGTTTGGAGAGCATTTTTTGCTTCATTTTTAAGCATAGGGGAGCATTAAGAAACCCTCGACTTCCCCTACTACCACTTGCCATCTGAAGTGATACAGTCCCACAGGGACTCTGCTACATGATTCTTTTCAACACAGAGATCAGCCTTTAGAATGAGGAAAGGAGGTGATAGCAGGGTGTCTGAGGTGAATCGGGGAGTCAGGCGCTGCATTCCCCAAGCCCCCACTGTCTGTCTGTTTCCTCTGCCCCCTCCCAACACTCCCTGGGCAGCTCTGACCTACTAAACTCCACCAGGAGGGAGCCGTGAAACGGCAAACAGCTGGCTGATCCTTTAATCCCAGATCTGCTCTGCCGATGGCTCCTACCTGCTCATGGCTGCAAACCTCACGGCAGGCGGCGTTAAGAGTGGGCACGATCCCTTCAGGCACTCATAGCCCAGCAGTCTCTCTTCTGGGGTCCGGGTGGCGTCCAGTGCAGCGAGCTCACACCCACTCTGCGGCCACGCTAGCCTACACCTGGAATGGAAGGAAGACATTGTTATGCCATCACTAAGGGGGAGAGAGAGAGAGGAGATTCCCCACAGCCTTCCCCACGACAGGGACCGTGTGGGCCAAAGGTATTTGCTAAAGACAAAGACAATGCTCAAGACCTGCCTATTTCACCAGGGCCTTTGTCAGGTCAGCAAAACCCCCTCATTAAGCTCAGAGATGAGGCACACTTAATTATTTTGTGCTGCAGAGGGTAGTCAAGCAAAGACTTCACCTGTAAAACATCGCACCCGATCACATCCTGGTCAACTCATTGCTAATCATCCTGGAGTTAAGACAACAGCAGCCCACCCACCCCTGGTTTTGAAATCCCAGTTGCTACGGTGGATTAGGATTTCAGCTTCACCTACCTTGTAAAGAATGGGAGGATGCGGACACCCTCTTCCCACTCTGACTGCAAGTACAAGAGACTGGTTGAAAGGGTATAAAGGGAAGCGAAGCCATGTAAAACCCTGGAGAACCCATGTGGAGATCCATCTTTGTCCACCTGACATCCATCCCTCCCCCCCAGGCAAAAGCCTTGGTCTACACATTCAGCAGAATGAGATCATAACGTCCCCCAATATAAACATGTCTTTGCAAGTTAAAAGTTGGCACATTTAGCCCAGCTGCCGTGCTAGCTTTCTGCTTGCGGGGAGCTGTTTATGGAGGGGAGCACTCATAAATGTCACCTGCCACCTCAGAGCTTCGCCCACCTTATTCTACAGCACCAGGTCAACATTTCCAGAGAGGGGGTAACTAAAAGGCAGGAGTCGTGCCTACTGATCTGGAAGACTACCTTTACTACATTGGTGAGCCATATTCCTTCATGAGCAACCTTCCAGGGGCTGCTTGTCAGTGGCAGGTGGGGGCAGAGGCAAAAAGTGAGTGGAGCCAGAAGCAAATATGGGCAGAGCAATCAACGCAATTCTTACTTTTGTGCAGCAAACTACATTCCAGACAAACCCCAAAGTTTTCTATGCACCAGGGATAGGGATGCTGTGGCTCTCCAGATGTTGCTGGACTTCAACTCCCATCAGCCCCACCCAACATGGCCAATGGTCATGGATACATACAATGGTTGGGGTACAGCATCATCTTGAGGGCGCCAGGTTCCCCATCCCTGCTGTAGCACATCCACATAGAGGCATCTCTCCATCTTCCATCCAGGAAAGCATTCCATCCGCAGCTAAGACACCTTCCAGCCTGGCGAAAGTACTCAAGGAGGGCATGGAGCCACACTGGTGAGGGGCATGGCTTGGGAGAGTCCTGGGGACCAGGAGTGTCTTATTTGGTCTCCAGGCAGGAGGTTCCCCATGCTCAGTCAAATTATGCACAAAGTTAAGCTATAGACTTAGTCCCACCTTGTGGGACTGAAAAGGTGTTGTGATGGCCATCAAATTGGAGGGCTTTTGAAAGAGGAGCAAACAAAATCATGGAAGATACTATCACCAGCTATTAGTCATGCTAGCTAGGTTCCTGCTCCACCATCGGAGGCAGATTGCCTCTGAATACCAACAGAGCTGATCCAATGTTTTTATCCTTGCTGTGCTGCAGGATATTCTGCAATGTAGCAGTAAATTACCAGGTGAATAATAATAATAATAATCTATTATTTATACCCCGCCCATCTGGCTGGGCTTCCCCAGCCATCCTGGGCGGCTTCCAACAAAATATTAAAATACAATAGGCCATCAAACATTAAAAGCTTCCCTAAACAGGGCTGCCTTCAGATGTCTTCTAAAAGTCTGGTAGTTGTTTTTCTCTTTGACATCTGGTGGGAGGGAGTTCCACAGGGCGGGTGCCACTACCGAGAAGGCCTTCTGCTTGGTTCCCTGAAACTTGGCTTCTCGCAGCGCGGGAACCGCCAGAAGGCCCTCGCAGCTGGACCTCAGTGTCCGGGCAGAACGATGGGGATGGAGACGCTCCTTCAGGTGAAGCTTTAGCCCATACTGCAGCCTCACACCAAGAAGCTTCAGCTGTTGATCTTCAACTCTCAGTAAAGGAAAAGAGTGGCTACCTGAATCAGTGCTAAAGTCCGCAACGGGTCAAGTTTTTCTGCAGAGATGTGCAGATGTCATACAGCTGGTGTTCAGGTACAAAAGGTCAGAGAGCGTAAGAGGACAGCAGCCTTATAAGTCAGTTCAAAACAGATAGTACCCCACAAAATGCCTGCAGGTTACCAGCCCACAAACTTGTAGTACAGTTTACAGACCATCTTCACCCGCTTTCATAAAGCTTCTCTGACTGGTTCCCTGGAGGCAATTCTTACACACCCCAGACAGTCAGGAAAATTGTTATTTTGAAACTGGGAAATCTAAGCCCATTAAGACAGCTCTAGATTAGAGAGTAGGCTGTACAACAGGTCAAATACCACCTCAGAGCAGTCTTAAAACCCTAATGGCAAATAGAAGTCAACATTAGGGTTGCCAACAGGAAAACCAACAACAGCATTGCCTGTTTTAGTGCCTTTAAAAGCTGCTTGATATGTAGAAATCAGAAGAAAGAGCAGAGCAACCATGGATCAGTTTAAAAGCTGACAACCATAGTCACCTCGAACAGCTCCATCTGAACATGTCAAACTCAGAAATCCAGGAAAAACATATCAGAAAGGGTTAATAATAGAGGCAGTAGCATGCCAACAACTGGCTCCATCTCCTGCCACTCATTGGTAGAGCCAGATGTGGGTGGGGTTAAGCCACTATAAAAATTAAGCCTCCTGCCTCAAGCCAACTAGTTATGGGAAGGCTAGTGGAGGGGAGAAGGCAGAATGCTAGCTTGCCCAACTGAGGAATCATCCTAGAAGGTTGAGACAGTAGGAGAGGTGAAACATTTCTCCCTTTCAGAGAGTTGTATGGTATTTACCTTGCAACTTCTGAGAAAGCAGGGAGTGATTTTTTATCTCAAAAACACCAAAGAGGGAAAGAGGGAAAACTGGAATGATAGCAAAACACCCTCCTTCTTTAATTAAGCAGGATTTGTCTTTCGAGACGGACAGATGCCAACATTATTTGTAGCTGCTGTTGAGACTAGGTACAGCATAGAGGGAAAGCTGCATTCTGCACCCAGGAAAGCTCGCTGTGGGAGGAACTGTTGGGAAGAAACAGCCAGATCCTCAAATGACAGGGCACTGGAAAATGCTTAGACTCTCTTGGTTCTGCTCCTTGGGGATCCAGAGGTGGAATGTATAAAAATCATGTAAGGGCCCCATTGCAGAAGCCTATTCTGACCTGTGGCGAGAGAATGGGAAAGTGAATATTATGCTACTGGCACAGGGTAACCCTGGCTGTTTGATATGTTTCATTGTCTAGCTATGTGATCTGGCTCTTCTAAAATGGCATGTATTTTCAGTTCAATGGCATGTGGAGAAAAGGGTAGGCCTCTCATGTATTGTATTGCTGGTACTCTGATTATTGAAACACAAGGCCAGGGCTGATTATATTCTGCAAGGTGTTGGACATTCTGTTTTTACCATTTTCAACAAATGCACATCTAGAATTTGCCCAAAACCACGACACAGACCAGAAACAGAGGAGACTCAAACACAGCTCTTTTGTGGCATACACTTCAAACCTATTTTGAAAAGCCCTGAGATACCTTGAGGAATGAAGAAGCATAAACTAGAGGCAATAAGCCTTTGCTATTAATTGCCACTGCCTGGATTCATGCAAGCCAGTCCCCTTCTGCAGGAACCAACTGCTATCCAAATGTCCCATTTGGACATTTTACGTGCCTTGGCTACCCAGAAGTTTCCCAGTTAGATGAAGAACAAGCAGGACAACAACATGACAGAACTTGTAAAAATATTGGCAGCAGTCCATCTTGAACTGGTGAGCAGCCAAGGGCAGTTGTGTGATTTGGAGAAAGAGACCCTAGGCTTGGAGGGGTCCCACGTCCTACTCTGCCTCGGATTTGCCACAGTGACCACAAGAAAACATATTCACCTCTTATTTCAGTCTGAATTATTCAGGAAGCTGCAGTCTCCTGAGCAGTCCCCTTTTTGTGCACTTAATACGTCTGAAATCCCACTTCTACTCAGCTCAGAGACCGTGTGCGTGTATGAGTAGGGGCAGATTTGGATTGGAGAAGCTCTTTCCTTACCACCACACCCCCATTCAACAAGACCTGAAATTTATCAACACAAGAATGGGAAATGTGCAGATACCCAGTTCCTGTCGCTGTGTGAGCCCTTTTGTAGGAAATTATAGTTGTGGTTGGTCATCCTTCCTATCCAAAAGAACTTGCCACCTGCTGTTGGGTGTCTGAAAAGTGGGGAGGGGGGAATCAAAACTAGGGGCGGTGCTTCTAAGAGTGTTGGCCCTACTCTTGCCTCCACCACAGCAGCAGCAGCAGCAGCAGCAGCTGAATTGGGCAGAGTGAGGCCTGGACACCGCCTCCACCTCAAGGGAGGCAGAGGGCAGCCAACCCCTTTCCGACCTTAGCAGTTCGTGCGTGCATCCGGATTTTGGGTGGGTGGGAAGGTGCCTGCTGGAATCGCCGCCAGATTTCATTCCGGGCTTCTCCCCCTTGGCTGCAGGGAAAGCTGCCCTCCGAGAGGCGGCCGCCCAGTCGCCTTTTCTCTGCCCCCACCTCCCCGCTCTGAAGGCGAAGCTCCCATAACTCCGGCAGAAGTTTGAACTGTCAAGAGGAGCTGGCGGGGTGGGCGAGGGTGGGCCAGGGGCTCGGCTCCGGGCGCTGGCGGTCCCCGTGCCCGTGCCCAGTGCGCCACCCGGCGCGGCTGCTGCCGAGAGTGCCCGGGGCCCCCTTGGCACTTACCTCGGTTCATGATGCCCCTTCCCCAGCTGCTGCGCCGCCGCCGCCGCAGGCTCCAACTTGTCCCCGCCCTCCGGGGGCTCCGGGTGGCGCCCCCCGCCGCGGCGGGTGCTGGGTGGGTGGGGGGTCAGGCTGCAGGGGACCGCGGGTGCTCTCCGCCCCCACCCACCCCCAGCGCCTGTCTCGCTCGCGCCCTCCCCCCGGACTCGGTGCCAGGAAGAGGAGGGGGTTGAGCAAGGAGCTTCCTCCCTGGCATGCGCACTGGGGGCCGGGGTGGGGGTGGGGAGCAGCCCTGGGAATTCCGCTCCCGTCTTCCTCCGCGGCGCGCTCAGGGCGCACGAGCGGCGCTTGGCGCACGGGGCTCCGGGTAAAACGCGGCCCGGGGCTCGGGGGCTGAGTCGAAGTCCCGGCGCGGAAGCAGGAGCGGCGCTGCAGGCTCCCTGGGGCGTGCTGTCTTAATACCGCGCCGTCCCTCTCTTCTCCTAAGGAGCGCTGGAAGTCAAGCTGCCCTCCGTGGCGCCCCGGCTGAGCCGCAGAGTGGCTGCAGAGTAGAAACCTCGGGGTCGCGTATTTCCTCGTCTCCCCGCCCCGGCATTGTACCGAGAAAGGGGCACGCTGTTCGAGTAGGACTAGTGGTGCAGCAATTAAAAAACTGTTAAGCAGAGTCCGGTATGGTTTCTAACTGGATAGGGGACCGTGTGTTGAGATGCCTGCATTGCAGGGGGTTGGACTAGATGACCCTCTGGATCCCTTCCAAGTATGCAAACTTTGATTCAATTACTGTTTCACACCCACACCCCTATTCTCTGTGTCACACGCACACTCGGATAAGGAGAAGTCAACAAAGTGTTGACAAAGTGTTGACTTCGTACAGAGTTGTGCAGACCATTACAATGAGACTGTGTGCTTTCAAGTTACACCTACGATCTATACTGTCAAGACACAGCAGGTCAAGGGATTGCCCGTGAGAGACCAGAGAACCAAGTTTGTCCATATCACAATGCAAGAAGTGGCAGCAACTTTGAAGGGAGGATTTAATGCCTAAGTCTTGGGATATTAAGTGTACTCGCTTGAACTATGCAACTATGTGGTGGGGGGAGAGAATGTTGCCTCCATACCCAGACTGTCTGCTCACTTGAACACTGTTGCCAACAGAAAGCTGAACTCACAGTTCATGTTAAACATTGGAATTGCCTTGCTGGGTCAAAGCAAAGGTCCATCGGTTTCTGTGATACTCACAAACAGGTCCCAGCTCTCAGCTGCTTGGCCCCAACATCAGCATTTGGAGGTGCCCTGCCTCTCAATGTGGCAAGCTCCATTTAGCTGTTGACTGGTAGCAGTTCATAGACCTGTTTTTGACTACAGATCCCTTCATCCTGACCTATGGTTTGAGTTGTAATAAAAAATAATAATCCAGAAGGCACCAGATTGGGGAAGGTTGTGCTAAACCAGGGGTGAGGAAATTGTGACCCCCCGATGTTGTTGAACTCCAGCCAATGAGGCTAATGGCCAGGGGTGATGGGGTGATGTGAGCTGGAGTCCAAAAACCTATGGAGGGCCATAGGTTCCCTGTCCCTGTAAACTAATGGTCCTTGCCACTCCTTGTGTCAGTGATCCTTGTGTGTGATAGTGCTTATGACTATAAACATGGTATGGTTAGCTTAGAAAAGTAACGAAGAAGCTGGCAGTCTAAGACCCGGTTTACATGGGCAGGGGTGATGAAAGGCTGGTACAGGTTGGTACACACATGACCCTGTTGGGTATTAAATATTAAAGTACTGAAGAGGAAATCTAAGTGTTACACATGCAGCTCATGAAAGACATAGCAGAACATTAGTCAGGGATTGAAAGGGTGCAGGAAGTGGACACTGGGGTTTGGGACACTTGCAGGGCACAAAATTTATGGGATAAGCAGGGAGTTGTATGAGAACAGCTGGCATAGTAAATGGAGAGAAATCTGCAGTTATGGTTGAGGGGGCCCCTGCTGGCAACATCTGAGTCATGTTTGGTGGTATAGCAGGAAATCACTTTAATGAGACCCAATAAATCACCTATGTCCAGTCCTCATCCTGCCACAAACTCCCAGTGTGATCCTAATCAGAATAAGTCTCATGTTGGAGTTGGAGGAATCTACTTTGCATGAAGGACTCCCATGCAACTCCCACGTTCAAAAGGCTTATTTGAGTCAAATCTATGGATGGTTCACTACAGCAGACACAGCTAGTCTGAGTGACCCAGAGATCTGCCATAATGAAGTCACAAATTGGTGCATCTCATTTCAATGGACCTGCTCCCAATGGAATCCAAGCAGAACAATGGAGCTGGAAAAGGTGGGGGCAATTACTAGTAGACTATAGTAGACTAAAGGATGCTTTGTTATTAAACCATTAGCCAGGGGAAAAACTAGGCTTTATTTCCCCCAGGTCAAAAGCCCAGTTTGGCACACATACCTCCAGTATTTGAATCTGGATTTGAATTTGACTCTTTGGTTTAAATCTGTGTAGGTTTTAAATGACACAGAGCAGGGGTTGTCAAATTATGTTTAGCAGCTTATGTGGAGTCCTCAGTGAGATCGGTAATGGAAGGCGAGGCTACTTCCAAGTCAGTTTTGCCTGCCCGTTTACCCACAACCAATCGTCCTCTGCAAAGTTGCATTGGGCATGTTTGACCGTGTACTCTTAGTTTGCATGGGCCTAGCTCACCAAGCCTGGCTAGCACATACTGCACACGGAGTATGCAGACTAGAGTGGCCCCAGAATCTTCCACAACATGCAGGAGTTTCAGGGAAGACAGAGAGGTGTTCCGTGGCAGACAAGTAGATGAACAAAGGATTCACTGAAGACAGAACATTTGACAACAGCAGTAACTGGTCATGAAAGCTCAGGAACTGCATGAAATACAACTGGGAGATCAACAATATCAACAGTGCATGTCTACTGAAGGTGACCTTCAAAAGCAATTCTAACTCCTCTTATTTAAATGTTCAGGCCTGTTTAACAAATCAAGTAGCACTCCCATTTTGGTGTTTTGCTTGAAAATCACATTCATTTTGATGAAACCCTTATAAAAGATTTAGGACTGGCATCTGGTATATTGTTTTAGCCAATTTTTAAGTAAAATAGTAAGCATGGATACTGAAAGCAATGGGACGTAAAATAAAATATTGTATGACCTAAAACAGCAAGTCTGACAGCTACTTATGTTAAGTAGCCTTAACTGTCACACCAGGACCAATTATGGAGGAACTCTTTATCCTGAACCCATTTTTTTTTGGGGGGGGGAGAAGTGAGGCAGTTGATAATGTTCCTGTTTTATGTTTCTCTTTCCAGACCATCACCACCTCTGTAACCAGGGTGGGATACTCTTAATGTGGTGTGCACAGGCTCATAAGAAGTCTGACAATTTATCATTTGAAATCTTAAACACATTACATGGAAGCAAATCAAACTGTTAGAACTGGGCTGCACTTGGCTACCTCCTCTCTTTACCTCTTATCCTGGAGGCATGTTTAGACATTTATTTTTTAGGAATGCAACACTGCATTATTTAACTATTTAATTTGTAAAATAACACACTTATGAACAATTAAAAGTTAGTCCACTGGCAAAAACGTTCTTTTTCAACCAAGCCTTGGGCTGTTTTAACAGGTCTATATCCTTTTAAATGTGTGTAGGGGTATTGGTTTGTTCTTATTATGCACTTTGTGGTTTTATTCTGTATTTTTATACCATGAACCGCCCTGAGATCTTTACATGTAATTTCTTTTGGTTAATTCTTATTTTTAACAGAACTACAAGTACACGAGCGGAATTCAGCTCCTTAAAAGGTCTTCCTCCTCCTTTCTCACACAGGAGGAAGGTGCCCATTGAGATGGCCGCCTGCTGTGACCACCTTAAAAACAAAGAAATGTGGTTGTTTCCCCCATTCCAGAACCGTTGTTTTATTCACATGCACATAGGCATTTATTACATAAAGCTGAGGCGGTGAACAGACTTTAAGGTTTCTCTGGTCGAGCAGCGAATTATTTTGCTAAGCGCTTTGTCGTCGTTGCCGCTGTCCCTCGTCACTCGCTCCGCCTGGAAGGCCGCAGGCGCCGCCTCCGCTCCTTCCCCGGGGAGGCCTGGCCCTTTAACGGAGCGGCGGGCGGGGCGTGACGTCACGAGGCTTTCCCCCCGGCCCTCCCCCCCCCGCCCGGCCTCCTCGACGCAGCTGGGCCTAGTCCCTTCTGAGGGCGCTCTGGCAGTTCGCGGGTGGCCGGGCGGGGTGAGGGAACCAGGCGCGCCCGGTGTGAGAGGCCCAAGGTCGCGGCTCGGGCCTCGGCCTCGGCCGCCGCCGGTTACCAGGACGTTGCATCACCCTCCCCGCATGACTCACCTCCTTCAGACTCGTGACCCTGACGGAGGGAGGGAGGGAGGGGCGGAGTCACTTCCGGGGGCGACGCGGCAGTCTCCCCCCGCCCTTGGGGAGGCGGGGCGCGGCGGAAGGGCGGCGGCGGTTGGGCGGGCGCGCTCCGCCCGAGGCAGGGCCCGGCGCCGCCGATTGGCCGCGGGTGGCGCAAGGGTTGCGTCATGCGGGGGGCGGGGCCGCGCTCGAAGGACCAGCCTGAGCCGAGGACGCGCCTGGCAGTTGGAAGCCGGCAGCCGCGCAGCGAGGAAGAGAATGAGCCGCGAGGGGAGGATGAGCCGAAGCCAGCAGCTGGGGGACCGGATCGCGGGAGAGAAGGGGCCGCGGAGGAAGGTGCGAGGGGCGCCTGGGTCCTCGGGGGGGGGGGGTTCAAAACGGGGAGGGGGATCTCCGGCGCCGATCACTGAAGGAACTTGGTTCCATTCTTTCTCCCTGCTTCGCAAGTAAAGATATGCTTGGTTTTTTGAGGAGGGGTCTCCGCGTTGCTAACGCGCTCCTAGAACTGGGAAGTGAAAGGGGGGAACTAGCCCCCGCCCGGACTTCATTCAGAGTTTGAGCCCCCAGTCGGCGTGGCTTCCCCTGTCCCCTAAACACGCAGGTAGGAGGCACTCTGCTTTTAACGGGGTGCCCCTAAAACCGACTCGCCCATTAAGCCTTTGCTTTCTCCCCAACCCTGCTCTCCACACAGAGAGAGCAAAAAGCTCGATGGATGGGCCTGCTTACTTTAACGGCGAGAATGAAAAAATAAAGATGGAAGAGGCTTTATTCGTAGTTCTTAGGGGTGCTGATGTGTAAAGAAGGGCGCCTCCATTAAAAAACCCGTTAAGCAAAAATCCAAATACAACTGAGGGAATTGCAAGTTTAGCAATGAATTCAGTGAACGTGGGCACAGCTTTTTTATTTTAAAAATTGTGCTGGGAGCCCTGTTTTTTCATTGCCTTTTGCTGGCATTGATATCTTTCAGTGTTACTGTATCTGCTCAGCTAACGGAAGGAAGATTGCTGCTGTACTGGGTGGTGGACAAACCCCCTAAATTTTGCTAGTTCGCTTCACTTCCAACATGGAGAGGGAAACACTTATTGGTCTTGTTTGGTGTGCTAAAATAGCTTGGAATTATGGGCTCTCTGCCCGCTCTTGAGGCTACATCCTTTCAGACAGCTGGACGTACTGTTGGTTTCTGCCAAGAGATGTTGGAGCGCAGCCTTTTTCACTGCAAGCAGTTCTGTGGGTTTAGAAAACAAAATCTGCCTTCTGTGAGAATTTAGGGGTGCCTCAGAGGAGAGGGAAGCAGGATGCCCCAGTTCTCATTTATGCAAGCAGTAGTAGCCCCTGTAAAAGACTGCAAAGCTGCCTGCTGGGGCACACGGATGACTTGAAATGCCTGTTCGCATGGCTCCTTGGGGATCCTTTTCTCCCCCAACAGGCTGCATAACAGTTCCTCGATCCCCAACTCTTCTGGTTTGTTGCATCACTCAGGGCTGATGAAAACCTGTGGTGCATCCCTGGTGCATGCTGCATTCCTGTGGGGTTCATGCCACTGTTGCTGCCTTGCTCTTCAACTCGGGGCAGCGCAGGGTGTCCTTTGATCTGTCTAGTGGACCCTTGCAGAAGAAACAGGGGGTAAAGTCTCTGTACAGAGAGAGATAAGTGGCCTTCTGACAATTTTCTTAAAACAATATTTCAGGCAGCTTAATTTCAGGACTGTTGCATTTTGTCAAAAGGTAGTCTCTATACAAATCATAGGTTTTTAAAAAAATTGAGGCCATATCCTGGATCATCCAAGGTCTTGAGCAGTGCCATACAGTGGGTAGAGTTGGACCTATGTCAAAACCTCTGCTCGTCTCTTAAGTTCATTTGGTGACCTTTGGCCAGTCACTATCTCAGCCTCACCTATTGTGCAAAGAAAGCTCAATGGAAATAATTGTATGCTGTGCCAGGTTTTTGGAAGGGTGGGATACCAGCATAATACATTTCTCTCTCATAGTTCTCCCAGCTGCACAATAGATGCATAGGGAGTGATAAATCTAAAATGATTCAAAATCATTGAGTCTCAATTTTGTGTGTCGAAAAGGGCCTGAGCATAGAACTTCACAGTATCAGCTGTGGCCAATAACACAACCGTTACAAGGGGAAAGTCATGGGTTATCTGCATTTGGCAGTCTCTAATTCTGCCAGGTTCTGTTATTTCAGAGCACCGAGACTTCATAGAACCTTAGGTACACTACTTTATTGAAAGGGATCAATGCAGTGCGTTGCTTTTTGAATTTATGTTGCCTCTGGTGTGGAAGAAGGAAGGAGATCGTTTCCAAGCATGTGAGAGCAATGGGCACTCCCTTCCAAAACTAGAAGCAAAGCACAGTACAGTATCTTAAGAACTGATGGAAACAAACTGAAAGAGGGCTGTGCCACAGCGCCATTCCACCTTGCTGCATAGCTTAAAGTGATAGGTGTTGCCTGGGTATATTTCTCTCTGCTACCTCTGCAGTGGAAATGGAACAAGATGAGATCATTATGCGGTGATATCAGTAGTCAAAATATAAGTCTCTCCTCTTTTTCCCACAGCTTCGAATGAAAAATCGCATCCTAATACACCATCACACTTGAAAACTGGTAAGAATAATTTGTTCTGATTTCTGCAATGAATCAAAAAAGGAAGGCACTTAGACTTCATAGAGTGAGGTGTACGGCACTCCTACAGGCAGTCTGTGTATTTAGACAGCACATGTTGGACTTTGGATGAAGGGGCTGCTGTCCTGTTATGCTTGGATGTAAGGACTGTTGAACTCAAGTAGGGCTGAACCTCCGGAATAAACATTCATTGCATTTGTGTCACAGCCTATGACAGACACAGTATCTGACTGCAGCTGCATTGATGCAAACAGGTACTGTTTAGCCAAGCAGAGAAATGCAGTGGGATGTAATGGGCATTGGGAGAATGGGGTGCATGGAACTAACAATGCAAGTAAGTAACTTGTTCCTATTTAACCATTGCCGGAACATTTAGAGTTGGCTGGCCTTTGTTCATGTGAATGCAGCTCTGGCCATCCCAGGTCTACCATAAATGAAACCATAAAACCCTAGTTTAAGATTTAGGGGGGAACCAGAGCAATGTTTTGTGAGGGGGGTGGCTGAAGGAGAGGAAGTTCTGTGAGCAGGAGTCTGCTCACATGATTTTGGATACAACCCTTGATGGAACTCAAGGTTGAATTTAGCTGTGTCCTGGGAATTATTCTATCTGTGCATTAATTAGGTTCCACTTTGTTTAGTTTCAGTTGCTGTACTTCAGGCCATAGCCCTGGAACCTGTGTCTGGACTGCATCTTAATATAGACAGTATTCCTTAAAAAGTCTTGTTAGGTATTACTTTAAAACAAGGCTTTACCTCCACTGGGACAGATCTGTAAAATAGAACCCTAATCAGCGTTCTCTCGTGATTCTATGATTATATCTCAGAGCAAGGGAGAAATCATTTCTGTTTTCTGCTGTGTTCCAGGACATCTCCTGGAGAAAAGCAGCTGACACAAACATCTTTTTTTAAAAATAAATAAGCAACTGTGTATCATGCTTCTAGAAAAGAATTTGTATGACTTCCATTGCTCAGCAGGTTATCCATGCCTTGCCCTCTAGCAGGCAAGGGGCCCCCTCACCACCAGGTAGCATGGCCAATAGTAAGGTATGATGGGAGTTGTAGTTCAGCAGCAACTGAAGAGCCACGTGCCCCCTTGCCTTCCTCTAGACTAGTCTGTGTTATAATCACCAAGTCAGAGAGTAATGCAACTGAAGAATGGTACTTCTACTGAAGGCATGTTCCAGCCTGCCCCAAGGCCACAAAGAAAGGAAATGCTTAACATCTGAGGCTGCAGGAATGCTTGGCTTGGCACTCACAGACTGTCTTGTGACAGTGACTCAGCTCTTATTTCCAGCATGAGAGATTTCCAGTGTGAAAGGTACTGAGATGTTAACATCTGCGCTGGTCTCCCTGGGCAGGATACCTTATGCCCCTAGGAAAGGTCATGAATATGAGATGTGCACACTGTAGCCAGCCATGCAGAGAAACACCAGTTTCCTAAACTACTTTTAAAAACATCCTTTGGATAAGGAAAGTAACTTCAAAAACCCTGTAAGGCACATGTGGCAGTGGAAGTCTTCATATTTGCTCAGAAGCAAGTCCCACTGTTTAGTGAGTTTTCCTCTTAAGTACATATAGCAGAAAAGGGGAACCTGTGGTTGTTTAGATGTTATTGGGCTCCTATCGGCCACAGCTAGCATAGTGATGTTCAACAACAATGGGAGCTGCATATGGAGGACTACAGGTTCCCCACCATAGGAGGGTAGCCACATCGTAATTGTAGGCTACAAGCTTCATTGGCTTCATGCGCATATCAAGACTGTTGGTTGGCATTTGTCTGTTTTGAGAGACAATGGCAACATTTATTGAATTGGAATGGGTTTGAGTACTTCAGGGAGTTATTTGTCAAGCCAGTAAGTTGTGTTTTAAGATGGCTGAGCTTCCAGTGTCACTCCTGAGCCCATTATATTTTTGGAAAGTGGTTTTTATGGTTATGAGGCATTTAAACACCACCTGAGATATCATCACCAAATTTCTGCATGGTGGTTCCAGAGATAAAGGAGAAAGGTTTTCTGTGTTTGAATACATTTCGACACCATTTTGAATCAAAATGAGACTGAACCTTTCAAAACTGCTCTATTTTTTTGGTTTCTTAGAATCCCCAATCAACACTCAATATGAAATAGCTTCCAAACAGCTAATAGCAACATCATTTCTAAATTGGTGACACCTTTTGTGCTCTTTCAGCTCTATTACTAAAAGGTCTGAACCAAAAGTAGCCATCCTGTAGTTATGGTCCATCACAGCACTCTTGGTGGCCTGTAATCCTTTAATTGTGCTGTGCTTGCATAAGGTTTTTTTCTAAGACCTCTCCCAGTGTGGTTAGGCCACAGAATGGTGCCAAGCCACCCTCCTTGTCAGTGCAGAATAGGAGGCTGTCTTTGCGGTAGAATGAGGCACACCTCTTGCTTCCTGTTCCCATGTGAAAGCTAGTGCTGTTTGAATGGCAGAAGCTGGATGGGGGAGATGCTCTACCCAGTCATTTCTATAGCATAGCCCCTTTTTAATCTAGCATTCATTGTCAAGGACCAGGGAGACCCTGGCTCAAATCCCCCATTCAGCCATGAAGCTTACTTGGGCCAGTCACTCTCAGCCTGACTTAATTCACAGGGATAAAAGGTATCCCTGGATAAAATGGGAGGCGGGGGGAGAACCTCAAGGGAGCTCAAGGGGGCTTACAAGGAATGGTGGGATAAAAAAGCAATGACAAACAGATTTTCAGGGCTCTTTTCTTTTTTTGGTAACAAATGGATGGGGGTCTGCTTGTAATGAAATCCAGGGCTCCTTGTGTTTTCCTATTGACCTAGAACAACTCCGTGGGATCTGGGGGCTCTGCACACCCATCCATCCTCCCTGTGCACTTTTGAATTTGTATTGCTAGCCCAGGTCTCTTGACACCCCCCCCATCCTCCTTTCTTTCAGACCGTGTTGGCTGTACCTGAACCATGATGGCAGAATCACTGCCCTTCTCTGGGAGCACCCCAGTGCCCCCGTGGGAGCTGGAGGCCTGGTATGAGGACTTGCAGGAGGTGCTCTCCTCGGATGTAACCAGCAGGACAGACCCCCCAGTAGGGGGACAGGAGCAGGTGAGAAAGCGGAGGAAAGCAACTTTCCTAGCATCTTGTATGTCTCTTGTGTACAGCATCCCAGAGGTGGCTAGATTTCCTCCTTAAGAGTTTTCTAATTCTTCTTCTACTGGCTCTGTATCACACTTTGCTTCACTTGTCCTCCCAAACCATTAAAAAAACCCCATGAAAAAACAAAATGAGTGTGGTACCTTTAAATTTGGGGAACCTGGCAAGCATCTTTTTTACCGCTTATGCGATGCAGAAATTTGATAATCTTAACATGCTATATAGTTTTCACTATAGCCTATTCATAACGATGGTAGAGAAACATTGGAGCAAATCCTGTCATGCAGAAGAGGTAGATATTTCAGGAATTGATGGGGTGGGGGTGTCCAATACCAACTACTCCACATGACACAGATGGGCTGTCAAGCCTTATCTTTTATGCTGTGTCATTCACCCTTCACATGCTCATTAGTGGGGTTTTTTTTGGGGGGGGTTGCCTATAGACTGGCTTCCCTAGATAATACATACCTCTTTCTGTGCTCTTAGGCATGCACTGTAGTTTCTATTATAGCTTAGAAACTGCTTTCTGTAGACAAAAGTAAAGCAAATAAATGTGCATATTTGGTTGCATGAATACCTAATCCCATTTGTATCTCTCATGCTTTCTTCCAAGGAGCTTAAGGGACTTTCCCCACTTTTTAATCATAACAACCTTGTGAGGCAGCAACAAGTCCAAGGCTGCCCCAGTGAAGATGGATCAGGAACCCTGGTCTTTGTAGGCTAGGGATCACTCTGGCTTTAGGAGGTGAAGGCAAATAGTAGCTCTCACCATCTTTCCATTTTCCTACAGAAGGAGTTTGATGGTGTTGACAGTACTGCTCTGCTGTGGAACCTGGATGCTTCCAGTCCCTTGGAGCCCAGTGGAAGTGAAGCAGTTGGAAACTGTGAGCTGGACCCTGATCTCACAGCTCAACTCCTGGAACTGCTAGCTGAGGAGCCTGCGGGACCTGCTGAGTCAGACTCCAGCCACAGTTCCCCAGTGCAGACTGGGACAGATGATGATGAGGGGGTGTCTACTAGCCGGAAGAGGAAGCATGGTGGACAGCCCCACGGAGGCAAGAGGCAGCGGGGCAGAGAGCGGGAGCAGGAGAATGAGCGCAGAGTGGCCGAGCTGATGGCCCACAATGAGCACCTCCAGAAAGAAATAGAGCGCTTGACTGCAGAGGTGGAAGCAACAAGAGCAGCACTTATCCAGCGTATGGTGAGCCTAAAGACTTAATGGATCTGGAGAACTTCCTTCCTGTACTGATGACTCACTTGCCATGGACCAAACAGAGCAATACTTCACTGCTCCCAGCTTTAGCATCTATGACTTTAAACAACATGCTAAAAAAGAAAGTGTCAAGCACTTTCCTATACAATAGAGTAAACATTACCATCACCTGGTAGGCTGGGGCTGTTCCATAGACTAACTCTGCAACATTACCTTATGGGGGACTCAGATTGCTTATTTCTACTCTGGTTTAGTGAGCCCGCCTTGCTGAACTGAAATATAAAAGGTGATCATGCAACTAGACTGTGCCAGGCTATATATTCCAGAGGAAAGCCATCTTGGATGAAACTGCCTCTGCCAACCAGGCTTGTTCTTAACATAACCACCACCGCTTCACTTGTGAAGAAAAACGCGCGAGAAAAAGCATGTATGTATGAATCCAATAACAGCTTTTGCATTTATAGGTACAGTATGTATTTAACCAATAAAATATTTATTTCTCACCATATAATCAAAACATTTCAAAGGGTTCTGAATTTTTCATAAATGTGATTACAAAATAGGAAAAGGGGCTACAGCAAAATAATTTAATGTTGTGAAAAAGTGAGAAACTCTCCCATTGCTGAAATACAGCGAGCCAAGTATCTGGGCAAGAGATGCTGCCTGCCTGACAATTCACTTTCTCTTTTTCGCTTTTCCCTCAGCCAAGTTGAGCTGCTTCTGTAGTTCTGCTAATTTTGAGACTGCAGCATCAACCTGCTTCTTCTCAGCATTCTGAGCCTTCAGCTGCTGCACGTAGTTATCCTAGAAAGAGAAATGAGCGGTAAAATATTGCACTCTTGCACAAACAGGAAGCAGGGTGAAGCCTGCAAGGCAAGAGTCCTGAAAGACTGCAAGTTACAGTAGTTGGGACCTGCAGCCAACATGCTGCTCTGTAGAATGCATTGTCCTGTCAGCCTTACTGCATCCCTCATCCCAAGTAACGCAGGCTGCCTCCTTAACTTTTCTATAAAGGTGGCTTTTGCCATGCCTCTATGCCATCTCTGCCCTCATGATACAAGTACTCCTGTTTCCAGGCCTAGTGCAAGATGGTGTCTCCCCCCCCCAGTGGTGTGCGTCCCCCCCCCAGTGTAATACTTAAGGAAAACACAAACCAAATTAAACAGCATTGCTTTGCAGAAAGTGATTTTCAGCTAGTGCAACCCATGCTTGATGTATATACTAGTCGTCATTTCTAAGTGGAACTTCACTCTTTCTGGAGGGAACCTTAAGGAAATGTGGCCCTCTAGGACTTTGTGACCCTTACAGCTCTCTCCACCTGTCCCAAGCCACACCTTTCACTGCCTCTATTTTACACGGCTATTAGGCTGTGAATAAAGCCTCAGTAAACACAGACTAAAGCTGTCAGCAAATCTTGCTCCATTTTATCACTTTTCTGTGCCTTGCTGGTTGCATTACTTCATTACTGCATGGGATAGGAAACTATTTTAAAAATAGTTCACAAGCCATTTTTTTTTTAAATGTTTAAAATGCAGCCTCCCCCAACCTTTTGGCTACCCCAAGGAGGGCTGATGGGAACTACAGGGCATCGGGGTAGGGAAGAAGCTGAGTTATTTTGCAAGGCTGCAACTGCTTGGCCACAACTACTTCGCCATTAAAGAGATAATCATGTAGTTCTAGCTGTGCAGTTGGGCTGATCGGTTCATTAAAAACAAAAACATTAAAAACTAACAACAGTAGAGTGTGCAACCTTACCTGTTTGGCTACTTCTTCCTGAAGCTCCTTTGTTCCTACTGCCTGCTCACCTTTTACAACTTTTTGCTTGAAGGGGAGGAGGGGGAAGAGAAATAAATCTAAATGAGTGGCAGTATAATAGGCTTCACCAGCGTGGCATCCAGGAGACAAGGATAAGCAGAACTGCTTTAGTATAGGTCTCAGATGAAGCTCAATTAGTGGCAGGCACAGGCAAAGAGTCACCAAAGTTTGAAAAGGTGAACTGCACTGTTCTTGCTTGTGGGGGGGGGGGGGAGAAGACACACATGCAGGATACATGCATGTTCATTAAGGTACCACTGGTGATAAGCCCTCAATCTTCTCCCAGTGCCCCTTTGCCCAGTACGGTATGAAGGATACCCATTGTTCTAGGTAGCTGTTCCCAGAAAATAAGCAATGAACAGGCTTAGAGGCAGTAAATAGGAAATCATGTAATCCAACCCTGACTGCTTTGATAAATGCCATGCGTTTTGCCTCTCAAGCCAGATACAGATGGCTTGAACGCCTTGGTTAAGCAACAGAGGAAATTTACACTCTTGTCACACAGGTGGATGGGTCAAATCTGAATCAGAAGTGAGAGCTGAGTGGAACTCAGATGATGGAAAACAAAATGTCCCTTGTAATTTGACTGAACCTGTCCTTAAGGTGGGGAAAAGTGAAGCATGTACTGGAGAGCAAAGGTTATATATACAAAAGTTGGAGAACTGCCTTTCCCCAACTTGACACCCTCCAATTGTTTCACACTACAACTCCCAGCAGCCCTGGTCAGCACGGCCTGTGGCTAGTGCTGAGCTGTAGTCCAAAACATCTGGAGGGCACATATGGGAAGGTGGTGGGGAGCCTCAAGCCCTCTAGAATTCTCCACCTGCCACCCTTCTCACTGGCTTTTCCCGGGTTGAAATGTGTCCTTGAATTCTGACAATGTCTATTGCTTGACTGACTGGAGGATAGCCAGGCAAATGTTAGATCAATGGAGAGCCCTTCCTAAACCTCAAAGCCACTCCTGGTGAGCAGGAAGAACACGTTTTACCTTCAAATTCAGAGGGAAGTCTTCAAACTGGATAAAGCACAAAAGGATATGATACCACAGCCATGAAGAGCAGAGAGAGAGAAGCAATTAGGTGCCACAGCAGAGGAAAGAACTTTGCAAGTAGCCTAGAGCTCTATATACACACTAAAAATAAAAGCACCAAGGGGAAGGCAAGAGATGCTTGCCAGTGCTAGGGATGCAGGATCCAATTGCATCCAGCCAGCAGACACATTTTGTGGCTGCTGGGTAAATGACTAGCCTAGGAACTAAACCATAGGTGCAAAGCAAAATATTAAGGGAGAGAGGCAGAAAAGGGTGAAAAGCATTGGAACAGTTTCCCCTGAGACAGTCACTTAGGCAGAACGAAACGGGAGTTGTCAGAACGAGTCTCCCCAAGTCTTTACCTTCAGAGTGTGAAAGGGTAGAAAGAGGTACCCTCACAAAAATCCATTTCTTTGTAGAAGTTGCTATTCAGAGCATGTCTGTCAATCGAAAGGCAAGCCCTGACTCGTGCAGAGATATGACAGGCAGATTTCCCTGAGGTAAGACCACTCTGCTTTGCCCATGCATCCAACAAACCTAAATGATCCAATCCCACACCTCATGCAGGGCAGAATGACCTGACTGGAAAGAGGTGTGGCCAGAAGAAGCAAGTCAGGCAGAGATGCTGGGGGCAACCTCCTCTGTAGAGGAGCGCTTTGGGATCCAGGTGCCTTTCCAGCAAATTCATTCATTTCCTGAGGCACACAAGCAGTTTTCTCATTCTGCCGCTCTGATACACAGTTTGGGAATTACTGTGTTGAGAGAGTGCAGTTGTGAAATGTTTGGGACACAGGGGGGCAGAAGTGTTTTTCTGGGCCCCAGCAGGTAAGTAGCTGCAGCTTACTGGGAGGAGTGAGGTGGCAGAGAGGTTGACATGGTGCAACTGCATTAGCTGAGCTAATCTGGTACTCCTGCCAGTGTGTTTGCATCATGCCATCCTCCCTGCCTCCCAGTAAGCAGCAGCGACTCACCTGCCAGGTCAGGTAAGCACCTCCCCCCCACATCTGCTACTGGGTACAAGATACATTTAAAAATGGTAAAGGGACCCCTGACCATTAGGTCCAGTCACGGACGACTCTGCGGTTGTGGCACTCATCTCGCTTTATTGGCCGAGGGAGCCAGTGTACAGCTTCTGGGTCATGTGGTGAACCAGAGCAGCGCACGGAAACGCTGTTTACCTTCCCACTGGAGTGGTACCTATTTATCTACTTGCACTTTGGCGTGCTTTCAAACTGCTAGGTTGGCAGGAGCTGGGACCGAGCAACGGGAGTTCATCCCGCCATGGGGGTTCGAACCGCCAACCTTCTGATCGGCAAGCCCTAGGCTCTGCGGTTTAACCCACAACGCCACCCGCTGTGGCAGTTTTACTAACTTGTAAAATGGATGTGCTTCTTCAGTAACTTTCCAGTTAATCCTCTGGCCATTCTGCTACTCTCAGAGGCCCAGCAAGGTATGGGGGTCTCATGAGAGGGCCTTTTTCATGGTGGCTCCAAGAATGTGGAACTCTCCACAGATGTGCATCAGGCACAATTTCTGACAGCATTTGTCAGTTGCTTTGAAAACAGTTCATCATCGTGAATCAGGTAGGTGGAACTGGAGTGTTTACAAGCTCAGGAAAGATGTTTGTGCTGTGGCAACATTATGAGGAATGCAGTCAAGCTCACCTAGCAATTCTTGAGCAATGCATGTCAAAGCGCCCTCTTCTTAATCAGTTCCTTTCCCCACACTCAAGCCTGAAAGCAGAGGCTCTCCACAGTCCCATTCAGTTTTCTCTGAGCTCCTATAACTCCCCCTTTGTATTTTCACTAAACACTTACTCTGCCCACTCATTGCATGAGGTTCTCCCAGAGGAGCTCTACATCCATTGGCTCAGCTGCTTTTCCTTACCTGGCCACCACCAAAGCGCTTCCGCAGGTTTTCAATTTGTTCTGTCTCCAGCTTCTGGAATAGAGGTGTCACCTGGTGGGAAATTAAGGAGACAGGTGGGTCCACAGAATCCTTTGTGAACTTGTCCCACACACGTGTTATGTGTATTCTATATGATTACTTTGAGAGTACTGGGCATCCCAAGAAATGCGTCTAAGCATCTAGTCCCTATGTTTGTAACTATGTAAGTAGTAATGGTTAGAAGTAAGTAGGAGGATGACAAAGCAGAACTTCACTTTCGTTTCTTTGTTGCCAATTATTTTTATTGATTTTCCAATTTTAACCCCATTACACAAATTAATTCCAAATTAATGCAATTTCGTTAAGAGGTTTCCCATGTGCTGGTCCCGATGGTTCTTATTCATTTCTATTACAATCCATTTTACAAAATTATCACATAGTCAACAACTGCACTCTTAATGATTTCTATTTGTGTTGTATTATGTAACTTTCAAAAAACTTCAAGTGAGGAACAATAACTTTATCCTTTCCTCTTTTAATTTTTATTGATATATTTTCCTTTTTTCTATTTATACACCATACACTTTCCATCATACAAAATTTCTTTACAGACTTCCCAACCCAAGCTCTGTGGCATTCTAGATGTACCTTACTTTCCTGATATCTGTTAATTTTCCAACCCTATTTTTCTCCTTTCAGTTTCTTTGTTACTGTTAACGGTTGCTCAAGAAATTACCCCTGATTGTAGGTTAGTTTTACTATATCTCTTTTTAAATATGCAGGAATCTCAGCTAGAGCAGCCATGACAGATGGCCACCCAACCTCTGCTTAAAACTCTCCAAGGAAGGAGAGCCCACAGCCTCCCAAGGGAGAGGTAACATGCAGCAGGGCACCATGTTAACATGAGCAGTCTGTCTGCTGCATTCTGCACCAGCCGCAGCTTCTGGACCAGACACCAGGACGGCCCCACACAAAGCCCATTACAGGAGTGGTATTCCTTTTAGCTCCCAACTCAGTGATCTTTCTCCCAAACACGCTAGCTATTTAAGTGCTGGGGTTATATCTTATTTTTAATGGAGGAGCATTCTGTTATACAAGCCTGAAGAGGTACAGTCAAGAAACAGGTTTACCATCTTATCTACCATTGGAGATAACTGGCCCTCGGTCATAGCTTAGAAAAGACTTTAGCCACGGTTCTGGCACAAGCTATATAGTCTCCTCTCCCCGGCACTTACCGTGCCAATCTGATGCCCAGCAGGCAAGGTGCAGACAAAGTCGTTGGTCACCACGTTGTAGTCAGCAGGAATGCACAGCTGTTCTTGGATTGCAGCACTCACACTGGGCATGTACGGTTGCAGGATAACAGATAGCAAGGATGCAATGTTGACGGCTACCCCTATCACTGTGCTTGCTTGCTTCCTAGGAAGATGAAATGATGCTTGTTAATTTTCCTAGGAAGATGAAATGATGCTTCCTCCCTGTGGGAGGAAGGAGAGAAGCCAAGAAGAGGAGATGGCAGTCTATATACCAGAGCTAAAACATGCCTCCCAAAATTAAGCACTGGTAGCTAGCTCAGAGCAAAGGGGGAGACATTATTCTGCTGAGCTGGCTGGTCTGACTAGAGGGCACCATCAGAAGCAGAGACTCACTTGTCAGCCTCGCTGCCCTTGATCCGTTTCCAGGGTTCATTGACCTGGAGATACTGATTGCCAAGGCGAGCAATGTTTAGGATACTGCGCAGGGCATCACGGATCCTGCAGGAGAAAAACAGGAAATTTGTAGGAGGAGCCAAACCAGGGAAGAAGAAAATGTAGCAGTCTCCTCTTTGCCCTAGCTGCTAGAAGGGACCAGGGCTCATAAATAACCACTTGCCTTATACCTGGGGCAACGTAACAACAACCTCCAGGCAATCATGCAGATTTTTTTTTATTTTTTATTTTGGTAAATCAGCTGTTGGTGTCCCCCCCCCCATTTTTCAAACCCTCAGACAACCACAAAATACTAACATAGATCCATGCGGACAAGCAGACTAGTAAAACACCTTGCAGGTTATCAAATTTTGTCAAGTTATTTGCAAGGGTGACAGAGCCTGCTTTTTCATTGCTTTATCTCTACCTTAATCTTAACATGTCAGTTTTGCTTCTCAAAAAGGCATAGGATAAAAAGCACACACAGATGCATAACCAGAAATAAGCATCTAACACAATGTGAGTAGGACTCTGGAAGTGAAGATTTGTTCCACATGCATTTACTTACAGTTAATGAAAAGGATATCTGCACATGCTCATGAGAGAGACAGATACAGATATAACTAATTCACATGTTCAGAGCCAATCTGGAGATGATCTCCTTAGCCAACATTCTGCTACCTGTGACTGGGAAGAGCCCTTTTCAGTACTTGTCTAAACAAGGGATGGAACCAGGCCCTCAGGCTAATGGCACATGCCAGGTCCCAAGGACGTACTTGACCTTCTCCAACAATTGGTTGTATTGGCGCAGCTCCAGAGTGATGTGAACCAACAGACATTTGTCATCCTGACTCAGCTCCATGGTGGGGACGTGTCCCCCAAAGAATTTGCACACAAAGGACCCGGCTCTGAGAGAGAGAGACACAGGAGAGAGGGATGAGGGACAAATTTTATTGTAAACCATTACATCCTAAAGTTCTGGCATAGTCATTTTATTTTACAGAAAACCAGACTAACTGTAATGGTTTGATGGTTGTATTGCTTTTTGATTGCTGTGAAGCCAATGATTTGCATGCAATAAATGTATGGCTAATGAACAGGCAGATCACTTAAAATTTCTAACTGGATACAACAAAAATAGAAGGAGTTTGCAAGCTGTGTACAAAGCAGTATCTCCCAACCAGGGGTGGGAACACATCTGTATCCATTACATAAGTACAAATCCACTGAAAAAACCATGTGTTGGGTAAATTACCTGCTTTCCTTTTCTTTATATGAACTATCTGCCATACATTCATAATCCTGTTCCTCTCAACCACCACCACCACCACCACCAGGCTGCCATGTTCTAGTTTCACTGTGGATTTGAATGACTCTTTCCCTCCTCACCCCATTACCTGTTGATGAAGTTGCCAAGGGTGTTGAGAAGCTCTGAATTGTTTTTAAGCATGAGATCATTCCAAGAGAAGGCACTATCCTGGCTCTCAGGCCGCAAGTAGAGCAAGTAGAAGCGCCAGATGTCTGCAGGGATGCCTGTGTCTTTGGCCATATCTCCAAAGACCCCCACACCACGACTCTTGGAGAATTTGCCATCCTCGTAGTTCAAGTACTCTGCAGAAAGGAAGATTAAGTGATGGCTTTAAAAGAGGTTTCGACTAATTCACAGAGGATAAGGTTCTCAGTGACTACTAGCCATGATGTCTATGCTCTCCTTCCAGTGTGGAGGCAGTTGGTTGGCATCCGTCATCTGTCTGTCTTAAGCGACAATGGCGTGTGCCTCCAGGGGCAAAGTCAAACCGCTGTGGTAGCAGAACCCGAGTGACCTCCCTGGAGCACAAGCCTGGGCAGTGTTTATGGAGGTCCTGGGTTGCTCAGACAACAAAACCCCACTCTCAGCCTCACTAATGTAGCCCAAAGGAAAGCAGAGCAATACGTTTGGCACCAGCTTGGCCGCAGGAGCTGCTGGAAGGAGGCGTACAAGGCACCACCCAACCCTCTTAGGGCCTCCACTCCTCAGTCCTTTCTTCTCCCAAAGAGATCCCGCAAGTCAGCGGAGGTTTAGGATCAGAATTTTCCTTCTAGGTGGGCTACCTTCTCAAACTGAAGAGCCTCACCTGTCCCTCACTTCCCTCTACAGCACGTGCAGAAACTGCCTTCTTGACCATGGGACCCATTATTGGTCTTGTCAGCTCAATCTCTGCGTGCAGGGGAAGTCCCTACCTCACCTCTGAATATCAGGAAATGGGTGCAGCACTGTTGGACTCAGGGGTCCTACTTGTGGGCTTCCCAAAGGGATCTGCTTTGCCACTGCCTTTGGCATCATCCAGCAGGACTCATGTTCTTAGGGGGTTTTAAAGGTTTGCTCAAATCCCACTTCAATAGCTCCACTACAGCTTCCAGGCCACATAAGATGAAACCTTTTTTGTGACATAGTCTAGCTTAAACCAGCAGGGTTTGGAAATGAAAGAGTGGCAGGTGAGGCCAACTCTCACACACAGAGTACCTGTTGCGATAAGATGGTTGACGAGTGTGTATCTATCCCCAGTACCCAGCAACGAACAGGGAAACACAACACTATGGAAGGGGACGTTGTCCTTGGCCATGAAGTTATAAAGCTGAACCTGAGAAGAAACAGGAGATGGACTGCATGGTTAATGTCAGGACTGGTCGTTGTCCTCTTCAGATCACCACACAAACGCTTCTTGTTCTTTTATAAAACTTTTTATTGCGTATTAACAAAACATTCTTATAAACGGTTCTTAACTATTATTCCTCAGAGTCACTTATTTCAGATACCTTCTGAGCTCTGCTTCTCCGTGACAGCCACCTTCAAAATGGCGAAGGTGCCCTTTCCTGCTCTTTTTCCTACCCTCCTGGCTAGAGCTGGCCTGTATCTCCCCTCCTCCGAATCTGAGCTAGAACTGAACCCTTGCCTTTCCTGTGAACAGCCGGTCCCTCCCTGTTGTTCCTCTTGCTCCCTTCTATTAGATTCACTGCTCTCCTTCCCCCCTTGGGGAATGCTTTCTCCCTCTGAGAAACTGGAAACTTCTAACTCTTCCCTTACAGTTAAGTCACACAACCCCCTCACTCTTTGCTGCCCCAAATGGCTGACTAGTATAAAGGGCATTTGTTTGGAGGGGTGTTACAGAAGCACACATGCCCCTGAGGATGGGATAATCACATGGGTGTACAGGCACCCTGGGTCCTACACATGCTCCCACCCCATCGCCAGTGCTTTGATACACCATCAGACAGAACATCTGCCTGGATTCTAGACTGAAGACACACACGAGAAAACTACTGTACATCCTTTACATAAAATGAGCTTATCTGGAAGGGATCTCTCGGTCTTATTCCTTCTGTGAAAGAGACCAAGCTACAGTGGCAAGTGTGCAAAACTAACAAGCTCATCACCTGTTCTGGGTTCTTCCACCATTTCTCCCATTGGTCAGTGTAATTGGCTGCAATGGACAGGTAGCCAATGGGGGCATCAAACCAGACGTAGAACACCTATAGAGAGAGAAGGAGGAGGGGAACATGAGGGGATGGTTCACGGAAGGCAGGCAAGGGAGCACTTTCAGGGACCGGAGTGGCTAGTCTTCCAGTAACATCCTGCCTTTGCACTTTTCCTGACCAACATTTCACTTGAAATTTGACACGTCTGCTCATGCACATCTTTTCAATCCTTATTTTTTGAAGTATGGAAGGCCATACTGATGCTTAATTTCTAAAACAGGGCAGGCCACAGCTCAAATCTTTAAGAAAATGCCAATTATGTGGAGAGTGGCTGCTGATTCTTCAGTGGTGAACTGTAGGTATTCTGCACATGCTCAAATGAATCAACGACACTTGACCATTCTGGAGCTGTACCATTGGTTTCAAGGGTTGACTCAATAATTAAGCTACAGGCATAAGTTCTGGTTAATTAGCAAAACAACGAGTTTAAGTCAAAGTATGAATAAATTTGATTGAAATTAGAAAGCATTTGATTTACTGGCAAATGCGATATGAAGTTACTAATGAATAATACAATTGAGAAGGTTATTTTTGATGTTCAGAAAACAGACAGACACAACTCAGACAACTTTCTGTGCTCCTTTTACAATGCCCTCCTTTTTCTCCAGGCACCACTGACACTAAGTCGTTTTGCCTCTAGACTCCCTACCTGCTAGAACTCCCAATGCCCTGATCCATCCTGCTGAAATAGTACTGTCTTTCCTGTGGTGCCCCTCAAAAAGAAAAAGCCTTGGACCACAGAATAAGAACAAGCACTCAGCAAGACCATGAAAGGATTAAGCACTGGTCCCCTGAATCTTTACCCCATCACTCACCTTGTCACGGAAGTCATCCAAAGGGACTGGTGTGCCCCACTTCAGGTCACGAGTAATGCACCGTGGCTTGAGCCCATCACGGATCCAGGAACGGCTGATATATCTTGCATTGGGGGTCCAGTCCCCAGTGGACTGAGAGACAGACAGCCACTTTTCCAGGCTCTCTTCTAGCTAAAGGTGAGAAGATCAGAGACAGTGAATGGGGATCCTGGGTGTAATGTCATAAGCTCTAGGGCTCATTATGATTGCTAACAACACTAAGCAAACTGTACATCACATGTACATCGTACTGTCCTTTAAAGACACTAGTAAAACAAGAGAGACTCACCTTGGGCAGGTCCAGGAACAGGTGCTGGGAGGATTTCACCACAGGGGTCGCCTGGCAGACTTTGCAAACTGGTTTCTGCCAGGATGGAAAGAAGACAAGGCCATGGTATGCTTGACATTAAGCCCAGCAAGTAAACAACATGCAGGAAGTAGTACCAAGCCCATATGTAGGACCGCCATACATGCAAATTCTTGTGTGTTGGAAAGTTATTATTGGCTGCACCTTCCCTTGTTTTGACTGACAAGCCCAGGTTTTAATCAATGAATTGTTTTCCAGGGAACAGCGATTTGGGGAAACTATGTTTGTTCTTCACATGGATCTATGCTATTTCCTCCACCACCATTAATTTTCCTATGCAAATCAACAGAAATATCACTTTCTTCCCTTTGAAAGCAGGGTCCTTGCTCGCTTGCGCGCTCTCTCTCTCTCTCTCTGTAACATTTTCCCCATCCCAGTCTTTTCTGGGGATCCATGCTCTTTATTCCCACGATCACCTGCACTCCTAAATTCTAATTGTACACAATCCAAAACAGTAAAGTCTCCCTTGAGGGAAAATCGCTTTGAAATTTGGCAGGTTTTGTACCCTCAGAATTGATTTCAATTCTGGTATAAAATAAGGTACCTTTTCTTTTTCAAAAAAATCATACTTTATGGTGCCCTGCACAGAAATCCCTGGATTAAGCCTATCTGGTATGCCTAAATCACTCTGAGGGCTCTCCTATGCCTGCAAAGTTCATCTACTTCTGTAAAAAGAGAGGGACCTTGGGCTTGCACCGCCGGATTCTGTGGGGAGGAGATGGGTGGTGGGGAATCTGTGCTAGCCTAACATGGTGCAAATGAGACACATTCCACCATTATTTCTAGCAATCCAAGACAAAGATAAAGAGAAATGCTAAGTATGTAGGTTCCCAGGATCATATGGGTGGCAGTACCTTAAGTTCAGTGGCATTGATCAGTTTGCCACATTTGTCGCACTGGTCCCCACGGGCCTCTTCATAGTTGCAGAAGGGGCAGATGCCTTCCACAAAGCGGTCAGCCAGGAACCGTGAACAGTTCTCACACTTCAGTTGATCCACTGTCTCTGTCAGAAGGTAGTTGCGCTCCAGTAGCTTCTGGAAAATGTCCTGAGCTATCCTGAGGCGAGGAAGAGAAGAAACATATGAAGGAGGGACATCCTCAACCTTCGTATGGCACACACCCCAAAAATTAAATAAAAATCACATCAAGGAAAACTTGGCAGTCAATCCATGAACAATTAGCAGACCAGTGTTTGTCTTGGGCTTGCCAATTGCATCTACACCTTCTGCTGATGATTCTCTAATACAGCAGGAAGGCTGGCAAAGCACTTCATACCTCTAGGACAAGTGTGAGGAACCTTTGGCCCTCCAGATGTTGATGAACTACAACTCCCACCAGTCCCAGCAAGCATGACCAATGGGAAGGGGTGTTGGGAGTTGTAGTTCATCAATATCCATCGGTCCAAAGGTTCCCCACACCTGCTCTAGAACATGGAGTCCTGCTCTCCTGTGCCAACCATGGTCCAATTTAAGGAGGAGGCCCATCTCATAACACTACCTGTAGTGTGAAATTCATGGCTCAGTTGTCCATTGGTCAGTTAAGAACCTTTCTACGGTGCAAAGGAAGTCCCACTGACTTGGTTCTGCATTGCTGAACCCTGTAACATGTGGCTTGCCTTACTTGCTTAAGCCACTGGAAACTGACCAAACAGCAAACACCTGTGTTTCCCAATGGCATATTAGTGTCTGGTGGTGTAGGTAGACTTGATGGTAACTGGTGCCAATTAATCTTATTTACACACATATAGACCAATTAATAATAATAATAATAATAATAATAATAATAATAATAATAATAATAATTTAATCCAAAGTGGTGTACAAAAGATTAAACTGCATCTTATCTTTGGATGTGTATCTGACCTTGCTTCACAGGAGGGGACTGAACATGCTTCCTACAACAGTACACGTAAGAATGGTAACTAAAATTCCATCTGGCCCAGTTAGTATCCTCGGACAATGCTGTTCTGCTCATTCAGAGACAGGGATAAAAGTACTGTGACAAATCACTTTATCAGTTTACCATTGAACAAGACGGGCCTGCAGCCAGTACACGCAAGCTGCTAACCAGTCAGGACTGCATTCTGAGTTTATCTGCCAGACCTCATATATGATGTGGCACACCTGCAGTTCTGCATCACATTTAGTGGCACCATACACTCTTTTGTAATACACCAGTGGCAGCTGTACAGGATTATTCAGAAGAAGAGAACCCACATCCTAACTCAGCCTGTGCACCAGTGGCTTCCAAGGAACCCATCTACCACCTCTCAGCAATCAAAATTAACCCATCAGTAAGTTACTAGCCCACAAGGAGTTCCTTCTCACCCACATATATGCTGTTTTGTCATTTGTAGCCCAAGGCAGGGGGAAAATAGCAAACAAAGCCAAATTTTGAAAAGCTTCCCTTTTTCTGGAGAAGTCAAAAACTTGCTACATTGAGCACAGTCATTTTACAAGCATGCCTTAAACCTGTACTTGGCACCAATGCCTCACCCTGAGCGCTCAGTTTGAGTAGAGGGGCAACAATGTGAAATAATTTAAATAAAAACATATTATGTGCTCTCAGATTTTTAGGTACAGGCATTCTTTGTTTCATGGCAGCTGGACCTCCATGGTCACAGAAACTGTAAACAAGTCCGTCAATCTTTCCTGCCCATCTCTAACAGCCAGTTTTACAGTTGTTAAAGGCTAAGACAATAAGTGGTTTGTAAGAGAGAGTGCAAAGTAGTGCTGCCACATGAGGCATTCATGCTCCTTTTCCCTTGGCCACTGTGCTCCCTTTCCGGGCAGTACTTACTTGGTCTGATGGGGTGTGGTGGTGCGGCCAAAGTAGTCAAAGGAGATTTTGAACCACTGGTAGATCTGGGCATGGACAGTGTAGTACTTATCACAGATTTGCTGCGGTGTCAGCCCCTCCTCCATGGCCTTTGTCTCTGTGGCAGTGCCGTACTCATCAGTACCGCACAGGTACAGCGTGTTCCAGTTGCGCAAACGACAGTACCTGGACAGGACACAAGAAGTGAAGCAGGATGCTTATCGCTACCTGCAAGGACCAAAGCTTCACACAGTCCCTCTGTTACTTCAAATTGGTCAGAGCTCTGTGGGAAAGCACATGCTTTGAATGCAGAGGATCCCAGGTTACATTTCTGGTACCTCCAGTTAAAAAACACTCAGGCAGCAGGGCTGGGGAAGGCCTCATCTTCAGGTCATGGGGGGCCACTGATACTCAGAACAGAGCAGAAAACGAGGCTGCATGGACCAGTAGTCCACTTGATGTGAGGCAGTTTCGTATGATCTCATTAGAGTAACAGTTAAACCCTGTCTATGATTAGTTGGAAATAACCCTCACTGAGCTCAGTGGCTCTTACTCTGTAATAACTGTTTAGAACTGGAGCCTAAGACCTGCTCAAGATGCAAGTTGCAACACACAGAAAATATTTTTTATTTTCTTTCATAATATTTATACACTGCCTGCCTCAAAGTAGTTTGCAAAGTGTATACAGTGGTACCTCGGGTTACATACGCTTCAGGTAACATACGCTTCAGGTTACAGACTTTGCTAACCCAGAAATAGTGCTTCAGGTTAAGAACTTTGCTTCAGGATGAGAACAGAAATTGTGCTCCGGCGGCGCGGCAGCAGCAGAAGGCCCCATTAGCTAAAGTGGTGCTTCAGGTTAAGAACAGTTTCAGGTTAAGTACGGACCTCCGGAACGAATTAAGTACTTAACCCGAGGTACCACTGTATAGGCAACATAAGCACAGATATCCAAGTACACATACTATGGGATTTTGCAAATTCATTTTAAAATCAGATTCATTAAAGCAACATCAAATAGCAAGAAATCAATTGACTCATATCACCAACCACTCTGATATTACCAGGTACAAAGGCAGCTCTACTGGAGTGGATACACCTTGAAAATAAAATGCCAAAAGAATAAATGTTCAGCGTCCCGTTAACCCCCCTTTCCAAGTGACTGACATATCCTAACAAGAGTCGGTGGCAAAAGGCATCAACATCTTACCTGGCAAAAGTATCGGCACTGAGGACACAGCCAATGATATTCCCAAGGTGAGGCACATTGTTGACATAGGGCAGGGCGCTGGTGATCAGCACGTTCTTCATGCCTTCCACAGGAAGTCTGCGAAGATGAGCCACAAGAAATGGAGCCAGATTTTAAAGAGAGAAACTGTGCTTTGGTAGAAGAGCAGGGAGGCACAAGAAGGAAAAAAGGCTACTCTGTGAGGTTACACTGTAAGTATCTGGGCTCCTGGGGAAGTTGCCCCTGCAACTTAGAAAGGCCAGTTCTTTATAGGCTGGATGTTAGTCTTCTGCAACGCCAAGTACAAACAGATTCTGATACTCTGCTAAATTTGCAAATTGGTGTTTGGCTCCTAAACCTCATGGTTGTGGGAAACTCCATTAAAAATGATCACACATCACCACAAAACTGCCTATACAGAGGAGGGGACTGTTGCGCTGTGCACCATGTTGCATTGATAAGGGTTAACCGCTAACCCTAACACTGATGTCAATGTTCACCATGATATAGATACAGATTTATTTTCATATATTCATACGTACAGAGATGTTCGGGATTTTAAGACATAGAACAGGAACATAGTTCTGCTCTTTGCTTTGAAGTCTTCCTCAAAACAGCCCCACATCATTTCCACTAAGGCCAGGGCATTTTAGCCCAGCAAGGTACTTACATAGGTTGCTGTGGCTTCCAAGGTTTGGGGAGGCCAGCTGGCCCTCTGACCCAGACTTCTGCAATTGCTGCAATCTCCTCCTCAGACAGAGACCTCTGAGCGGATTCCTCTTCCTAGAGAGAGGAACAAAAATCCATCTGCAAACCTGCTTTGCAGGTGCTCAGCACCCAGAAGGCAATCACTTTGCTGATGCACAAAGTGGCACAGTCCAAAACTGCAAGTGTGGCTCAGACACACCAGGGCAGTCTGCACCGCCCCCCTCTCGGAGCATCTTCCCTCCCCACATGGTGCTTTAGTACTTACTGGGCTAAATACCAGTCAACTAAACAAATCCTAAACATCTTCTCAGAATCTAGTCATTGACTTTGACCTCATTTTCACAAGCAGAAGGAAAGATTTTGTTTCATTCATTTTATCTGAATGCCACTTTGCTACCAAAAATAAATAAATGCTCAAAGCAGCTTACGAAAAAGAAACAGAGATGCATTTCAAACAAACACAACAAAAACAATTTCATAACAACATAGCAAAACAATAGCTCAATAGGACCACCCTGCTGAGAGCCTGAGGGCCCTGCTCCTGCCTCCATCTACCTGGCCCAGGGCAGGGCCTGACAGGCTTCCTAAGGACTGCTGCTGCTGCCCAGCAGAGAGGGCTTCTTCCCTTAAATTGTTTTTATATCCTTTTAATATTTTTTTAACATTTCAACGGTTTTTAACTGGGCTATAAGGGCACTTGGTGGGATGTGAGGGGCAGGGGTAGTTGTTGTTCTCTTTGACATCTGTTGGGAGGGTATTCCACAGTGTGGGTGCCACTACCGAGAAGGCCCTCTGCCTGGTTCCCTGTAACTTGGCTTCTCGCAGTGAGGGAACCACCAGAAGGTCCTCGGCGCTGGACCTAGAGTTTGTGTTTCTGGTGTTGGACAATCGGAGCAGATTAGGGATTCTGCTGGTTTGCCGCCCGCCTCGCTGCCTAGCAGTCTCCCTTCCGGAGCTGACAGAGCTGGTCTCTGGGGAAGCATTCAGCCTTCCCTTTCCCCCACCTGCAGCACTATGTGCTACTCTTAGCACCATTTGAAGAGAACTGGAGGCCCGGTTCACACGGAAGGAGGACAATACCTTCAGCTCATTAGTAGCTGGCTTCTCAAAAGCCTGGTTGGGAGCAGGATGCTTTTGCAGATAAGCCTTCAGCTCCAGCAATCCTTTGGGCGTCCATACAGATTCAACAGCCTTCTTGCAGTACTCCTTCTGGTTCATGTTCTGGAACCATCTCCTCAAGGCCTTTAACTCATCTTTAAAATCAAACAAATTCCAGAGGAAAAATCTCACCTTGGTAACTGCTCAGTCTCAAATAGAAATGTATTAAGTTCCTATTTGTTAACACCCACACCCCACAATCTGCGAAGATCCCTGCCACGGACTCAAAACTAGTTGGAGACTAGTTTTGCCAGGAGACCTCTTCTGGGCAAGGCAAGCATGGTTGGAATCACCAGAGTGATCAGAATCAAGATAGCCAGGGGGGAAACGAAACAAAAAGCTAGCTATTTGTACCTTTATCTCACTGTGGTCCAAATAGTGTTTTGAATGCCCTAGGATCCCTCTGTAAGATGACAGTAGTAGCAGACAATCCTTCCCCTGAAAGAGTTTGCCACGGCTTGTCTTCCCCTGTAGCACGCAGCCACAAGAGCATGTAAGGTTTTTCCTAAGGTGCACTCAGGGGCAAACACAGCAACTGAGCAAGTCTCTTTGCTGCTGCATATGAGCTGGTTGTGTCCTCTGCAATGCAAGGGGGCTCCCTGAAGGCAGAATGTTTGGCAATGATCCATATGCTTCCATTACTGAGAGAGGGAAGAGTGTGAAAAGAAGGACCCCCCAAAAAACCCCAATTATGTATTTATTTCTCCAGTGCTTTCCCCCCCAAAAAAATACATTTAGGGGTACTTTCATCTTCCTACTCATATTGAAATACTGCCCCTCAATGAGGCCAAACTTAGATTCACAAAATGTTTAGGGGTATGCGTCCCCCCACAAAAAAGCACTGTATTTATCTATCATATTTATATCCCACTTTTCTCCAAGGAGCTCAAGGCGGCACTAACGGTTCTCCTCCTCCCCATTTTATCCTCACAACAACCCTGTGGGGAGAGTGACTGGGCCAAGGTGGCCCAGTGAGATTCATGACTGAGTGATTAGGGACGGGGAGAGGAGCGGAGCCAGAGCAACACACAGAGGCTCATCCAAACCAGCAGGCAGATCGGCACATCAAAGTTGCCTCCTGTGGCCTTAAACGTGGCCACAAAACGATGCACACTAAGGCCTTGGGCAGCATCTCTCACCTGGCAGGAAGGATTCATCCCTTAACAGAGGGAACAGGGCGCCCCACAAGACGACATCAACAGCTGACTCAGCGTCCTAGATAAAAAAGTTAGGGGGAAATTGGTTCGCAAGTGTGAACAGGAGGGACAACAGGACAGAATAAACTCTAGGAGAGAGTTGCAAAGTGTTTCCCAAAAGGAACAAACACTTTCCATATTAAGTTTAAACTTTCCAGAATTAACACTGAAGAGACTTCCGTGCCTCTGTTAACCATTTTATCAGAGGGCTCCTTTTTATTATTACAGAGCAATTTGCAAAATTCCTAAACGTAGCAATTTTGCTTGGCTGCTGTATGGCGCATGCACACATGCACACACACTGCAATCTTTTTACTAACTTATGTAATTTACGTTCTATAACTTTTGCATTTGTGCTCAGTGGGCCATAAACAAATCATATATTTGATTTATCTTGTCAGCAAAAGCCAGCAATAACATAGCAATTTAGTACACATATTCTGTAATAAGCTTTTTATATAAGACAATAAACTTGTTTTCTGAAATGGTCACTGGGAAATACAAATTCACCAACTGAAAGGACGGGTGTTCTTGTCCGATCTCTTACCCAAGGCAGGATAGCCTTGTGCATTCTGTGACTCTATTGTTCCAAATTGTACAAGAACAGCACTTGGTATAAAATTTAGCATCCAGAGTATTCCAGCTTTTATTATTTCATTTTGCAGTTTTTAGCCCTTAAGGTGAGAAAGCTCAGCAAGCATTGCGCTCACGCATACAGACCTAAGCCTCAAAAGTCAGAGGTGAGACCTCGATGGCACTTCAAGCAATTATAGTTCTCTCCCCGTTCTTTGCTTTGCTCCCCTCACTTTGCTTTGTTTCCCCCTCCCCTTGGTCCTCCTGGGACAAGAGCCACATAAAACGATGTGTTGCAAATGGCAAGACCTTGGCTTGGAACCAGTCCTGCCAAAGACAACAGGGGAGGGGGGGTGTAGATTCAAAGTAGTGCTAAGGAGATTCTTCACCAGGGCAAATAAAATTGCTTGCAATGATGGAGAAATCTCCCTGCTCCTCCCCACACATGCTGTTCTTCTGACTCTCCTGAACAGATATGGAGGATTGAACAACTGGGATTCATTGTGCTGGCGCCCACTAGTGTAACAATTTAGCCTGAAAGATCCAGAGTTATTGGATATCCCTCTCAACTCTACCAATCCTTTGTCAGTAATGCTCATTTTGCTACACAGCGATTCTTACTTACCCCGGTAAGATAAGGAGTACCCCTTTTGACAAGGGTCTGGTCAATGTAGTTCAGTGGTTTCTGAATAATCTCCAAAACCTCCTCTCCTTTCTTTCCATGAACCAAATGAAGATACAAGGCTGCAGACAAAGCAGGCTAAGAGGAAAGCCAGAGGAGAGGCATGTTAAGGCCCTCTTGTGCCTCATGTTGTTATCTTTAACCCTTGCTCAAAAGTAGGTTGCCCTCTCCTGAGATTAGAACCGATACCCTATTTTACAGTGAAAAGAATAGTGCATATTGGCAGCCCTGGATAAAAGCAAATATAAAAGTTAGTTTCCCTCCACACTGTCACAATTCAGAATTAACCAAAGACCAGAGAATGAACCTATGCAGGACTATAAGAAAGGATGTGGAAAGCGAAATTCTCGTGCCAGTGTCCCACAGCAAGCTTGGTGCCTGCCCCAGTGGTCTATTCGAAGCCACCATTTTACTTTTAGGTATACAGACACATTGAGCTCCCCTGCCCCCCAGCCAATGGTGCTTACATTATATAGTGGTACCTCGGGTTACAAACTTAATTCGTTCCAGAGGTCCGTTCTCAATGTGAAACCGTTCTTAACCTGAGGTACACTTTCACTAATGGGGCCTCCTGCTGCCGCCACACCATTTCCGTTCCCATCCTAGGGCAAAGTTCTCAACCCGAGGTACTACTGCTGGGTTAGCGGAGTTTGTAACCTGAAGCATTTGTAACCCGAAGCGTTTGTAGCCTGAGGTACCACTGTATAAACTCTTCTCTCTCTCTCTCTCTCTCTCTCTCTCTCTCTCTCACACACACACACACACACACACACACAGAGAGAGAGAGAGAGACTTCATCCTAATGGCAGACATTTTGCTAGCCAGATTTTACATATTTAGTTCCTGTGTTCAGTCTCTGCAACACTCGTGCCAATGAAGACACAGAACTTGAGGAAACCCTAAGCAGATGAATAGGTGGCTTCCCCACCCCCCACTTAATGATTTTCATTGAGTTTTGTAGGACAGAGTAGAAGGACTGCAATACGGAAGAGAGTTCAGAGGAGCAGCCTCAACCCCCAGGCACTGGGCAGTTTTAGCTTCCAACCCAATGGCTTTCTTAAGCAAACCCCTTCATCTTCTTCCCTGTACGTAAAAGGTTATTATTCATTCTATAGGGAAAGTGCTGCATCGGTAAACCAAGGGGGAGGGCAGGAACTGGGGGAAGAGAAAACCTATGCTCCAAACATTCGGTGTAGGAATGTAAGAAGCCACTGTTTTCCACTCCAGCCTGCATTCTTACAGGCAGCACTGTCTCCTTTCTGGGGCAGTTTGTCTTCTGTCAGTAACTAGGTTATTTGTCCTTCTGTCCACTGTGGTGAAATTATGTAATTTATGTATTTAACTATGTCAATTACATAGTACGTATGAGCCAGTGTGGTGTAGTGGTTAAGAGTGGTAGTCTCGTAATCTGGGGAACCGGGTTTGCGTCTCCGCTCCTCCACATGCAGCTGCTGGGTGACCCTGGGCCAGTCACACTTCTCTGAAGTCTCTCAGCCCCACTCACCTCGCAGAGTGTTTGTTGTGGGGGAGGAAGGGAAAGGAGAATGTTAGCCGCTTTGAGACTCCTTAAAGGGAGTGAAAGGCGGGATATCAAATCCAAACTCTTCTTCTTCTTCTTCTTATTCCACCCCATTAATTTCAATTATGTACTGATGGCTGACTGAAAGCAACAAAAGCAAATACTGACGGTATTTGCTGGATTGATTTCCGTTCCGGACATGGGACAAAAAAGTGCATGTTTGCCATTTCCTCCACCGTTTCTGTTTTTGTCAGAAGTCTCCGACATTCCTACTAGGTGTCCTGTCCCACCCTCCATCAACAGGAAGCTTAAAGAAGCATCTTGCACGCACACCCAGGGGCCCCTGCAATATAGAATCACTCCCTTCACACCCCACCAACAAGAACTGGGCATTTTGATGGGAGATATGAATGGAGTGGTGTCTACGAATATGGATAAAGCCCAAAGACAAACGGTGCCGAAAGACGGCAGACTACCAAAGACGTTCTTTGAAATGACTGACAATATGGACCTTGTTGATATTTGGAGAACTAAGAACCCCTTGGGAAGAGAAGGAACTTTCTTCTCTGAAGCTAAAATGACATGGACAAGAATAGACCAAATCTGGATAACTAGGGGACTGGCCCGAAGATAAAAAAAGTGGAGATTTGCCCTAAAACTTGCTCCGACCACAATGCAGTGAAGATGGAAATGACATTAACACCAATTGGTTCTTTTAGATGGAGGATGAATGACTCCTTGTTTAGGAATGAGGAAATTATTAAAAAGGCTCAGAAAAACTTGAGAGATTATTTTGAGATAAATATGAATACCACGACTGAAAAAAGAGTGATTTGGGATGCAAGCAAAGCAGTTATGAGAGGGTTTTTGATACAACAAAATGCAATCAAGAAAAGAGTTCAAAATGAAAAAAGGGGAAAAATTTTGGAGAAAATAAAGGATGGAGAAAAGAGACTGAGGGCGAAACCGAAATCACAGGAGATCCTGAAAGAGATAAAGTTATATCAAGTACAATATATGAAATTGACAAATCAGGAAATAGAATGGAAGATTAAACAGATGAGACAAAAGACATTTGAATCAGCGAATAAGTGTGGGAAACTGCTGGCATGGCAAATGAAAAAAAGACAAAAACTTAACACTATTACGAATCTAGTGGTGGAGGGAAAGAACGTACAGAATCCCGCGGAGATCAGAAAGTGTTTTCAGAAGTACTTTAAACAGCTATATACACAGGAGACTCAGAAAGAAATAGACATCGATCGGTTTTTGAGAACAAATGGATCACAAAAAATCTCTCAAGAGAGTAAATCAATGCTAAACTACAAAATAACTGACCAAGAGGTGGAAGGAGCCATTCAGAACATGAAATTGGGCAAATCTCCAGGGCCGGATGGTTTGACTGCAAAGTATTATAAATCTTTGAAAGAATGGTTAATACAGCCTTTGAAGGAAGTTTGCAATGAAATATTAGGGGGGGGGGGAAGGCACCCGAGTCGTGGAAAGAAGCTTACATTACACTTATACCGAAAACAGAATCGGAAAAGGCACAGCTTAAGAACTACCGTCCCATATCTTTACTCAATGTGGATTACAAAACTTTTGCGGAAATTATGGCTAAAAGATTAAAAAAGGTACTGGTGGAAGAAATTCACAAAGACCAAGCGGGCTTTCTCCAGGGGAGACATTTGTCAGATAACACGAGGAATATAATTAACATTTTAGAAAAATTACAAGTGAATATTAACACTAAAGCAGTTTTGATATTTGTGGACGCGGAGAAAGCCTTTGATAATATTTCTTGGAGTTTTATGAAGAAAAATTTACAGGGAATGGGGGTAGGCCAAGGCTTTGAAAACGGTATAGGTGCAATTTATTCAGAGCAAAAAGCTAAGTTAATTGTAAATAACGTAGTTACAGAAGAGTTTAAGATTGAGAAAGGAACAAGACAGGGCTGCCCAATCTCCCCATGGCTTTTTATATCGGTCCTGGAGGTCTTGCTCAACATGATTAGAAAAGACCAATTGGTTAAAGGTATACAACTCGGAGCTAAACAGTATAAATTGAAAGCTTTTGCCGATGATTTGGTTTTGACATTACAGGAGCCAGAATCCAGTACCAAAAGAGTATTGCAATTAATTCAAGAATTTGGTCAAGTTGCGGGATTTAAGCTGAGTAAGTTGAAAACTAAGGTGTTAGAGAAAAATTTAACAGAGATTGAGAAAGAGAGGTTTCAGAAGGAGACAGGATTAATATTGGTTAAGAAAGTGAAGTATCTAGGGGTTCATATGACTGCTAAAAATGTGAATTTATTTAAAGACAACTATGAAAAATGTTGGATGGAAGTGAAAAAGGATTTGGAAATATGGTCAAAATTGAAGTTATCAATGTTGGGCCGAATTGCTGCGATAAAGATGAATGTATTGCCTAGGATGTTGTTTTTGTTTCAAACACTGCAAATTTTGGACAAGATGGACTGTTTCAAGAAATGGCAGAGAGATATCTCGAGATTTGTCTGGCAGGGCAAGAAGCCTAGAATAAAATTTAAGATTTTAACTGATGCTAAAGAAAGAGGTGGATTTGCCCTGCCAGACCTTAAACTTTATTATGAATCAGCCGCATTTTGTTGGCTGAAAGATTGGCTGCTTCTTGAAAACACGGACATTTTGGATTTAGAAGGTTTTAACAATGTTTTTGGATGGCATGCATACTTGTGGTACGACAAGGTTAAAGCACACAAAGCCTTTAAGAACCATATTGTTAGGAAAGCATTGTTTAATGTCTGGGTGAGATATAATGATTTGCTGGAAAGTAAAACACCAAGGTGGCTGTCACCAATGGAGGCCAAGGCTCTGAAAAAAATTAATATGGAGACAAATTGGCCAAAATATTGGGAAATTTTAGAACAAGATGGAGATAGATTAAAGCTGCAGAGCTTTGACAATTTAAAAACTAAAGTACGAGACTGGCTTCACTACTATCAAATAAGGGAGGCTTATAATTTAGATAAGAAAATTGGTTTTCAGGTGGAAAAATCAAAATTGGAAACAGAATTGTTAGACCCTAAAATCAAGAATTTATCAAGAATGTATAACTTGCTGTTGAAATGGAATACACAAGATGAAACGGTTAAATCTGTTATGATTAAATGGGCACAAGATTTTGGATATAACATTATGATGGCTGACTGGGAAAAGTTATGGACCACAGGTATTAAGTTTACGGCTTGTAATGCCTTAAGAGAAAATATAATGAAAAGGATTTACAGGTGGTACTTAACCCCAGTCAAGCTGGCAAAAATTTATCATTTGCCCGATAACAAATGTTGGAAATGTAAAGAGATTGAGGGCACATTCTTTCACCTTTGGTGGACATGCCCAAGGATTAAGGCCTTCTGGGAGATGATTTATAATGAAATGAAAAAGGTATTTAAATATACCTTCCAGAAGAAACCAGAGGCCTTTCTTCTGGGCATGGTTGGCCAATTGGTGCGAAGGGAGGATAGAACCTTTTTTATGTATGCTACAACAGCAGCAAGAATACTCATCGCGAAGTATTGGAAGACACAAGAATTACCCACCCGAGAAGAATGGCAGACGAAAGTGATGGACTATATGGAACTGGCTGAGATGACTGGCAGAATCCGGGACCAAGGAGAAGAGTCGGTGGAAGAAGATTGGAAAAAATTTAAAGTATATCTTCAAAAATATTGTAATATTAAAGACTGTTAGAAAGATGTTGGAAAAAAATCAGGTATTTTTGGTAGATATGATATAAAGGATTAAGCAAAAATGAGCTGATGAAATTGATGAAAGAGAGGATGTCAAATTATAATATTTTAAATTAAACTACGTAAATGAAAATAAGGTTGGAAGGATTTGCTGAAAAAACGATCTGAACTAGAATACAAAATTGGGAGGTGAGAGGAGGTCAAGGAAATAAGTAAAGGAAAAAAGTTATGTAAAGGTTTAATCTGTTTTTGTTCTATTTCAATTGAATGTATTTTTATACCTTCTTTCTTTTTTCTTTTCTATATATATATATATATAATTTTTTTTTCTTCTCGCTCTGTTATTGTTATATTCTTTTTTGTATTTTGTACTGTTCTTTTCTCTTTTTGTAACTTTAAACTTGGAATAAATATTATTATTAAAAAATAAAAGAACTGGGCATTTTGGAAGGACAATAAACTGAGTCAGAGTCTCATCCATAGGCATCTGGGTATGTAATTAAAGAAAATAAGGCAGCTACCATAACCTTCTTTCACCCCCCCCCCCCCGGAACAATACCATCTCCCCTCCATGAACTGCAGGAACATGCAAATGTTCCCACCATAAAGAAACACAGCAATGCTTCACACACCTCCAGCTCAGTTGCATCCCACTCAAGCAACTGGTTGGAAAAATTGCTCTCATCCTGGCCAAAATCATGAATTTCTTTTCCAGATAAATGGAAGAAGTACCTAGAAGAAAGAGAGCAGAAGAAACTAAGCACTCTGCACTGGGGATATGTGCACACCTATAGATGAGTTTAAAAGACAATCAGGAAAACAAAACTATAGTAGTGCTTTCGTTCTATCACAAGGAGCCCTCATTAACCCCTTCTGTTCCTAAACCCAACATGACTGCCTTGTCACATTCCCTAACTGGTGCTGGAGGCTGCTTCACAAAGCTTGCTTTTCTGTGCTCTTCTGCTTCACGCACTCCAGTATGAGATGCATATCTTGTTTCTATGGTGTGTGCTGGCATGACCCAAGACCGCTAGAGAACCAGTGTGGTGCAGTGTTTAGAGTGCTAGAGACCTGTGCCCAAATCCCTATTCAACCATCAAACTCACAAGGGGGTTGGGGGGTGGGATAGCAGTCACTATCTCTGCCTTCCCTTTCCAAGCAGGATTATTCTTAGAATAAAATGGGGAAACCCTCATGTGGGATCCTTGAAGAAAGAGATTGAAATATAAACAGCAACAGAGATGAAGCCTGCCTAACATTCAACGAGAAAAGATTCCAAAGAGTAGACTCTAGCACTCACAAAATTCCCCATGAGAGGAACCCACAAATTTTGGTGGCGCACATGTGTGTCTGATATCAGCATGCCTGGGGCGTGCTAATGTTGGACACGGGCACCACCGGGCATGCTGACATTGGAATGCACACCCCTGGGCACCCACAGTCGCGGGGGCAAGCCGGCGCTGCTGGCCCACTCCATTGGTTTCGATGGGACAAATAGTCTTCCCCACCCAGAACCCCTTCTCCCTCAGTAGCAGTGGTGCAGGGTAAACACTATGGAGACTGGCACGGCCCAGCAGAAGGCTGCACTGGCCTGTATGGTTTCAGGAGATGCTACACAGGCCAGTGCAGTCTTCTGCTAGGCGCGCCTCGGTCCCCTCCAGGCAACTTCTCTGCTCGTACTATCAACACTGCTGGGGTTATCTAGCATCACCAGTACCACAGACATTGGACACAACACACAAGTGATGTGACCAGTAACTTGACTTGGAAAGCACACAGGGCATTCAGGGCCTCATACTTACTGGCAAATTGTATTTGTGGAGAAGAGGAAAGACTCTTTTTCCAAGTGCAGAGCTGGCAACTGTGAGCGGGTGAGGAATGGGACGACGTGAGCTGTCAAGGAATACACACAAAACAGAAGTACAGTTTACACACACACAAGAGAATTAACTATTTTCTAGCAGGTCTTCTTTGCTTGAGCAACTAGGAAAAGTTGACAGGGGGCAGAAGAGAGTTTATAGCAAAATGGTATGTATGTTTTATTATACAGGAGCTGTCATATGCAGACCCACATTTTTTAATACCAGATTTAGTTGCGTCAAATGGACTCAGTGGTAAAGAACAAATTTGCACATGAACAGTTTCAGGTTCAACCCCCACTATCCCCAGATACAGATGGGAAAGATTCATTAACAGGAGTGCCACGCAATCCAGCAGTTAGCCCTCATTTTTGTCTCTAGGCCCAAAGTTTAACTAACGATACCAAACAAACAAACAAAATTGACATTTTGCCAAATTTTTAAAAAATCTCCCTGGACAGCAATTTTACCCAGAAAAAAAGAGGACTCTGGGGAAAACCAGGCGTATGGCAATCCTAACATTGGGTTCAATGGCAGGTGGGACTGCCAAAGTCCTTATCCCAGATGCTGGCCCCTTATCTATCTACCTATCTCTCATCTATCTATCTATCTACAAATGCACACAAGTTAAATGTATGTAAGTTGTGGACTTGCTGTATAGACTAGAGTTCTTCAACTATGGTTTCCCAAAAGTTGCTTGATTAGAACTGCCATTATCCTGAACCACCAACTAAGCTGGCTGGGACTAATGGAAGTTCCAGTCCAACCTCTGGGGACCGGAGGGTGAAGTAGGCTGTTGCAGGCAGACTCCTGTGGGGTACCGATTCCACACCTGTGACCACTAATGGAGGTTAGGATTCTTCCATCTCCTCAGCCCCACTCCCCATACATGACAAAGCAGAAGTTAAATGGCTGTCAAATGGAGGATGGTGCAAGCTTGTTTTCTTCTGCTCCGGAGGCTAGGACCTGAACCAAAGTTACAAGTAGGCCTGGACAATATATCGCCCAGGACTGGTATGAGGGGCAGACTGCAATGGCAGCTTCACTCAGCGATATATCGTGGGTGAAACGGCCATCACTCCTCAGTCTTTCTTCTACCAGCACCCAGCGCACCAAGGGAGAACAGATTGCAGCAGGCGCTGGAGGCAGAGGGACTCAGGAGAGGCAGCAGCTTCACCAGTGATAAGCCGCTGTGTGAAACTGCCACCTCACTCTGCCCTCACAGTGGCGCAGAGGGAGAAACAAGCTGCACTGGCCGGGCGCAATACAGCTTGTTCCTCCTGCCGCTCCTTTGAACCCCTTGGCTGAGCAGTGCGCCACTGCCCTTGCCTCAGCCAAGCAGTTTTACAGAGCCTCCAACCTGCCACTGGCTCACATGAGCCAGTGGCAGGGTGGGGGCTCTGTTAAAGCACTCTCGCTCCCCAGCTGAGGGAACTCGATCCTTCTCCTGGAAGGATCAGGGCTGCTTGGATTGGGACGGGAGACTTCGCACCCTCCAGCTGAAGAAGTCTAACCGAGTCGCCACCTCGCCTCCAGCTTGTGCAAACCAGAGATGGGGCTGGGGCTCCCTTAGACTTCTCAATTGAGGGGTGCGGGTGAGTCCCTCTTGGTGAAGATGTTCAAAGGAGCCCTGACCTCTCCTCCAGCTTGCACAAGCTGGAGATGGGGTGGGAGATCCATAAGCCCCACATCCCTTTGGCTCGTGCATGAAGAAGAGGGACGTGGAGCTTGTTCAGCTGGGGGGTGGGAGCCTTTGCACCAACCAGCTGAGCAGAGTCAATGAGAGCAGTGACAGTTACACCCAGCGCCTCACAGGGCTGGGGTCAATGCAGCTTGCTCTTTCAACATTGCGGTATATTGCCAGACCAGGGTGCTTGGCTGGTGATAGATCGTGATGTTGAAAACCTGTCATTGCCCAGCCCTAGTTATAAGAAAGGAGATTCTGACCAAACATGGAGAAGAACTATCTGACAGTAAGAGCTGTTTGACAGTGGAACTGTTTTCCTCGAGAGGTGATGGATTCTTCTTCCTTGGAGGTACAGTGGTGCCCCGCAAGACGAATGCCTCACAAGACGGAAAACCCGCTAGACGAAAGGGTTTTCCGTTTTTGAGTTGCTTCGCAGGACGAATTTCCCTATGGGCTTGCTTCGCAAGACGAAAATGTCTTGCAAGTCTTGAGATTTTTTTTTCGCTTCCCCCCCCCTTTATCTAATCTGCTAAGCCTTTAATAGCCTTTAATAGCCTTTTAGCAGCTAATCCGCTAAGCCTTTAAGCCTTTAATAGCCGCTAAACCGCTAATAGCGCTAATCCGTTAAGCCACTAATAGGGTTGCTTCGCAAGACGAAAAAACCGCTAGACGAAGACTCTCGCGGAACGGATTAATTTCGTCTTGCGAGGCACCACTGTATTTGAGAAGCGTTTGGATGGCCACCTGTCATGGATGAGCTGAGATTCCTGCATTGCAAGGAGTTGAACTAGATGACGTGCTTATTGATTTATTATATTTCTATGTCACTTTTCATCCAAATGAGTCCCAAAGTGGCTTACAAACAATAAATAACATGACTGAAGATAACAGAGCAACAACAGCATAGGGTCTCTTCCAATTCTACAATTCTCTGATTCATAACCAATCTAGGTTAAGTGATGCTAAATTACAGAACCGCAGAGGGTGGAGAAGTCCTTAAAAATCAGAATTCAAAGCGTTAGTTAGGGATGGGGGGTCCTCAGGTGGAAAATCAATGCTGCTGCTGCGATAGGATTTTGTTTCTCATTTTCAGTTCATTTCTATTTTACGTCGGAACAGTATAATCATCCTCCTCATTATAAGCATCTCCCGTGAGCCCCCTGAAGACGTCGGCGAAACTGGGGTGTTTCCCGGGAAAGCGGGGCGCGCCCCCGGCACTCACCCTCCTGGGGGACCCACTTCAGCTCCGCAGGGGCGCCGGTGGCCTCGGCAGCCGCCAGCACCTTCAGCGCCCCGGGGCTGCCTTCGCTGAGGAACAGCTTCATGCTCGCTCCGCTCCGCGCTCGGCTCCGCAGCTGATGCAACTCCGGTCGGACGGGACCCGCACTTCCTCCCGCCGCCCACGTGGCCCGTGGAGCCGGTCGCCCGGACCCGCCCTCCGCACACCCACTCGGGGGCTGGCGCACGCACGCACGCACGCACGCACCCGGAACTACCACCCCCAGCATGCATTGCGCACGGGACGGGAAGTTGTCGCGACAGACGCGAGAGGGAAAGGAAAGGGAAGCCGAGTCGGAAAAGGAGGAGCAGGCAGGGAGTTTGTGCGCATGCGTACGTATGTACGCGCGTATGCACACGAATAAGCTGATGTGATTTTTTTTTAGTTGGGATTTTTTTAAAAAAAATTTTATTAAATTAATTTATTTAACATAATTATTACAAAATATAAGCAAAATACATATATATTTCAGATGAATATATATCTGAATATACGCTCTGAACCCGGCCTTGGCTGGGGAGGGCGGGGTATAAATAATAATAATAATTATTATTATTATTATTAGCACACATATATAAAAAAAGAAAAAAGAGAGGAAAAGAAGAAAAAGAGAGAAAAAAGAAGAAAAGTTGGAGGAATTTCTTCCAAATTTATTCTACAAATATCTCAATATGAAAATATTAATAAAATTTCATTGATTGACTTCCATCGCTTACACTGCACTTCCTATATACATTTTAAGCTAGACTGTATCTGTTATTCCATATTATTCCCATACAGTGTCATTAGATTAGAATATTTCTGCTGATGTGATATCATTATGTGGTTAGATAAGATAGATAGATAGATAACATTATCACTAAAAGAAACATGCAAAAAGCTAAATAGCAACATGTCTGATATCAATAGGCAGGGAGTTCCAAAGTTTTGGTGCTGCCATACTGTATATGGGTCTGATTATGGAAATAATCCCATACCTATTTACTGCATCTAATTATGCACATTACCTTCTTGATCTGTTGAATTAATGGCAACAGCCACTCTTCCCATGCACCTTGTGATTCCTAGCAACTAGCTTTCAGAGGCACACTGTCTCTGGCGATGGAGGTAGAAAATTTAAAACAGCAGAACATAATGTAAGAACCAACCAAACAGGAAATGAAAGTGAAGCAGTAGCCAAGAAAACCCAAAAGTCTAGGAAACATGTCTTAGAAGCCATTCCATTAAAAGTGGTGGTCAATTAAGAGGGAGTCTTAACCTGGCACATGACATAATAGCACAAGTGCCTAGTGAGTTTGTATGTCCAGATTACTTAAAAGTAAAAGGTAGCCACCAACTTAGCCACTGGATGAGGAGGGCAGGAGGCACACCCTGAGAAAAGTTTCAGGAAGAACCAAAGGCTACCCAGGACTTTCACCATAAGGTGGAGATATTCTTTCTTCCCCCACCTCTTTGTAATATGCAGAGAGAGAGAGAGAGAGAGAGAGAGGGAGAAAAGTAGAGAGAAACTTACGGCATAAACTTCCAGTGAGCATTTGGAAGCTGTTGTGAATGGGACAGAAGCAAGAAAGGATCTCTTGACACCTTAAAGACCAAGACTGCATCCTATACTGATTTACTGAGGGGTGTAAGTAGGACTGCAACACTATGCACACTTACAAGCTCCATTGAATACAGTGGAGCTTACTTCTGAGTAAGCATGCAAACAGCAGCTCTGTAAGACCAACTGAACTGAATGGGGCTTACTTCTGTGTAGACACATATTTATTTTATGGCATAGGTGTTGTGTAGGAGAATCCACTTCTCCACATCCACTAAACAGAATTTTCATGTGGGAGCGCAGAGTGTCTCTGTCGTTGGGCAACTCTACAGTACTCTCTCTAACTTTTACATTGGAAGTTAGGCTAGATTGAAAATGAGTTCTGTTTTAGGCAGGAAGGACTGTGATGGTTGACTTTTGCAGAGGCTGGAAGACAATAACTCCACTAGCTTCCTGTTTGATTCTAGATCTCTGGTTTACAGTTGTGGAGATCAAAGCACAGGGTGTTTGCATGAAAGCCACGGGAGGAAATAATAATAGCAAGGTGAAAGAATTGTTTTGGAGTTGTTGAGGGGAAAATGCATTTTTTGCATCATATTTTATATAAAATGACAAAATCCACTTTTGCTTGGATTGAGATGGGAGACTTTTTATAAGAAAACAAATTAAACTGACATGTGGAAGGCGGATTTCAAAGGCGGGATTGGCGTCCAGGGAGAATTTGTGAAAGGCAGAGCTTTGGCCTTAATCTTAAGCAATCAAAATATCACACTTTTTTTGGTGTTTTTGTAAAACAGCTCAACAACTTTGGGGTTTGACTAAAAAAGTTCAACAATTTCGGCGTGTCCTGGTTTTTACTTTTTGAAATGGAATTACAAACTTAGTGGATCAGGGAAATGCTGTGGACATAGTGTATCTTGATTTCAGCAAGGCTTTTGACAAAGTTCCCCATGATATTCTTGTGAGGAAGCTGGTAAAATGTGGGTTGAACAAGGTAACTTAGTTGGATTTGTAGCTGGCTGGCTAACCAAACCCAAAGAGTACTCATTAATGGTTCCTCATCATCCTTGGAAAAAGTGACAAGTGGGGTGCCACAGGGTTCTGTCCTGATTCTGTTGTTGTTCAACGTCTTTATAAATGACTTGGGTGAAGGAATTGAGGGGAAGCTCATCAAATTTGCAGATGACACCAAACTGGGAGGGGTAGTTAATGCCATAGAAAACAGAATCAGAATTCAAAATGACCTTAATAGATTGGAGAACTGGACACAAGCTTAACAAAATGAATTTCAATAGGAACAAATGTAAGGTTCTGCACTTAGGCAGAAAGAATCAGATGCACAAATATAGAATGGGGGACATCTGGCTTACTAGCAGTACTTGTGAAAAGGATCTAGGGTCATTGGTGGACCACAAGCTTAATATGAGTCAACAGTGTGATGCAGCAGCAAAAAAAAGCTAACACTATTCTTGGCTGCATCAACAGAAGTATAGTGTCCAGATCAAGGGAAGTAATACAGTGGTGCCCCGCAAGACGAATGCCTCGCAAGACGGAAAAACCGCTAGACGAAAGGGTTTTCCGTTTTGAAGTTGCTTCGCAGGACGAATTCCCCTATGGGCTTGCTTCGCAAGACGAAAATATCTTGCGAGTCTTGAGATTTTTTTTTCGCTTTCCCCCCCTTTATCTAATCTGCTAAGCCTTTAATAGCCTTTAATAGCCTTTTAGCAGCTAATCCCCTAAGCCTTTAAGCCTTTAATAGCCGCTAAACCGCTAATAGCGCTAATAGCGCTAATCCGTCAATGGGCTTGCTTCGCAAGACGAAAAAACCGCTAGACGAAGACTCTCGCGGAACGGATTAATTTCGTCTTGCGAGGCACCACTGTAGTACCACTCTGTTCTGCCTTGGTCAGACCACACCTGGAATACTGTGTCCAATTCTGGGTATCACAGTTTAAGAAGGATGTTGACAAACTGGAACGTGTGCAGAGGAGGGCAACCAAGATAATCAAGGGTCTGGAAACTAAGCCTTATGAAGGAGCTGGGTGTGTTTAGCCCAGAAAAGAGGAGACTGAGAGGAGATATGCTAACCATCTTCCAATATCTATAGGGCTGTCACATGGAAGAAGGAACATGCTTGTTATTTCCTGTTCTGGAGGTTAGGACTCAAATCAATGGCTCCAAGTTACAAGAAAGGAGATTCTGACTCAACATCAGAAAGAACTTTCTGACAGTAAGAGCAGTCCAACGGTGGAGCGGACTCCCTCGCAAGGTTGTGGACTCTTCTTCTTTGGAGGTTTTTAAGCAGAGGTTGGATGGCCATCTGTCATTGATGCTTTAACTGAGATACCTGCATTGCAGGGGGTTGGACTAGATGACCCTTGGATCCCTTCTAAGATTCTATGATTCTCTAATAATGAAACCAGCTTCCATTTTAACAAATCAGCAAGGACACTGAGTATCTGAACATATGCAGAGTGTATTTTCTATTACTGTATACAGGGACTCATTTTTCAAATAAATCAATTTAAGGAACGGATTTCTCTGAGCTCTCACCTTTGGTCTCTCACTCACCTCAATCTATTACTTTTTAAATGTTCTTCACTGAGCAACGAGAAATAACAAGAGATTTTGGCATTTACATTGCATCCAGTCCAGATTTCCGAAGAATGGAATGGCAGGAGCAAAAGGATGCAGAGGACTAAAGATTGCTGTTGGTGGATTTTTGTAGAGGCTGAATATTCTGTTAATGAAACATGAGGTGTATGATTTACAAGGCCATGCAAAAGGTCCCTAGTTCAGTCCCTGACATCCACAGGTAGGGCCGGGAATGTATGTTCCCTGCCTGAAATGCTGGAGGGCCACTGCCAGTCAGTGTAGGCAATACTGACTCAGTGTAAGACAGTTTCCTGTGTTTCTAGATTGAAGCCTATGATCTGCCTGAACTAAGCCCACTTTTGGTGGGTGTTCTCTCCCAAGGAAGGTGTGCCTAGGCTGCAACCACGCAGTGCGCTCTCAACCACATCTGCTTTCGGAAGCATCCTCCACAGACTTAAGAGGCACGCACTGAAAAGACATCATGCATAGGATTACAACCCTTGTCTTGCTGGTTTCAGCAGGTCTTCTTGCTTCAGTAATAATTTGTTTCATGCACACACAAAACGGCTACAATCTTTATTTTAAAAAAAAGATTTTAAAAACTCCATGTAGGTTTGATTTATGGGGCTGTGGGTCAGAGAGACAGTGCCTCCTTCCTGCCTTATCGTGGGGCCTGTGAACAAAGCAGCTTGCTGCTGCCGATAGGAAACCATTAACCCCTGCGAAAGCGGATGTACGATACCTGCGCTTTGTGCTCAGCGCACTGAATTCTTTTAAACAAGGGAAATGCTTCATCTTTCACACCCCACCCACACGAGGGATAGAAAGGACAGGAGAGCAGATCCAGGAGCGAAAGAGTCACTCTCAGGAACGTCATCTTTCGTTGTGATGTGAAGTCAGGTAAACTTAATTCTTATACACAGTTGATCTGGTGCCATGATCTTGTGCTTCTATTATTGTGGATTGGTGGGAGAGATTTATGAATTCAGGTTCTGTCTTCATCTCTGAGAATGCAAAGGGATTTCATGAATTGGATGGGTGAAAGGATCC